AAGATTTGCCGCACAGTCCCTTGTGATTTTGTGTAATTTTCCTTTATCTCATTTGAGTGAATGGTTTTCTTAAATAGAATAGAATAGAATAGAATTTTATTTGCACTCGAGAAAAAAAAAATGACAAGATTATTACAATAAAGTGAGAACGGTGCTGGGGAATTGGAGTAACTAAAGTTTTCGAGCCAATTCCCCATAAGAGCTATATACAACAATGAATTAAATATGGCAAATAATAATACAAAAGAAAAATAAATTTAGAAATATATATAGAAATATAATAAATACATATATACACACATACTGTACATTAACAATTTGTATCACACACAATAGGTTTGATTTGATTATAGTAAGTAAACATTTGATATTAGGAATAGGTATCAAGGCAATTCTTTTTAATTCTTTTTATTAGAGATTTCCTAGGTAGTAATTTGTCTTGATTATCAAGAGAACTCCAGATTTTTATTCCAGAAAATTTTAATGAGAATTTTCCTGAGTTACTAGAAACAGATGGCAAATGAAAGTTATGGGTTGAATATCGAGTATAATGTTGATGTATTTCTGAAGAGTGTGTAAAATAATTAGAAAATGCTACTGGTAACCTATTATTAAAGTAATCGAACATAAAAGTACATTTTTGGGTGTAAACAATGTCTTTTACTTGAAGAATACCTAGTAATTTGTAGATAGGTGGAGCATGGGATCGAGGTTCAGAAAAAGTCATGATCCTGACAGCTTTGTTGTTTAAAATGTTTAACTGATTAAGACGAGACTGGTACGTATTTCCCCAAATAATTGCCCCATTATAAAGGTAAGGATATATTAGGGAGTAATAAACATTTTTTAGTGTGTCAAGATCAACATAGTGACGTAATTTTGAAATCATGCCAATATTCTTGGAAAGTTTCTTACATATAACGTTTATATGAAATTTCCAACTCAAGTTTCTGTCAAGAGGACACCCAGATATTTAAAAAATTCTGACTGCTCTAGTGAACAGCCATCTAACTTGATATTTGGAATATAGTGAAATTGTTTTCTAACGGATGAAAATATCATAAATTTCGATTTTTTTATATTTAGCGATAATTTATTTGCTTTAATCCAATTGGTAAGTTTTTCTAATTCAACATTAACCATTGTGGTTAAAGTTAGTATATTACTATTTTCCAAAAAAGCATTAGTGTCGTCTGCAAACAACCGCAATTTTAAAACATTGCTGCAATTCGAGATGTCATTAACATAAATAAGAAATAATAGTGGGCCTAAATTTGAACCCTGTGGAACTCCACAGTTTGTTTTAATAGTGTTTGAGAGTGTCCCATTAAGGTCTACAAATTGTGAGCGATCCGTTAGATAGGTTCTAAACCAATGTAACGCAACGCCACGAATACCATAGTGCTCCAACTTGGAAAGGAGAATCGTGTGGTTGATAGTATCACATGCCTTTGAAAAATCAATAAATATTCCACAAGTATAAAGCCCCTTATCCATGGCATTAAGAATATTGTCAATAATTTCAATTAATGCCAACGTTGTTGAATGATTTTTCCGAAATCCAAATTGGTATTTGTATATAATGTCCTTTTTATTCAAATATGATAATAGTCGTTTGCACATTAATTTTTCTAACATTTTTGAGAATGGTGAAAGTAAGGAAATAGGTCTGTAATTTGATAACAAGTGAATCATTCATTTTTATAAAGAGGGATTACTCGCGAGAGCTTGAGTTCTTCAGGAAATATACCAGAAGTAAATGAAAAATTATATAATTCACTCAGTTCTGATGCAATAACTGGTTTTGCAAGTTTCAGTAAACTAATAGGAATTCCATGAGGGCCCAAAGCCTTTGAGGCATCGAGCTCATTTATCATAGAAGCCACTTCATTAGGAGTTGTAGGTGTAAGAAAGAAACTTTCGTGAGTATTCAAAGGAGTAAGATAATCTCGAAAGTCTTTATTGGAAGGAGATATTTTTTCTGCAAGTTGAGGACCAATATCTCTGAAGATGTTGAATTGATTGGCAATATCCTGTGGTTGATCAAATTCAACGCCATTATTATTTATCTTGTCTGGAGTAATAGAACCTTTAGACCTTATTTTAACTATTTGGTTAATAATTTTCCATGTTTCTTTTATATTACCTTGAATTTTTGTTATTTTATTTTTAAAATATAACTTTTTACTCAATTCTTTCAAATGAGTTAAAGTATTAGAGTATGATTTATAGTACCTTTTTTGATCTTCATTGCCTTTGATAAAATGATGATAATAAAGATATTGTTTTCTTTTTATTGACTTTAATATCGCAGGAGTAATCCAAGGTTTCGTAGAAAGTTTAAATTCTTTCCTTGAGACATTTTGTATAGGTGCATGTTTATTTACTGTTGATGTAAATATGGAAAAGAAATTGGAAAATGGATTGTTAACATTTCTATTATGGTTAGTGTCACTGATAGATGTTTCTAGGTCTTGTAAAAAAATATCATTATTGAAGTTTTTGAAGTTTCTTTTGTTCATATTCCGTTTTGTTGCCGATTTTATTTTATGCAAGATTAGAAAAACAGGAAAATGATCGGAAATTTCAGTCAGGCAGATTCCGGATGTAATAGGTTTGTTTAAAACATTGGTATAAATATGGTCAATTAGAGTTTCAGTGTAGTTTGTGACTCTAGTAGGCTGTGTAATAACAGGAAAACAAGAGTTAGAGTATATCATATCAAGGTAATCAGAAGTAAGTTGGTGTGTTTCACATTTTATGAGATCAATATTTATATCCCCAATAATGATTAATTGCTTATTTTCATTCAAACTATGCTCCAATTTATCTGATAAAGCATCTTTAAATGCAGAAATATTAGAGTGTGGGTGTCTATAAATTATGCCTATAATAATATTTTTCTCATTTTTAGGTGTATGAATTTCAACCCATAAATTCTCACAACCATCAACCAGTAACTTAATATCTTGTCTTAAGTGAAATTCTAAGCTATTGTGAATATACAGACCCACACCTCCTGCTTGTGTGGGAGAATCATGTCTTAAAAAACTGTAATTAATCAAATCAATATTGGAAGATGAGTTTTCATTTAGTCTGGTTTCACTTATTCCAATTATAGAGATTTGGTTTTCCAAGGCTTACTGTATTTTGCGAAACGAAACTTTGCGAAACTGTATTTTGCGAAACTGTATTTTGCGAAACTGCATTTTGCGAAACTGTATTTTGCGAAACTGTATTTGGTCATGATTCTGCTAGTAGAGTTGGCCGGGATAGATAAATAATGATAGAGGGGGAATCAAGGGTGAAATTTGGGAGGATTGGGGGGGGGATTGAAATCACGGATAGTAAACACCACACAAGTTTTGGGTTGCACTTGAAACCAGAAAAATTTAAAACAAGAGTCACAAAACTGGGTGTTTTATATGCTTTGCATGTCATTATTACAAACATTTCCCCAAAATTTTGAATTCAAACAATTAATTTCTCTTGAAAATATCAACATTACTGATATCAGCATTATTTTGGAACACTGTTTGAAATGTGTTATAAACAAAATTGTGGTAAAAAGCTTGGTAAAAATCAAAACAGAACTCAGTTAACTGCCATAAACAAGAATTTAGATATATTGGCTCATCAAACTCGCTCTTATTTTAGCATTTTAATTTTTTGCCCCCCAATAGACGCGTTCCCTTCCTTTGACTGAATTAAGATTACGATGCCCCTGGCCCCCCTCTAGTGTTATTTATAATCTCTATGGTGGTGTCACCATATTTTCTTTCAAAATCAATCCACACATTTTATATGTACATGTATAAAGATCCATGTGAAAGCATTCAAAGCAACGTACTGCACTTTGTCTTTTATTTTTTTTTCAGTCTTTATAAACAAATGTTTGCCAACTCTACTAGCAGAATCATCACAAAATACAGTTTCGCAAAATACAGTTTCGCAAAATACAGTTTCGCAAAATGCAGTTTCACAAAATACAGTTTCGCAAAATACAGTTTCGCAAAGTTTCGTTTCGCAAAATACAGTAAGCCGTTTTCCAATGAAATCAGAATATCATTAAGTTTACTAAATTGCTTTTGGAGGCTTCTTACATTACAATGAAAAATTGAAAATAAATCATGATTATTATTATATGTTGGTGAATATGAATGTGAGTTAGGGGGAGTATTGAATAAGTTTTTACATTCTTCTATACTATAGTAATTTGACGAAAATGAAGGAATAATATTATCAGGGTCTTGATAATCAGAATTAATAGATTTGTTTAGGTAGCTATTAGCAATATTCAGATTAGGATACATTATTAAGCTGTATGCAAAAATAATAGGATTAGTGTAAGATTATACAGATTAAACTTATCTTGCTGTGAAGAATTGGTCTTTGAATCGTACAAATTCAGACAAAGTAGAGAATGAAACTACTTTTGAATGAACATCATTATCCTGTTTCATATACGTTTTCCCATTCTTTGTCCATACAAACTGAAACTTTTGTTCCTTCTGGAATTCCTTTGTTTTTCTGAATATTTCTTTAGCCTTTGTTGTTAGACTTTCATTTATGTAAAGTTTATTGTTCTGTTGGGAAAATCCAAGGTCAGTGGCATTAAATCTGGTTAAATTTCTTCGTGCCTTGTGTAAACCATCCCGCACACTTCTTCTTGTAAATTTAGCAATTATAATAGGTGTTCGGTCTCCTCTTGTAGGTAATCTATGGCTGATCGAGATATCTTCGTTTTTTATTTTGGTACCAACCAGTTCGCCAACCTTTTGAACTAATTTGTCAGTGTCTTCGCCAGATTGAATAGGAATTCCATGCAATTCCAAACAATCTCTCTACGCGAATAGAGATTTTGAGCTTCTTGATCTTCTTCTAATTGTATTATTCTATTTGACATCTCGGTTGCATTTGCCTTTAATTGTGAATTTTCTTGTTTCAGGAATTCGTTTTGGCATTGTAGGTCTTCGACCGTTTTCGACAGTTGTTCAAACTTAGCATTAATAAATTCTTGGCTGGTTTTTATTTCTTTGAGATCATCTTGAGTTATTTTGTGGTATTTGACTACTAGGTCCTTCAGTTCAGAACCTTGTAATTTGAAGCGATCATCTAAAATTCGTTTAAACGAACTTTCTGATAATGGACAATCTTTTCCATTTTCTTGTTCATCTTGTGATGATATTTCAACATTTGATGAATCTATATGTTGACTGGATTGGTTATTTTGGTTACGTTTCGATATTGGTGGCATTTTAAGGTGATTAAGTGCGATTTTATATAAAATTAGTTGCAGCCATCAAAATCATGACCATCCGCCATATTTAATTTATGCAAAAAAATGAACATCAAAGTTATATAAAGTAGTTATATCAACATACTGCACACCTATTTCTTCTATGCTTTGATTGTTACGTTTGTCTATTTTCAAATGACTACATGCTTTCCTGTGGGAGAAAAATTCCATATATTTGAGTTAACAAAGAACATGTGTCAACAAGATGACCACATTTTTGCTCAAGGTACTCATGAATGTAAGAATAGCCAACTGTTCAGAAGAAGATATTACCTTGCTGAAATCTAAAGAGATTTCAAAATCCGATGTTTCATACCCAACAGAGTCACTGCATGTTTGTAAAACAAAGACCTGGATAAATACAACTCTGGTCATTCACAAAAACTTACAACTCCGCTATTTCATATAAACGCTATCGATAAGAAGGATGCTAACACTGGTCTGATTGATGTTGTAATTTCTACTAAGCCATCTGAAACTAGTGGATTACACAAGGTTGTGTCAGTAGACTCAAAGTGTGAATCATGGTCATTGTAAATATCAATGTTTCTGATGGGTTAGCAAACAGAGTGTGTGGTAGGTATTGACAGCACAGACGACATTGTTCATGCCATTCTAGTCCAATTCGACAAGTTTCATGAAAGGGATTTGTTGGCTTATCAGTCTAAATTCTAATGGTCTCAAGTTAACCTGTTTGCCCATGACTGTGTAGGAATTTGCTCTTTCTTTAATATGTTATGGCAAGTGCTGCATATACCAAAGATTTTCCATGTGTTATGACAACAGTGCAGGAATTAGGAATCCTTTTTATCGTTTTAGTTGACAAATACTTTTCAGGGTTCATCTGAACAATAGATGTTTTGTAAAGGAGGCGATAGCAAGAACAATATGTCTTATTGGATTCTTCTGAGCCCAATATGGCAAAATATTAAGTTGACACTAAAATATTGGGTGAGACCGAAGGTCATGCCTAATATTGAAGTTGAGACTTAATATTTTGCGATATTGGGCGATGTAATGCCTAATATTGAAGTCGAGACTTAATATTTTGCGATACTGGGCGATATAATAAAACTCCAATAGGAGTTTTATTATATCGAACAAACAAGAAACTAAAAACGAATTCGTCCTGGTTTTTAATTAATATATAAAAACATGCAACTCTCAAGATGTACACAAATTGAAAAATATCACAGCAAACAGATTAAAACTTTGAAACTTATTACAAGGCCAACAGTGCTGAAAATTAAAAGTAACATTACTGTTCTGAAATGTCATTATTTGTCCAAGCTTAAAGCTAAATGGAAACGAATTTGATTGATTTGTTGACATTGTAGATTGTTGAATGTTCAATGTTAACAGGCTTCGTGGCGGAGACCTCAGGGAACCTGACGAAACTGGCAATTTATTGATGTGTTCCATGCTGTTATCTCTAGGTTTTGTGGCTTCTTGTGTTCCGACTTTAGTTACGGCATTGCCAATGGTTTGAGAGATACGTTGTTGACATTTCTCAGTAATCTGATCATGATAACTTTGTAAACTTGTTACACTTTTGTGGCCGCTTATTTTCATTATTTCTCGGTCATTATAGCCGGCCAAGTTTAATATTTGAATGGCAGTAGACCTGATACAATGATTAGTATACAATTTACTTAGCTTATACTCAGCTGACATATCTTTCATCATGTTTCCAAGTTTTTTTTTCCCCGACAGGACTGTTGCAATACCATTATTCTGTCGTTCTCGGTCAAGTGACCTTCGCATGGTCTTTGCCAAAGGGTGTTAAGGTCAGGATGAAGTTTCGAAGTGTACATTTCAAAAGTTTTAACAGGGCAGTGAATAGATTGAGGAATAGATTGATACATTCGCCGATTGTAGCATTTCTATCACAATTTCACGATGATTTTTGTCCATCTCGTCCACAGTTTGTGTAACATAACGATTGCCGGCTGCATGAACTTTAACAGCGAAGGTTGTTTTTGTCATTTGGCGTAGATCGAATCTCCGGAAACGCATTAGCTCATAACTGTCACCAATCCAGGTGAAGTGCATAAATTTACTAAGATTTTTCGCTACATGATATTGCTGATCTCTGTAGGAGCTCTGACGAAACCTGTTATTAATATTGTTATTGATTAAAGGTACAGATTGAAGGTGTTTTGGATCTTCTGAGTGATAACAACTTCTGATTTATTGTATGACATTTACTGCGGGAAGCAATAACATGTGTAAATGTTGCGCTTTTTCGCACCCAGAATGACATATTGTAACAAAGTCAAAGATCTATGAATTATTCTGTTCTACATGTATCAAGTGTTTACCATGTGCCTATATATCAGATAAAGTTGTGCGTTCTGTGATGGTGGCTCAGTAACTGTTTTTTCAGTATTTCACGCACATTCTTCTATGACTATGATAAATGTTTAAGAGTACATCTCTTAAATATATCGTTGAGACATGATTTGCTTAGCACGATAATGTGTTCGCACTTACAAAACTCCCCAACCTTTAATTTAAAACAACTCTCTCTAAAGCATAAACATCGGCATCGCTTGCTGGTGACTGTTTTGACTTGCCTTCTATTATTTCAGGTGCAATATGCGCATGCTTTTCCCGATATTCAGCCTTTAACTCCTCGGCTATCAGTATGGCATGGAACTGCATATTATCCTTGGTGACGTTGTCCAATTTTATATCATTGTGCAAAATCTTGTTGTCGTGCAGCCACTTCAAGGTGTTACTTAGTTGTGCTATGACGGATATGCCTTCCAAATTACTTAGATTAAACTGGGATATTTCGGGATTTGGGAAATTGTGCAAAGAAGTATTTCTTTTATCAATGCCATAAAATAAAGAAACCATAATTGCAAGCCACGGCTTTATCGTAACGTTCATGTCAATGTAAATTGTGCACCAGCAAAGCAAGTATATTTTGTATGACAGCAGCATTTCAGAAACTATATTTATACACTTGAAAAGAATCATAGATAGTTCCATTTATTCAAATAATGTTAAGCTTCATCTGATTAAGATGACACATCTTTTGACACAAGGGTATATCAGCTTAAAAGTATTTCGAACAAATAAGTTTGCGATCCGATGCAAGATCATGCAATAGATTGAGCATAGCATAGCAAAGCAAGCATATTATTGTATTTATCGCAACATCATGTTAGCAACTCAAATTCCATTTGAATTTAGAAATCTTAGTTCCATCTGCGTATTTATTCAAATAATTTTAAGCTTCAACTGATTAAAGTAAGATGAAACATCTTCAAAATCTGTCAGCATAACTAAGATGACACATCTTTCTGACATAAGAGTATATCAGCTTAAACGTATTTGGAACAAATAAATTTGTCATCATGCAAGATCATGCAGTAGATTGTGCATTGTAACAAAGCAATGTCATATTCTATTTATCGCAACATTATGTTAGCAACTCAAATTCCATTTCAATTTAGAAACCGTAGTTCCATATGCCTATTTATTCAAATAATTTTAAGCTTCAATTACTGATTAAGGTAAGATGAAGCATCTTCAAAATCTGTCAGCATAAGATGATGCATCTTTCTGACACAAGAGTATATCAGCTTAAAAATATTTGGAACAAATAAACTTGTCATCATGCAAGATCACGCAGTAGATTGTGCATTAGAGCAAAGCAATGTCATATTGTATTTATCGCAACATTATGTTAGCAACTCAAATTCCATTGGAATTTAGATTATTTAATACAGTATCATGTAAGTGGATTCGAGAGCTTTCGGCCAATATTTTGAGCCATGTACTTTGCAAAACATCGAGATCGAGTTGCAGAGACTGACATAAAACTACCCTTCTTGACTCCTTTCAGCATGAGTTACTGCATGTAATTATTTACTTACTGTATGTTTTCCAGAACTATGATAATTGTTTAATCATACCAATATACATCACTCTGAACACTGGCAGTAAGGTGAAGACCATTCGCATTCGTATAAGCGAGAATTAAGCCGTTTCAAAACTTTGTATACGTTTTTGGTTCGTTTTTCAATCTGTTCTCTATAAGAGCATTATGTGCTCAATCATTCGCGCCGTTTCGTCCCTTTCGTTGTTCTTCAGAGTATAAACACTTGGTGTTGCGTTGGCGCCAATTTCTTCAAGCGGGAACGAGGTGACCATTTGGCGTATATGCTGGAATACGCTGGACTGTAGCCACGCACCGTCAAGTGTGTGCTAACTGCGCTTTCTCATCGCGAATGTTAAGATACCGAATGACGAGACAACATAAGCTTCGGCGATTTTCCGTCCAGCATTAAACCAATGGTATGGCACCAGATTACCATTGTAATCCTGAAGCTTAGGTCTTTTATATTGACCCGCTTGAATTCGTATGGGAAACATCGCAATATATATTTATTGCCATTATTCCTATTTGATATGCTTGAACCGGGCAAGCAGTAATTATAGGCGTACCAATTTCTATCTGGCTCGATCCAAACAATGTGAGAATATACACGGTAATACATTACCGCATCTTTTGTCATGCATTCACCAAGCCAGCTACATACACCAGACACTGATGATTCTAATTTGGCACGTTTATGGCAAAACAGTATAATTTGTAGTTTCCTTGTAAAGTGTAAAAGTGATTACAGCGTAAACAAACCATATTGTACGTTAATAACTTAAATACATGCCTTAATATTTAACAGTTACACCAAGCGATGCATTGCATTACAAAGTGTCTTCTCCTCTTATTAATAGCCTATAATTTGTGTCTGTCAAACCTAATTACAACTTCTGTGGCAACAGACACTTCACCCTTAATTTTTTCGCACCTAGTGCGGTTCCTCGTGCACGTTCAGTACAATAATTTCTGAAAACGTTTGCAGAAATTAGCAGAAAACGTGGTTTCTTTTGGTCTGGTTCCATCATAAGCAAATGCTCTGGCCCCTGGCGGCTAATGAGTAATGATGGCAAAAACTGTCCAATAGGTTCCTGTCCAATATCGTAAGATATTGGATCGGCATGTGACCCTAATAAGCACTCGTGATTGGTTAAGTGCGCATGAGTGTATAACATGCGTATATGGGTCCTTCAGCTATTCTTGAGGCAAATATTGGCAGCACTGGCTTCAGTTGTCACATTTGATGTTGCTGAACTACATAAAATTCCCTAGTTATTGTATATTGATGAAAAAAATTGCATGACATTGTGTAATGTTTGAAATGGAAATATATTGTTTAATTTTATTTTGATGGTTTGTACATTTGTTCATGCAATTCTAGTCCAATTCGACAGTAGATGGGTTGGCAAGTCAAAACAGCCCCATATAATACAGATTTTCTGCCAAACTATAAAAGCTCACAATGTCCACTAACTTTCAAAGCATTCTGAATTTATAGAAAATAAGTATTATTTATTTGGACACACAAATATATACAATGTAAATGTACAATAAAATTTAATGTAAATTAAATTACATACAATATATACAATATATACAATGCGTCGATGACCACATATATTAACAGCATAATACAACAAATATCTTATGGTACAGGTCCAATCATACCCTGTAACATCAGACAGACTAAGCATGGTACTATCAGATGAACTAAACACAGTATAGTGGCACGTTTGTGATAAATAATGAAAAACTGTGCTATGTTTTATTACATATTATGTCCAAGAAATAAAATTTCTACAATGGAATTGCTATGAGATTCCCTCCAAAATGCAACTGCGATTTTTGTCGTAAACCATGTGGTTCGAACTGGTAGATAAGCTTGCATAATACAATCTTTCAAAATTTAATGTTGCATAATACAAGCTTGCATAATACAGTGTTCCAAAATACAGCATTGTTATAGAAAAAATAGTGTATCAAAGTGTGTTACACAACAAAAATCGCAGTTGCATTTGAAGGGAATATCATTTCATAAATTGCTGCTACAGGTTAATTATGATTGAACTGTCTTTGATAGTTACTGTATACTATAGCCAATTTAATGACAATGTCATCTTTACATTGAACATGCAAGATAAGTACACCTGGAAAGTAGTTTCATGGCTGACAAATCTCCAGCGATGTACTGAACCCAATTGTGGAAAAGTTTACTTCCTATCTGCTGGTATTTTTTTTTGTCTTCTCTTCAGTTTCTCTTCTGACACTAATCAAACTTGCATGTCTACCAGTTGTGCTTCTTCGTGGAGAAGTCACACCATCAAATAAAAGTTTAGGTTCCCACAATCCCATGCCAACGGTCAACGTCGTTGTTGGTGCGCACAGCTTGGTGAAAAACACTCCAACTTTCTGGTTTCCACAATACACCTTCAATAGCAATAAATATATTAGTATTCAGCAATAAACGTCGATTTATTAGCAATAAACATCAAGTGGTAGACTCATTGCGAGTCTCCACTCTTTGACGTTTATTGATGTCTGCTACCTACATATATTGCATACAATTTATTACCTTCTATCCAGTTCATACAAATGTTTGTCACAAGTTCTACCAGCATTGGTCCAGTAGCTTTTGCAGCAAGTTTCTCAAACAAAGCTGGTATGCAATGGCAGGGGGGCCGGGGGGGGCATGCCCCCCCCCCAGCTGGCAATTCTTGGGGGGGGGGAATGAAAATGGGGGCGCCAATTCCGCCAAATTCGTGGAAGTTGGGAAAACTCGAAATTGTGTGAAAACACTCCGCCCTTCGGGCATCGTGTTTCCACACAATTTCTCATTTTCCCAATTTCCACTCGTGTTGAAATAACTCTATATCAACACAGAAAATGTTATATATTTGTTAAATATTAAATTACAGACTATTTTGTCTAACCGTATTTGCTACCTCACACGAAATCGTTCATATAGAAACATGATCAGTGATCACACACAATGTCGCATTACCGGAATTATTTGAAGCGATCGAGGGAATTATGCCCTTTTTAGCTGGTATTATGCCCTTATATTATGCCATTTATTATGCTTCACGAATCACGTGAGTGGCGCAAATTAGATAGTTATGATAATGTAAATTGTGTATGCAATTTAGTTGTTTGCACAAGAAACATCATGACTCACGAGTAATGTAATAATAAGTAAAGATAATGCTGAAACGCACCCTTTTGGCAGCAAGTTGTAAGTTGTAAATATTTTCAGATCACTAGATTGGTAGAGAATAGAATTGGGATTAGATTAATCACTGCAATTAGTTAACATAATAGCATTGCCTTGGATTGCCATTGGAGACTGTCCATGCATATTGTGTTACTATGATACATGTTTAAATTATGTAATGATTAAATATAACCTAAACCAGTAGATCTTAATTTATAGTTAACTTTGCATGATGATGCAATATTTTAGTGCCCACACTATGACGTAAACGGACACAGTTCAGCCTCACGATTGGCCCTCAATGGAATTTGCTGACGCATAAGGTGTTACGTCAGTATTATGTAATAGACCAATTTTAGTAAATTAGGTCATATCCTACGCCAGTGGTAGCATAAAAGCCGGCGTGCTTATGAATTATTTATGAGTTTTAGCAATATGTCTGACAACCAAGAAAAACGACCTGCGAAAAGAAAAAAGTCTGGTGCTGAATTTAGAAAAGAGAAGAAAGCAAGAGAAGAGGAAAATAAACACCTTGGTGCTTTTATGTTAAATTTTTTTAAAAGCAATGAGAAGCGTGAACAAAAAGATGATATCCATGATACAGATAAAAAATTAGGGAATGAAGCTGAAGTCTGTGAAATTACTGGAACTATATTTCCAATCCAGATGACCAAGGAACACTTGTATTAGATACAAATGTTAATGCCAATATTGCAGGTGAAGACAAAGGTCCTGAAATAATTGAAATTCAAACGAACAGCATTGAACAACATTCCCAAACCATTTCTAGTGATGATGAGGTTGAAGATATAGATTTGGGAGAGACAATTTTACACAACCAGTCGAATGTTTCACATGATTTAACATTAAACTCGCAAATCGTGGTAGATGAAATCAGTGGTGCATTTGATCCAGCAACGGTAGTGGGCTTAAAGTTAAGTTTGGAGGAAAAAAGAAAACTGATTAAAATGAAACCTTGTCAGCCAAGTTGGTCCGTTTTACAGTCAAGGAAGAAAGTTATTGGGGAACATTCCAGATTTTGCTCACAACAGCTGTTTCACCATGATGACTGCACATAACACAAGTGGATTTCATATTCACTAAGTTCTGACAGCCCGTTTTGCATAACATGCCTTCTTTTCACTAATGCTCTATCCAGAGGCGAGTTGATGTGTCCGAAATGCGTTTACTTGCGCTGGTTTTTCCAACTGAAAAAAAAACAGCATACCAGTGTGAAAAAGCATGAGATGTCTGCCAAATGCCAAGATTGCTGAAGTTCTATTTCTGCAAGACCGAAATATTGTGTGTTCTTTGGAGAGACAAGTACAAGAAGACAAAGTTCGAAGGAAAAGGGAAGTTGTTTCAAACAAAGATGTGATGAAATGCGTTGTAGACACAATAGTCTTACTGGGAAAGCAAGGACTAGCATTTAGAGGTCATTGTGAATCTCTTACATGTACTAACAACATGGGAAGTTTCATTGCAGTGCTAGAATTTCTTTCTATCTACGATGCTACAATTCGTGATCATCTTGAGAAAGTTCGCCAACAGCAAAAATCGGAGAATTCAACAGGATCAACGGTTAAACGGAAGGGCACCAGAGTGAAGAAAGCAAGAGGGTGGGGATCAAAACTTACGTTTCTCAGTAATAGAACCCAAAACAAAGTTATTGACGTGATTGGGAAGCTTGTAAAGTCTGCTATAGTGAAGAGTATCAACGACTGCAAAGCTTGGGCTTTGATAGCTGACACAACGCCTGACGTAAGTCATCATGAACAACATAGTATTTGTGTTAGAATTGTAGACAAATATGGCTATTGTTTTGAGCATTTACTATGTTGCACCAGAGCATCTGGTACCACAGCGCGAAGTCTCTTCAACACTATAATGAAAGCGTTAAAGGCTGAAGGAGTAACGTTTGGTAAAATCGTCGCACAAACGTATGATGGATTTTAACGCTGATGATTTTGAAAGCCTGTTTATAACGATTCCAGAAACGGATTTTGTGTTGAAAAAGGATGCTGTTCCTACTATACACCACCAAGAAGATCCTGAAGCCGAGATGGCTGATTCGCGATCAACTAGAAAGCATCACAGTGTAAGTGCAAATATGTGCTGTATATACTATTCATTGCTGATATTGTCACATTTTTAAATGGACTCACTTTCTCACAGATATACGTCACCTTCGTTTAAATAGGTTATAAGGGGATTGCTAAAAGAAAACAAGGCCAAAACCTCGGCCAAAACCAGTGAGGACACCGAGGAAGAAATCTCAACAACATCGCCTGAAAATGTTGCATTTCTGTCAGAGCCTGATTTAGCAGTTAACTGCATTTATCATGTGGAACAATCTTTGACTGTAAGTCAAAATATTTATCTATTTATTCCAATCAAAATATTACTGATCTCACAAATATATAAATTATTTCGTAGACGCAAGGTGCTTCCAGTCAAACACCCGAGTGTCTAGGTTGCAAAAAATTATCGAGTCAAAATCGCCAGCTCCAGAACAAGATCATTGATCTCCAAGCGAAGATACAGGATCAGTTAACTGAAATTCAGCAACAAAAAGGTAAAATTAATTTTGTTGATGCAAAATTAAATAAGAAATTAAAGGCAGCAAGAAAAGAGTTGGAGACAATGGCACACGCTCCCATGAACTTTATGCTAGAAAAGAAGCCACAAAAGGAAGCAACAGAAGCATGGAGAAAGAGAAAATCAATGGTCGTACAAAGGTCCCAAGGACTTTGCAAGGTACTGTACAGCTTGTGCTAAGATATTCTTAACATAATTTTAACCCATTAAATTGCAATGTGCCCTGCTGTAGTGTTTTACTCTGCATGGGCGGATTTACTGGGTGGGGGGGTGGGGGGGTTAAGCCCCGTAGAATCTCTCTAATCCCTCTTATAAAGTGTTCAACCCCACCAAAATTTTGCTTCACCCCTGGTGCCGCTTGCACCCCACTACAAATTTTTTCACCTGTTCTTTAAAAAAATGAAAATGTACCCTTGTTAGTCTGTCTAATGCCATATGATTTTACTCGTCAAGGAGAGAGTCGCGTCCATTTCTTGTCTTATAAGTATTGTATAATTTTCTTGTGTTTTAGTTACCGAGTCCCTTTCAACCGATGTTGCACCTAAAAGGGCAAGATATTAGTTTAAAGATAAAGAGCAGAGCCCAGCAAATAACTTTAAAACCAAACATAATACAACATCTTCAATACAACATCTTCAGAGCAATCTATGTGAATTTACAGGGTATGGTATATATATTTACAAAATAATGGTTTAATATTACAAAAACGGTTACATAGTTTGAAAGAACAAATGAATAGAAAGAAAGGAAAACAACTTATCAGTAACTAGTTAATAAGTAAAGATTAATGTTAAGGTGCATGGTTAGTATAGTTAAGGTTAATGTTACATAACTAAAATAACTCAAGAGGGGTAGATCTAATATTAGCATTAAGGACAGGGTTAAGTTGAGAAACTAATAGGCTTTCACGGATAAGAAGATCCCACTCAGAAGTGCCTGATGATAGAATTTTGAAATCAGAAGCGGAGACTGGGTGTTTGTGCATGTGTTTGTGAGCGAGTATACTAGACATGGTTGAGATAGAGCGTTCTTTTCCAGTCAAAGGTGAGACTCCCATATGCTCTGAGATACGTGTGTGAATGTGTCGGCGTGTTTGGCCAACATACAATGCGCTACAGCATTGACACATGAACTGATACACAACATGTGATCTCAGGGCAATGGGAATCCTGTCTTTAAATGGAAAAAAACTAGAAAGGCGACAAGAGGGACGGAAAACAACACGTATGGAAATATGTGGATAAGCAGAAGCAAGAACTTTACTAAGTTGTTTACGGATATGTAGACCATGATGTCCAGTGAAAGGAAGGCAAAAGTAGACAATTTTCTTGGAACATGTATGAACCTTGTCCTTGGTGTTATAATGTCAAGAAATGTCTTAATGCAACTATCTGTAAGTGCTTTAGGATAACCATTGGAAGAAAAGGTTTTCTTAAAATTTCCCATTTCAGACTGGAAAGATATGTAAGAAGAACAAATATTGAAATATCGAGATATACGAGAGGAGACCTTTTTTGTACATCATTGGAATAAAGCTATCAAAGTTTGTGAATAAGCCAGTTGAAGTGCATTTGTGATGGACAGAGGTCGTGAATGAGCCGTTTGAATGCATTACGTTAACATCAAGGAAAGGGAGTGAAGAATTGTTTTCAAGCTCATGTGTGAATTGAATATTTGAATGTTTGGAATAGAGATAAGAGAGGAAGGGAAGCACATGATCACGAGATTGAAAGATCAGAAAACAATCATCAACATAGCGACGATAAAACAAAGGTTTAAAGTTAGAAGGGCAGTCAGCTAACCAAGATTTTTCATGGAATGATAGAAAGATGTTCGCAAACAGTGGACCAAGTGGTGAACCCATTGCAACACCATCAACCTGCTTATAAAGAACATCATCAAATAGAAAATGACAATTCTTTACAGATAAGTTAAGAAGTCGAGTGAATTGATCAACTGTGAAACCGTGAGGTATTATAGAAACAATTATACTAATAGTCTCATCTAGTGGTATGTTAGTAAAAAGTGACTTAACATCAAAGCTAGCCATTACAGCATTATTAGTATTAATCTGCAGCTCACATAATTGCTTAACAAACATAAATGTATCAGAAATAGTGTAAGAATTAGTGGAAAAAGGACAGAGAAGTGGTACAAGAAACTTAGCAAGTTTGTAAGCATGAGTTCCTATAGCAGAGATAATAGGCCTTAATGGAAAATTAGGTTTATGAACTTTAGGTAAACCATATAGAATACCTGGCCGAGAGCCAATGGGTGTAAGTTCATCATGCTGTTGTTCAGATATAAGTTCTTCATTCTTGAGTTCATTAAGGAGTTTACGAACTTTGTCTTCACGTTTTACAGTTTCTTTATATATATTAGACTTCTGCATTTCTAACTGTTCGAATTTAGTGTTATCCTTAAGAATGTCAAACATTCTAGATTTATAGTCGCTGCGGTTTATGATAACAATCCCATTTCCTTTATTCGGTTTTATCAAGTATATGTCCTTGTCATTCTGGAGTGATTTAATTGTTTTAAGTTCGTCATCCGAGAAGATAGATTTAGGAGGAATGTATGTTTTATAGCCCGTCAACGCAATATCTTTAATCCGAGTTTTAATTAACTCTCGTCGTATCCAGAATTGATTGGTATAGTTTCCTTCTTAATCAATTTAAAAAACTTTTCAAACGGAGTGGGAAAATCACAGAACCGCAATTTACGTGGTGGTAATGAGAAGTTGAGACCCCGAGCTAGTAGATTTTTCTCCGTATCAGAAAGTGTATGAAATGAGTAATTAAAAATAACTTTGTCTGGGTCCGGTGTAGTGGATTTTGATACATCGCCGCACAAACGAAAAAGTGTCTTGTGTTGAATTTTTTCATGATGACAGAGTTTCTTGGTATTCTCACGGTCGCAAGATATTGTCATACTTGCAAAAATCCAATGAAAGGACACAAGAATGTAACAGATTGTCCAAGAAACATGCAGACATAACTGTTTACTGTATATATTGCAATTAAATAAAATAGAGCCAAAATATTACACTAATTTTTTTGTCTAATTCATTTTGTAACACCACCTATACAGTAGCATAGCTAGCCCGACGATTTAGTCCCGCTATGCAAATATTTTCGTGTTTATTGACTGTGAAAACAATCGATTTCTAAAGAAATGAATAATGATAATAATTTTGAATTTGCATAGTGGGACTAAATTGGTCGGGCTTGGCTATGCCACTGCACCTATATTTATATGGCAAAGCTTTGAATCAGTTTACCTTCAGTGCACTAAATTTAGACTTACAGATTGGAAGTTTTGCAATATATGTATGTAGCGTAGTGTTTCCGCAAAAAAAATAAAGTGCAGTTAATTTACCATGCATAATGTTAAGTTTAGAAAAGCAATATTCTTCAATATTCTTGTTGCATAATTATCAGTCATCCATCTCTTCATCTTGAAAACCAATAAAATGTTCACCCTTTTCTTTTGGTTGGAATTTGCTTCTTATTGCACGATAAGCACATGCTGGAAGTAGAATCCTGTTTTTACCAACACGGTCATACACAAGGTGTATAAATTCACGATATGCCACACTTCTCACGAACCTATTCAATGTTTAAGTTAAGTATTAAATTTACAAGTCAATGCCTATATGTATGTATATATTAACCATATAAATGCAATAAGTGGGATAAACCAGGTATGTTCATCTGTGGTACACAGGTACAGTAGATATTACTTGGCTTTTTGTCAAGGCTAAAAAAACCCCAAAATACTCCCAATATGCCCAAGAGCCTCACCTCATGATTAGGTTGTTCAGAATGACCCGTTCGGAATAAAAGCTATTTACTGACAATTCATGACAAAGAGGAATTACTGGGCCAAGGATGGGCTTGTACTGTACATCATTATCAAAAGGTGTATTTCATTTACGCCTCATCTGAACCAGTTTGCTGATAACTCCTTTTATCAATGGTTCTGAACTTTCCAGATGCCAACCGCAATGACCATCTATCAAGGCATACAGTATAAATGCTGGATGTAATGTAATGCATTTTGGAGAAGTTTCCATGTCTTGAGGTACCCATTCATCTGATAATGCCTCTACACATTTCTCCATGTCTTGACAACAGCAGCACTCGTTTGCATTTTGAAGAAATGTAATGTTTCAATTACCACAAGAGCACCTAAAAACAATAATATAATAAAGATATTTAGTTTAATTCGATAAAAATTGTAGCTGAACTGTGTGATTGTGTTATAGGTGTGTTTACAAATTGTCATAAAAATTAATAAACCGGTTCATATATATTAACTTGTGTACCAATTACTAAGGCTCTTTTTCCCCGCTAGCCGATCTTTCAAACTTGCCAGCCTTTGTTCTTTCTCCGCTTGTCGTAGCCTGTATTCTGCCATCCATTCTTCGTCCGCCATAGGTTCGCTTGAATATCGTTCAACATCAACACAGCTTGTGTGTTGATCCTTATTACCTTCGCCATTCTCACTGTCAGAAGCTTCCATAATCTCAGATTCAATGAGAGAATAATTTCCCGGTATGTAGTTAAATTCCGAATCATCATCAGAAACAGAGAGACGATCCGAATCAGAAGACTTCGAAGACATATTTACGCAGTAAAGTACAACAAACGAAGTGAAAACTAGCTAGATTTGCATTGAACGCAACTATAAATATGTCTTTATGTAAACAATATGTCATTTTGACTTACTTCTGCTATGTCACAGGTACCAGTCCACAACACGTTCGGTCAAATAATATATATCGTGCATTTTTGCACGAATAAACTGGAATAAAAAATAATATTTCAAAAAAGTATTTCGATTTAAATAAAAAAAAATTGGGTGATATGCACTTTAAATTTTTACTGGGTGTTACTCTGAGGAATTTAAGTGAGTTGACTGTTTCAATAATACTTGAATAAGCAGAAGATCGTCGTATATTCAGGAATTGATCTCAAAAATTATATTCGCATCTCTCTGCACTTTTTCAGGTGTAGTTGAAATTTGTTAACAGATGACCAAGTGGCAACTTCGTCCACATTTTTTGTGCTGAGCTGCATTGATCTCTGGGAATGATCTTGTACGCCATCGTGTCATCAACAAATTTGACTGTACCGTCAGATGATAAAATTTCTATGTCGTCAATCATTATTAGGAATAGCCAGGGACCTAATTTGGTCCCTTGTGGGACGCCAGCCGGTACTGATTTCCATACGGAGAGACAGTCGTTGGCCAGCTTAACACTCTGTGATCTGTTGCTTAAAAGTCACAGATCCAGTTCACGATATGTGGATTAATGCCATAGTTAGATAATTTGGATATAAGAATGTTATGATAGATTAGGTCAAAGCCTTTTTGATAAGCCAGGGCTATGAATTCAGGGCACCAGTACCGTCGGTAGCTTGGGACCAGTTGTGGACCAGGTTTACAAGAGCAATTTATTACAGTAATGAAATTGCTTAGCGTTCATTTTTTAGCTGAAATTCAGACTGCGTCGTTGAGCCGGCCGCGTCGTAGATCTTAAACTCTAATATAAAATTGGCTGAATTGCACGCTGACATTGTCCCCTATATGAATAAAATTCAAAATATAGACTTCAAATTTAGAATGCATTTGGTATGCAATTTCTTTTTAAAAAAGTATTTCGATGATGCAAAACATACATGTTTTTCATCATGTGATGCCGTGAAGAACTGATTTAAGATTTTCTTGGTAACAACCTGTCACCAACTGCAGGTACCAATTCTTTAAGGTCATCATCAGAGATTAGTTTCAGAGTTTCTTCGTTGTCCAGCTTGTTTTCTATAAAATTAAATAATTGTTGATAGAAATAACTTGAATGTTTGAAGGGCTAGTATCACACCATTTTGAATAAAATAGCAAATATCTCCATTCAAAGTCTAACTGTATTTTATACAGTTTGAAAATAAACATTGAAAATATGCAAGTCATACTGAATGTCAAACACTAAACTTTCACAAAACATGCAAATCCTCCAAGATGACGTTTTTCCCAAACTTGAATTAAATAATCAATAGACAAATTAATATAGATTAGTATTTTATAATATTTATAGAAATATAATTAGCCATTTAATATACAACTCAATCGATCCTTGTTTATGTTCTCAACAATCTAGACTTCTGTACAAGCTTTTTGTATTTATTATTGCTTTGTTTTTCAATACAGTCATTCCTTTTCAGTTTTGTGCTCAAAATGGTGACACTGCTCCTTACTGTGACACATATTTATACTAAATATAAATTTTATATTAATATTCAATGAAATAAATTAAAAATATCGACAACACTTGCAAATCCCGAGGGTATGCCCAGCCTCCCCCCCTGGATGCATAACATTGATAGGTGCATAATGACTTAATTTAAACTGTTATATAATTTTGTCACTACCAAATAAATTTGCTCAAAATGAATGACGCACACTAAAAACTCAAGCCAAAGGTGAGAGTTTGTATATCAGATCACAGGCGGCCCAATCTCTGAACGTCCTATATATTTTGAATATTTAACCGTTATAATATTTTAAAATAACAAAATAATTCAAAAAATATTAACAATATATGTAAAAAATATATCTCACTTGTTAATAGAATCCATTTGTTGGGTTTCTGAGTCTAGTTGATGCGATTGCTTTACGTTTTCGTCGTACTTGAACGGTCGTCAGCACTGGCACTGAACGACATGGCCATACTAGGACATAAATAACTACAAGGCTAGCCACTTATCTGATACACCCTCCGACATCGAGTCCAATATCTCGCCTCAGAATCGTCGCAGAGCAATAAATTTCACATCGTCTAATAGCACGAACGTTCCTCTTTCGAAAGAACTTGATTTCTTCACCATTCCGGTAATTCCCGCGACACACGACGAACTTTGTTTGTCAAAAGTACAAATTTCCATTTTCGACAGACGCGCTAACCCCATGATCGTCGCCACGAGAGCTGCTCAGCAACCTGGCCTCCTCGTTCGAAACACTCCGCCAGGGGGGGGGAGAATCTGCACTGGAATTAGGGGCTTTCAAAGCAACACGACAAAAGCACGATATAAATAGAAATAAGACATACGGTTGACCGCAGTCAGCCAATCACATGTTGGAATTCTAAATGTAATGATTTTTGAAATTCGAATTTTGGTTTGTTTACTAAAAACAACTAATACCTATAAACTATGATTAAATAAGAAATAACAGCATGTTACCGAAACCAGCGAAACGATCTTGTAACCATACAAGCAGTTCATTAAGGGAAAAGTCAGCTTCAACGTATTTCAATTGGAAAGCATGGTAATTCCGTTTTATATTTTATATTTTTACACATTAGCTATAAGGCCACATAAAATAAATTCCTTGATTCTCATCACCGCCCGACTGTATTTTAAGAGCCGCGTGAAATTTTTTATATTTTGTTATACAATATAAATGTACCGCCCGACAAAATATTTCAAGACAGTTAAGTTTTTTATATTTTATATTGGGTTTTTAGTGCAATTTTAAACTGACAATTTCAAACAAATAGAACCTTGACAGAAATTTCATTGCATTTTCACGGAACTCCGCATTCAGTTCAAGGGCCAGTCATTGTTCGTGGAGAAATATGTTTATTTCAGTGTGTGACACTTCTATTTATTGATATATATTAAATTATATAAATATAAAATATAAAATATAAACCTCCCGCCTCTTCTACATTTTCAAAGTGTAGTGATGAGAATCAAGGAATTTATTTTATGTGGCCTAAGTGACATCGATATATTTTTCGAACACACGGTGTCGCGGCAGGCGGCGGCACAATATATCTATTAAAATACTCTGGTATTGTCTATATTGACAGATTGCTACACATATAGCATGTATTAAAATTATTAAAAAGTAGTTGATAATTGATTTGAATTCGAATTATTTAATTCTCAATAACAAAAATTTACAAATAATTATATGAATAGTTTTTTCATTCATCATTTAATATACAATTGTTTAACTCTTTCCCGACAGGTCCCTATTAAACAAATCACTCATGATTTATCATTTTTGCGCTTCATATCTTCAGTTCGGTAAATGCTACGTGGACCAAAATACCACCATTCGATTCAGTGTAACGATAGCTACTCATTCCTATCGATAGATTTAGTGAATGGCAACATTATAGCGATTTATGAGCTTTGAAAGTCAAACGAGCTCGTATATGAATAAATATGATCAAATTACGCAATATTACTGACAAATTATAAACATACCTTTCGCCGAATATAACTTCGTTCCATTCAGACGTATGCTCATTCTGATGTTCTTGCTGCAATAAGAAGTTAAAAATAACACGTATAGTGTTATTTTCAAGCTTCTATCTTTAAAATTCGACATTTAGTGCCGAATTTTGTATTTCTGCTCCGAATATGCGTTAATCCCAACCGGAAATACGACGAAAAACCGTCAAAACAATGCTACGCTTGCATCGCGTGACTCTGGAAATGCCAGAAATGGATTCTACAGGTCAAAGTGCACCCATACGCGTGAGTTTTACGTCATCCCGGCTAAAGGGAGCTCCTTATTGGCCAAGTATTACGTAATACAAGCGCGTGCTAGTAAAACCTGATACTTGAAAAATTCAGAATAAATATTTCTAGTCGGCGTATACATACGAAACTTTCTACACGAAAGCGCTTGAATACAAAGAGTATTTTACACATATCCTTTCAGGAAATGACACCAAAGTTTAGAATATATTCAACTTTTTCTAATTTTCTCGTTTGAATGTTTGGCGAAGCGTTGAGTATAAATATATGATTGTTTCGGTTTGTGTAATGTTTTGACGGCACTTGACCCCCCGTTCGAAAGGTTATATTGTGAGGATTTCAATGGTGGCATTTATTTAATAGGGGGGTAAATACTCGCCGAGATATTTATATTAGAAAAATTGTATCGAAATGTAATACGAAACCGGTTGTCGGGAACAATTGTTTAATTAAATGTACATGACCAGAAATTATTATAACAAACTTTCATTTTAATATACGTAGTTATATTTGTAAATAAACATTAAGCATAATATAAAAATATAATAAAACCATATTTAAATGTTGTCTATGTAAGAAAGTCTTTATAATTGTGCATGTCAAATGATAGGTTAGTTTATTCAGTTTAGTTGTTTTCCCACTTTGTTTTCCCACTGGTCAACTTCTCTTGGTCAACTTTATACATCACACTTCATAATTATGTATTTATAATACATGCATACATACTATACATTGTCAAGGAAAACCCCGCAAATGCGCCTCATGAATTGTCCATTATTCTTGTATTTTAAACCGTCAACATGCAGGCAGGGCATTTTTTAAGAAATTGCAACTACTGGGGCCAAGTCTCAATGAGGGCCTTCTCGCCGCACGGTTACCTGTGCTTAGTGGCGGCGCTAGCCCTATTTGAATGAGGGGGGGGGGGGACGTGAAATTTCGCAGACTCATCTCAAGCACTAAGGCCACATAAAAAAAAATAGTTGGTTAGCGTCCCCGCCCGCCCACAAAAAAGGCCCCGCTCAGGATTTTTTTTTATTTTTTATTTTAAGAAAAACCGACTTTTATTGATCAACGGGCTCTAATATATGTAGTATTTCTGTTGACTGTAGTCAATTGTGTTAATAATTTGCGAAATTGCGTGCGAAAATGACGGTATGAATTATATTTTGAAATATATAAAAAAATATCTGTACTGTGCAAGAAAATCCAGTTTCGGACCTAACAGTGAGTAAAATCAAAGCGTTAAAAATTAGTTAAAATTAAAAAAAAAAAGCGCCCGCCCGCCCACTTTTTGGCAAAAGCTAAGGACGCTAACCAACTATTTTTTTTTATATGGCCTAATTTATGTTTCTTTTCCCGATATTGTTGGCTAGTGGGGGAAGAGGATGAAGGGGTTTTAGTTCACGGCTCTACATTAAACTTTCCATTTTCTTTTTGGTTAACGTAATGTTGATTGTTTAATTTTCCGTAATTTTTTAGTACATAACTACAATTATTAGTTTTTAATAAGTGTCACTCAAATGGCCCAGTTCATCTGAAAATCGTGCTTCATTACTGCATGGTGCAAGTAAAGGGCCTACTGGGGTAAATGCCCCAGTAGTTATATAGTTAAAAAATGCCCTGCATGCATGCGCGTATTTTTATTCACTCTTTAATTCTATTTCATGGTAGGCTATTATCAAATTACGAATTTTCTGAAGGTTTTTATATGAAAGGGGAAGATATAATTGACGAATCGAACGCAGTAAAGGAAAATATATCTAGCGGCTTGCCGTTAGGAAAGAAAGCCCTTGGTACTGCTATCAAAGAATTATGGAATGGAAAAATCAAGTTGTTAAGAAAAGGTTCACGACAAGAAAGGCAATATGTCTACGTTAATATAAAAAAGAAATCGATTACTCTGCAGCAACCATTGCCTGATGATCCATTTGAGATGATAATGAACACTCAAGAAATGAAAATACCTCCTGGCTGGATAAGTGTTTCTGACAGTGTAAATAAAATAAATTTTATTCGGAATGAAAAATGGGCATTTCGAAACGATCGTGTCATGACTGAATTATCTATAATCAAGTGCGAATCAAATGAAGTAAAATATTCTATATCCTCTCATGGACAAGAAGTTGATATCAAAGACGTATTGGAAAATGCAGGTATCATGGATCGCCCACCGGCCGATAGAATCTTCTGTATCCTAACATTGCTAGATCAATGCAACCTTTGCCAAGGAGTCCCTGTTTCAAATACCGATAGTATTATAACTCTTGTTGACCACGAATTCGGTGCCTTTGAAGATCTCTCTACAGTTTCCGCTACCACATCAATTACAAAACAATATAGAGCATTTTCATCCAAGTGTAAAGTAATCTCTTCAGGGAAATGTTGTGCAGGCTGTCAATATTTGCATAAAATAGATTTGAAAAGGAAACATAGAAAATCTGAAATAGTCACGATCAAACCAAGAACCAATAAGTGGTACCTTACTAAGGAGGAAGTCATTACGCAGCTAGACAAAGAAGGGCAAAAAAGAGTAAATGCGGAGAAACGAGAAATTTATTGGAGAGAAAAATTTAAATCCGAAGCTTTAGAAATGGATGTTGATGATAATGACGACCTCTCCTCTATGATGCTTTCCATTTCAAATGACGAAATACCAGACAACATGAAATGCCTTTGGGATGAACAGAAGAAAATGATTCAAAGAAAGAAGAATGGTTACCGCTGGCATCCAACGTATGATTAAGGCTAAGTACTATTCACTGTCATATATTGCAATTAAGAGTCATTTATATTATAAATACAATTTTTTAAAATAGCTAACAGATATTCAATGTCGTACCTATGCAGAGTATGCCCGTTCGCAGGTATAGGTGCATGCTGGGCATGCCCATCACATTATGTGATTCACATAACCAATGGAAGGGCATACTCCGGGTACGAGATGGACATATATTTGCATTTTTAATAATGAGCTAGTAGTAATGATAGAATGAAGACAAAAAAAAAGAGGGGGTGTGTGAACCTATTTGATTTAACTGGAGCTTTGAATGGAAAGTGAAAGTATCGCGGGCGTCAATGATCGTATCCGCTGACTGTACGGACGGGGGGGATAATTTAAAGGGGGCGTTCCCAATTTTGGACCGACGCTTACCGTCTGCGGCGAGTGTTTGATTGACAGCTGTGTGTGACGCGTGGTTGCGCGCATGCGTGGCGGAGCTCCGAACCCAAAGCCCTGGTCGACCGAAGTGGCGTTCGTTCGAATTTGCTGCCGTTTTTCAAATAAGCCGTGACATCATGTGTTACCACTTGGTGTTTCCACGTATTTTCTTTTCTTTTTCCTTTTTGAAAAATTAATTAAATACCCACTCAGGCAAATTAAACATTCCTTGTTTTGTTTATTACTATGGTTACATAATTTGTTTTCCGGTTTTATTACTATGGTTACTATTTCGTATCTTTTTAATACTACACGGTATACTAAAGTTCATATTAGTTTTCATTTTTCTTGTTTGTGGTTTTCTTTATCCAAACATTCTTCTACAGCGTCTTGTAATTTCTGAAACGCCTCATCCAATTGTCTTTGCTTCGCATATCGGTAGCCGGTTTGCATTTCTTCGCATTCTTTCATACCGGCAACAAACGCCTTCTCAAACCATTCATTGGATTCGTCAAATGAAAATTCTTCGTCTTCATCATTAAACCAATCATCATCTTCGTTGTAGGAAAGCGGACAACTTTCCCCTTCAAATATTCGTCTGGCTTGCAAACATTTTTTGCATTCAGCAACAGACGAACAGTTTAGGTTGCATTCAGCCATGTTTTGTGAATTTAAGCAATAATCACCCAGGTGATTTTATTAAATAATCGTAAGCGGTGTGTAACGTCACGGATTTTCCTTCGCGCTACCACTTTACATCCTTCCACATTGTTTTTCTTTCTGAAAAAAATTAATTAAATAATTACCCAGGTGATAATTCGCTAAAAATTACCAAATAATCACCCGGCTAATTATTTTATTAAATTAGTGTGACGTCATGTGTGTTACCACTTGGTGACATTTATTTTCCATTAAAAAAAAAGAAAAAGTAAGGCGTAATATTTTCTTAAAAAATTTAAGATGATACCAAGCCCTATATTTTCTAAAAAAAAGCAAAAAAAATGATAATTTAAAAAAAATTATAACCATTCGACCATTGCAAATCATAAAGAAAAGCTATACCCGTATGGTTGTAACTTTAATAAAAAAAGATTGCTAAAAAACATTTTAAAATAGACGATAATTTACTTCGAGTGTAAAACGCGAAGCAAAAGACCGTCTAGTATAAAACATTTTATTTTTTTATTTTTTTATTTTCCTTCCATTTTTTGATAAAATTTATTTTAACAATCACCCAGGTGATACGTTTGTTAATAAAACAACAAACAAATCAACAGGGTGGCCGTAATGTTTCTTTTCTTCTTCTTTTCTTTTTTCTTCTCTAATCTTCGTATTTGAAATTTTAATGCGCATGACTAGTAAAGTTTATAAAACCATAATAATTGCGAAGGTAGAGTAAAAGGTAGTTAAAAGCCAAATAAATGTAAAGTATATTGTCTGGCGATTTAGCACATTGCTAGTTGTAGGCGGTGTGGCGGAAATGGATACGCGTTAGGTCCCTATGGGAAAAAAGTCCTAAGTCAATGGGGGTTCGAATCCCTCCTAAGTTGTTGCAATTAGCCTTGCGTTAAGAGTCAGACATATATTTTTTACAAAAATGTATAAAGATCGTTTGTAATAACTATTGTGGTTCACATCTTTTCCAGCATGGATAAGGATTAGTTAAAGGATAAGGTAAAGTTTTTGTTTTTTTTTAAAATATAAATCCAATTCCACCATCTGTCATAAAAAATTATGAAAAATGGTAGAGAGGAGATTATATTTTAAAAAAAATATTTTTTCCAGATACCAAAATTAAGTTACTATCCACCACGAGAGTTTGTATCTGTTACTACGTTATCTCCAGAAATAAAGTTGTATCGTTACAAAATTGATAGAACAAAAATTAAAGTAAAGGTAAAAAAGTTTTTTTATAGTTTTTGTTCACATTCCTCAATGTAGGCGTATACTTCGGCGTAGGGTTTGCTTGTACCGTCTGGACGCAGGCTTAAGACTTTTATTGTATAAAGATTGCTAGGCTTAAGTGTGTCGATAATTTTCCGATTTTCCACATCGGTGGCAGGTAGATAGTCAACATCCCATTCATGGAGGCATTGATAGAAATACCATACAGCTTTTGCCCAATTTTTGTTGATTAGTCTATTTGCGCTGGAAAGAAAAGCACCATGGTGTAAACAGTTGTTGTTTTCTTTTAATTCTTGTGTGGTTGTCATGTGTGATAAAATATGGATGAATAACTCTTGCTGTTCTTCCTTTGTTTCCCCCGACCAGTTTTTAGGACGTTCACACATTTTTTAATATTTAATTTTTTTCTTATTTTGTATACCACCCGCTAAAAAGCAGGGTGAAAAAAATTGGGTATAAATAGCGTATCTTTAGCTGTCACCTTTTCCCACTCGTTTGCAGTGCTGAATCCACAAGTAAGCGTTACTTATTTTGAAATAAAAAATGTCGGATGGGTTATATTTATATGTTTTTAACTGAAAAATTGGAAAAAAGCCATGACCAAATATGGAGATTGTAATTTTACCATATATTTTAAACGGTTTTAACCAAAAATATTGGTAAAAAAAATATTTCCATATAAATGAGGTTTTCTTGTTTTTTGAAGACAAAAAATAAATATGTCTTGTAGTAAGACTTGCACATGTAACGTATGTACGGAGAAAAGGGAATCGTTACAGTTACAAGACTACCGACAAGTGCCGCAAGATGCAATATGTGAAGCTGTGATGAAACCTTTGGACCAGTTTTGTGAAACTAGTCTAGAATATGTAGCAAGTATTAATGCAAAAATGGTGGAGATGCGCGAATGTTTACAAAAAGTAGAGGCATCGATTTTTGAAGCTGTTAACTTGGTAGAAGAAAAGGAAAAAAAGGGTGGTGGTGCGCTGTAGCAAATGGAAAAAGGGGAAGCTTTTGACGAGGCATTAGTGAAATCTTTTAAAAAAAGAAAACATTGCGGCAAAGGGTCGATGACATGGTATTATAACAGTGTACTTTATACAAACATTAACAATGTATTTTTTATTGGAGAGAACACAAAGAATCGACGACTTATATTTTTAGATAGTATAATTTCCATTGATGTATTTTACTGTAGTAGCGCGGACATTATACCTGACCGCCTTTTTAAGACAGTGTTTTATAAAATGACGAGTATGGGTCTTAAAAACTATGCAACTAGGGTTAATTTGTTGTCGGATTATCCTGTATTGGGTAGTAGTGAGCTCGATGGACATTTCATAGGTTGTTTTAATTATGCTATAAGAAATATTGGTAAAAGCGAAGATGTAATTTGCTATATTTTAGAAAATACCGGGGTATTAGTGTCGCTATTTGTTATTGAGATAGTAAGAAAGAATATAGCAACACACGAACGAATTATTAAATAAAGAAATAGTTTATTGGATTAGAATTACATCATTACAATTTCTAGATTGTTCTTGAATGTTTCTGAATACATAGTACGGGTTGTTAGATGCTCGCTCTTCGCGATACTCTTGCAAGCTGATCTTTACAGCTATCGATTCCAAGGCTTGTGGTTGTCCATGGATCTGTAAGATACATGTGTTAGCTAGTTTTTTCTCGATGTGTATCGGCTGTAAAAGTCGTACTCACCGTATGTATTAACATACATTCCTGCGGACGCAGGAATAGCGGGTATATGGGGTAACGCACTGTGGGTACTTGTAACCGTATGTACAGATGTTGACTTTCCGGTAAAAGAGAATCTTGATATTTCACTAAAGCAACACGGTAGTGATTCTGTGTATTATTGTAGTAAAATAGTTTGTGATATGCTCCAATAGGGTGGTTAACATAGTTCATTTTTGCCATGGTCTAACAATTGACATTATAATTGTTTGTAACACACCTTTATAATGTTGTTTTTTTCCTTTTGACCGTATATGGTCATCTTCCATTTTTCCCTGTAACTTACTCATAGCAGTATTAAATTCAACGCTATTAAATAATGTATTTAAACGACGATCTAAAACTTTGATTGACGCAGACATGGCGGGGCGTTGTACTTGTTATCCGTATAAACGTAAAGTATCGGAATTTAATGATAATATAGTAAAATTTTTTGAATTGGGCAACCATAAAGGGTTTTGTACCACTAGTTTGGTGTTATGATGATGTGGTTTATGAAAATATTGGTACTATTGTATGGTTAGAACCTCACACACATTATCAATGGGGATGTTGTATGTGTTGGAACCAAGAATATTTTAAGGTTTCACATGTGAATGCTATAGGTTTACGTGTTTATACGTGTGTTCATTATAAGATAGTTAACAATCAAATGTTGATCGAAGATAATCAACGACTGCTGGAAGGTGTTGTTGATTACTTGGGAGAAGCATACATAAATTATTCGATAAGTGCTGATGACATACGTATAATTCAATATATTTTACAAAATACTGGTGTGTTACTGTCACGTTGTTTTGTGGATTATATGAGATCTGTGTTTAAAGAATCGGTCTGACCAAATAAGGTCATGACACATTTGTTGTATCATGTGTGAACCCTATTTGATTTAGTAGTTTTTATTTATTTGCATCAGTATGGCGTTATACGACGGGTACAAAGCCGATCGTTGGGAATTTGTTGTTTCGCGTTGGATGGATGGTAAAACATTTAATATATCTAACCCCAGAAATATGGTACTGGCGTTAAGAAAGCCGGAATGGGCTATTACAACTTTAGCAAGTACTTTGGTAGAGAAAGGTTTTATACCCGAATCGATACAACAGGATGCTGATTTGTATGAAGTATTGCTTTGGCAGATGCAATTTCAACTACTGAGGAATGTGTCTGTTCCCCTTGCTGTAATATCTGGAAATTTTTTGAGAAATAGTCGCCCTGATCGGTGGATTATAGGTGAGGTCAATGCAAAAAAACACGCAGCCATGGAGAAGTTGGCGAGAGATACCAGGGTAAATTTAACATACTGGTATCGTCAAAAGAAAGTAGAAGTTGCAAGGGAAAAAGCTCAACCGTTTGTTGAAAGAATTGCGAAAGAGGTTAGTTTATTTTTTACCTTTCCAGTTTTGATGAGTTTTTTTCTTGATTTTTCAATTTCTTTTCTTAATGTTTCAATCCAACATATGTGGCAAGAACAATCACGTTGATAAATATGATGTAGACCGTAATATCGCCGACTGTCCATTTTTTAGGAACGTGTTGGGGGAAGGATGACACGAAGTATGACGAGAGGGCAGAATACGGATACGGATTTTGTAACATTTTGTAGTATTTATCAGTAAAATAACGAAGGTTATTTAGTTTAGTACTTACATTCAACATGTGTGTTACGATTTTATTTTATAACGATTATAAAAAACTGTACAGTGTAAAAATAAATGTTGTCGATTTTGAAAAAGTGTTGTGTGATATTTTACCCGCCGGTGTTAATATGGCATGTATGGAAACATGTACGGTGACCGACAAATATTATATTTTACAATTTTGGAACCGGTTAACTCGAACTAAATCCGCGACAACTTCGTTGTATGAGGCACCCTTTATAAATAAAATGATTGTGTCCGGTTATGATATTATGCGTTGGTATAAAGCAGCGCACAGCGTACAACAGTGTGTTAGTAAAAAACGGAAAGATGGCTGTGAATAGTGTACCTCGAAATTTCAATGCATTTATTATTTTTGATACGCAGGTTGAAATACCACCGGCGCCGGAGAATTGGAATACGAATGAGGCCGATGATTTGTTAGACAATATCGTTGCACGCTATATATGGCGATGGTTGTTGACTGTTACAGAGAATGGGTTATGCAGGGATTTGTGGATAAAATCATTTTCATCGGTTTTGCAAGAGTGTTGGTATAATATTGAAAATATATACGATGTTTTGATTAAAAAATGGTGTGATGAATCACACTATCTAGATCGCGAAAAAGTGATTGCTAAGCAAAGTTCACTATATAGCATAGCTATGTCGAAACTACAACGAAGGCGGACACATCGCGTACAACGTTATCAGGATGTTGATGAATATATAGACAATATTTACTTTGCAAGAGTAGTTTTTTTTAAAAAATTTGGAATATAAAAACAAACAGTTGAAGGATAGTTGCATTCATTCTACTTTGCTATGCATGTAGTTGCACCATTTTACTTTACTATGGCTGAATCAATTACTCGTGAAATTTATAAGGGTGCTGAACCGATACGGTTGGCCGATCGTCTACGAGCATGTAATATTTTAGAAGATGCAAACTCCTGCAATTCAATGATGGCAGTGTATGGTGATGATAATTCTACTACATCGTGTGATTTTGATTTTCCACATTCCTGTGATTTACCTGTCGACGGGTGCGAATGTCATGATTGTTGTCAAAAAATACCCTATTGTGAAAAAGTACACCCTTTAACCCCACCAGCCCGCTATCATCCTAGGTTTGATGAAACATTTGAAAAGTACTGTATGGAGCAAGATAAACAATATCAACGTATGGGTAATTCAGAAGCATATCATATGTTTAGAGAAAAAGAAAATATTGAAGGTCCCTGGTGTTCGTGGAAGTCAATGGTCGATGTAAATAAAGACGAAAATTTTTCACGCTGGAAGTTCACGGGTGAAAGAATAGGACCGTTTGGCGATGATAAAAGCGTAAATGATTTTATATGTTTTTTATATGTTATAAATGAATGGTGCGCACAACAAGATGTACAGCAAGAAATTTTAGAACAGTATCGATTAGAATTACAACAACGATAATATTTTTATTTATTTTTTAGCATTTTGTTTGCATAATATTTTTCATTGCTTCGACCATTTCATTACATTGTAAACTTTTTCTAACATTTTCTCTCACGATATCAGGATGTACATAATTATCGCGTGTGTCAAAATACATAAAATTTTCAGTATCTGTGTCTTCATCACTACTACTACTATATTCGCTACTACTACTACTATATTCGCTACTACTACTACTACATTCAACTTCTTCGATTTTGCGTTTACTCATCGTCTGTCATAAGTTCACAATCGTCGCAACACTTGTTAAATTTACAACACATATGCAAATAACAATAGTACATGGGTAGCCCTTTCTCAAGATCCCGTTGTAACAGTCGTTTTATCGGTGAAATTGCTTCTTTTTCTTTTTTAATTTCTGCTAATTCTTGCCGATTTTCTTCTATTTCTGTAGCGAGGATTTGTTTTTGAACTTCTACTACTTCTTTTACCACGTTGAGATCTACACCACAGTTATGTGTACGCGTGGGTTGATTTTTTTGACTGTGTAGTATGCTTTGCGCGCAATCGTATAACTGTTTTGCTTTTAAACAATTTAAACAATCTTTACCGCAATTACAGTTTTTATCTGCGGGACAATAGTTACAGCTTGACATTGTAGCGTGTAAAATGAATTTAACATTATGACCAATTTTATTTTTATAGCAATAAAAGATCAAATTTTTTAAGCAAACTATGCGTATGACTATATTTGGGCATAGTGGTAAAAAATGTATGTATATTAGTAGTAGGTTAGAAGAAAAAAGTAATCATTAATCACATCATGATCTGCGACTGCAACGTGTGTAAAGTGTGGAAAATTGGTTGTGAAAAAGTCACATGTGAAAATATTAAATGTTGTTGTGATGAATATGTCAGCTTGATCACATATAATGAAACCGCTTATTATGTTTGTCAAGATAAACATTATACCCGTAGCGAATTGGGGGGGTATTTTTGTGGTTTTCAAATTGAAGCCGAAAAGGAAACGAGTATGACCTACGTGGGAATTATGAACGAGATTGAAGAGTATATTTTCTACATGTTATATCGTGATCCGTGCAAATGTGGTGTGCAGACAAAAGCCGTATTAAAACGTGTTAGTTATTCGACACCGTCGTATATGCGTGATTGTTCAGCCGCAAATGAATTACAACTATTTTACGTATGTGGGACAGATTGTTGCGATGTTGAAGAATCGGTTGTTGAAATTATTGCCAAACGTTATGCAGTAAAGTGTTTGTGTGATAGAACGTGTATTTATCAATACGGTGTTTATAGTTGTCCAAAAGTTGGTGGTGGTTGCGGTGTTTGTTTTCACGAAATGGATTCTTTAACATACATACATACATGGATTATAAATAAACAAAGACCTTTGACACTATACCCGGCTCGAATATGTCATTTTAGACCTGTAATCAAATACATATTAGAAAAAGAGAAATTATGTTATATATGTAGACACCCATCAAAATGTGAAAACGTTTCATTTTGTTAGTAGATTTTATTCATATGGAAAAAATACGTATTTTACAAAAATAACATCCAAAGATTACCACCTTGTTGTTGTTTTTTTTTTCCATCGTTTTCTACATAATAGAAGTGATTGTTTGTTTTATAAAGTCTTTTCTTGTTGTAGAGTTCAGTTTTTATTAAAAAAACACCTACGTCTTCCTACCTCTACGTCTGCGTGGTGCTGAGCTGTAATAATGGGGTGGTGGCCTGTAGTATTGATAGGGTTGATATTGCTGCCGATAGGGCTGATAACGACGCGATTGATTACCCTGATTGCCTTGTCTTTGATTTACATTTAGATTGATGGGTTGTGATTTTGATTTTTTCCCCCCACCAAATAAACTGCTTAAAAAACCACCGTCTTGTGTTTTTTTCGGTTTCCCACGCTGATATTTTGCGCCCTTAAAATTCCCACCATATTGACGCGTACGACGTGATCTTGGCCTGTAGTTTACCATCTTATAGCTTTTGTAAACGAATGATTGTTTTTATAAAAAGACCATGTACTTATATGATAGTTTTTTTGTTTTGTATTTGCCGCCCGCTAAAAAGCAGGGCGATTAAAAAATACGGTGAGAAACTTTTTTTACAGCACAGAACATTCAGTTCCCTTCGACATTTGATATTGCTATCCGTGAACTACTCGAAGGTTATTTTAAATGTTGCTTTATATAGACTTTTAAAAACATATTAAATTACAGTAGACGTAATATTGGGAAGATTTCCATCAATTTTACAATTTTATTGTAATATCCAAATATGGTTTGAAGATAACAGGGTTTGAAGATAGAATGATTTTTTATTTTTTTCAACAATGAACCGTCGACGTCTTTTGTGCAACGATCAAATTTATTGTGTGAATTTATGTTTTTTAAAATTATTAGAATGTACTACTGATTATGTACGTTTCGAAGTGGATTATTTTTGTCACGGGCAATATATACGACGCATCATAAAAAAAGAATTAGATTCTCCAAAATTTACCATCACAGCGGTTGGTTGGTGCAGTTTTGAAGACAATGCTTTAAAACATATGTTGGAAGAGTTTTTTAAACAGTGTAATTGGACATTTTTACATTACAAAAATACGCTGGATTATTGTCAAACGCAACTTAACTATTATTTGATTAAATATTATGGTATATGGTTCAAAGACGATCTAATCTGGTACGCACTTAATTCAATACCTTATTCAAATTATAATTATTGTCAAAATTTGACAAATTTAAAATATAAGAAACAATACGATTGGGGTTATGAATAGTCGTGTGCTAGGCAAGCGATGGTTTTCTGGTGCTTTGTATGACGATGTAATTCAAGAGTTAAATTATCATTACGATTGTGTTCACGTTAGTGGAGATGAATATGTATTTTATCTGGGTTTTCCTGACGGTTATATACGTCGCAAATTTTCAATACTACCCGAGAGAAATGTAATTACACGTTGTCTAACCGGGGGTTACGTCCTATATTCAAAGAGCCGTATTGACGCTTTAAAAAGACTTTTCGGTATGTTTAGAGACGGTATGGCAAGTGGTTTAAACGATACGATGTTAAGAGACCATATAACACATAAATATTTACCCGACAATATCTATATTACTACGCGGTTATATGATGTTATGAAAGGATTAGCGTCGCGTGAAAAGGTAGCCATTTATGAAGATACAACATATCATCCTTTATCTTGCACTTTTGATTACAGCCATGGATGATGCAGCCAAGATGGATGGGAAGAGAAGAAAACAGTTATTTTTTGAAAAACAAAAGAAGAAAAAAATACTTGTTATTACGATATAAATTTACATTTTTACATATGGGTATTCTATACCCTGTTTCATATGTGTTAAAAGCCGATATTACGCGGCGAACAGATACCTATTATAGTGTAGTACTTATCTTACAATGGTGTAATGATGAAATGACAGAACATTATATTTTCAATGGAACCCTTGTTCTTCGACTAGGAGGTAGCCGGCAAATGAATAGAATTGCACAATTTGTGTTTTATATACAATGGCTTTTTTCGACGAACTCATGTTATGCGCGTAATATTAACGCTATTCAAAAACGATTTTTAGTCGATAATATGATTATTGATGATAGTGTATTACCCCTTATTATATACGCACATTTATATAAGTTGTACGTGAGATGAAAATACCTCATTAGTTGTAAAACATGTGTGCTGTGTGTGTGTTTGTTATATTTTTTTGTTTTCTGAATGGAACGTTATACGACAACGTCGTGGTGGGGTTTGGTAGACTGTAAAAGTGAATATGTAAGGGAATTATTTCAGGAGGAATTGACACGTTATCTAAAAATATATGACGGACCTATGCGACAGATATTGGGGGAAAACGAGGCTAGGAAGACAGAATGTTGTGATTTAATGGTGGTTTTAGTGGATGATGATTCTTTTACCAGTATTTCGGGATATTTTCGAGTATTAGTTGCAGCCTATACACTTGTGACCTTATATGGTCATATTGTATTTTCATCTTCTGAAAATAAATGTTTTTTCCTCACTAAAATAACCGATATCTATAATAAGATATGTGACCATATTAGGGGTGTAATTGCAAAGGAATTTTTGATAAATACCGCAATGCTTGTCGGACTTGGTTTCGCTGTCTATAAGATGTTGTAGCAAAACTTCAGCATTACACATTTACACATTGTAGAGATGGCACAACTGCAACGAGAGATATCGATATCGGGCGTTGAGATGTATGAGAAGCGAAATGCTTCACATGTTACAGAATTAGGAGCATACCAGAACAGAACAAAAAAAATGTTATGGTATGAACGATGGAATGAAAAATGTTGCATCGCTTCTTCATCACCTACGCAATCGGGTGATAAAAATTTATACAAAATGAAATTTATGTTGACGGTCGAGCAGCTTCGTACCGTTTATGAATGTCTGAAGACCAGCAAGAAAGGTGGCAACCACTACACTATTATCGACGAATATGAAGATTATCAGAAAAATGTGGTTCGCATCGTCTTGAAAGATAGCGAGTATCGTGGCTTGGTCCTAGTGCGTCTACAAGCTGCTCGACCAGTTGATGTTCTCATGGCAGATGTTCCCGACGGTTTGGAAGATGATACCCCCACATCACAAGCAGTGGTTGATGGTGAAGAGGCGTGGGAATGGGAAGAACAGTGGGCAAAATCTTACTTCTCAAAGAATGAAAATTGGACATATGTGGCCAAGAAAATCAACGAATTCCTAATTAAGGTCGAGCATCAGGAAGATGTTGATGACGAGTCAATGTTGACACCGGCGTTACCCCCATCCACCGCAAAGAGTGTGAAACGCAAAGAACCCGCAGCAACGAAAACGGGTCTTGCTAAACAACCGGTGAAAAAGAGACGCGCTATAGACCCCGTCGATGAGGAGGTAATAAAATTTAATAATTGGTATGAGGATATAAAACTATACGGTACTTCACACAATTTTCAAACTCGTGTAAGCTGTGTTGTTAAAGGGGTCTTACTGAAAATATTAAAGGAAAATATTACGTATGAAAAAGCATTAGAATTTTACAATTCCAAAGGTGAATTCAATGTACTATTGGATAATGATTTGAAACAGAATGTATTAGACACTGTTGACCGTTTAAATGTATTGCGTGAAACGAGCGACATGTCTATGGATAGTTTTACACAAATTTTTCATTAATTTCCCTTTTTAGTATCGTAAAGCCGTATCGCTTATTATAGCTGTGATGCATCGTGAAAAAATTAAATCTTGCAAAGAAGCTGTATTACTATATACATCTGAAATGAATGAAGAATATGTGTATGACTATCTCGCCGTGATCAAAAAAGATGACAATGTAACTACCATAGACGATATGTATTTTGAAATGATTGACAAACATTTGTTATATTAATTTTTTATTTAGTAAACAAATATGGGAAAGAGATCAGCAAATAAAGATGTCGAACTGATTAAAAAAACATCGCATTTGTTAAAACACGAGAGATTAAATAATAAACAAAAAGAAGCGTATACGTTACACAGTAGAAAATTTACAAAATATAAACGATTACCTATTAATATATATAGCCGTAATGCACAGTGGAGTATTGATTTAGCAGATTTGAATAATTTATCAAGATTTAATAACCAATATCGTTACTTACTTGTGTGTGTTGATATTTATTCCCGTTATGCTTTTGTACGACCATTAAAGACAAAAACGGCTCGAAATGTGGCGAATAAATTTGAAGATATACTTATAAAAGAAAAAGAAATTCCTTTAAAAATTCAAAGTGATGAGGGGACAGAATTTACGTTGATTAAAAGGGATTTGTGTAAGAAATATGGTTTCACACTTTTTCACACTTACAATCGGGAAACAAAAGCCGTACATGCCGAACGATTTATTGAAACCCTTAAGCAGAGTATTATGCGGTCAATGACCGGATTAGATCAAGGTCATCGATACATAGAAAATCTGAAATTGATTATTGAGCGATATAATGAATCGCCACATAGAGGAATATATAATCTAACACCCTTTGACGTATACAAACGGGGTAAACAACCCGACACATTTCGAAGATTGAAAACATTATTAAACGGTAATCCAACACCGGTACGTCTATTAAAGCAAGGTCAACATGTCCGTATCGCACGAATTAAAAATAATGTTTTTGAAAAATCAAGCTTAAGACGTTGGGTAAAAGAAACCTTTCGTATTAAAAAGGTGTACATTTCCGATCCCGTCACGTATTCGCTTGAAGATCTGCGGGGTGAGGAAATCAGCGGAATATTTTATCGTCGTGAATTGCAACCGCTATGAATATTCAAATTGTTAGTAATGCGCGAAACGATGTCGGTGGTACGAATTATACTAACGAGTTTGTGATGCCTTTGCCGACATTACTAGATGCAGAAAATAAAGAGCTATTTATGAGAGTTTTAAATTTCTCGTATCCTTTAACGATTGAAAATGTTCAAAATGAGCAATGTGGTGTACAACTTTTTATGCGTTTTCCCACGACGTCTGATTCGGGTATCGAGATTAATTTTAAGACTGACATGATGTATTTACCCCCGGGTTCCTACACGTTACAGAAACTTCTTGATACCTTGAACACATTTGTCGCCGAATATGATGTGAATTTTACAATTTTAAATAATGCGCGTGTCGGTGTAACGTACAATATCGAACGTGAATATTGGCATTCTGACGTAACTGTAAAAAGAATTTCAACAAAACCACCCCATCAAATATTCAACGTTTTTTCCCAAAATACCGACGAGGGGGACGAATTTCAAATGGTCTTTACTGAATCATTGGAATATATGCTAGGTTTGCGAGAAATAAAGGTTCATCCGGATGTTGTTCGAACAAAAGAGGTGCGTTGGGGAACTGCGTTTTATTTTCCACAACATATGCGACTACTAAATAAAAATTGGTACCATTTTATGAATAAAACAAATGCTGGTGGAGAAAATAAATTTGCTTGTTCATTCATGGGTAAAGCCCTCCCCGATATTTCCAATGGTATTGATAAAATGTTTGTATATTGTGAACAATTGGAAATGTCTGTTGTTGGCGATACATATGCGCCCTTGTTAGCTATTATACCCTTAAACGGTAGCGATCGGGGTAGTGGTGCATTGTGTACATATACACCGCCGAGTACACGCCGTAGATTAATCAAAAGTAAAATTGATCAATTTAAAGTTACAATCTACGATACAACGCATACGCTAATACCCTTTAGCAGCGGGACTGTGAATATCGAGTGTGTTGTGGAATAAGAAAAAATGTTAAAGATCGATTTAGAAGTAAAAGCTGATCGTCCTAAAGAACTTGTACCCGTAAAATATGAATACAGCTCGGAAGTTAAAGCACAATTGTCACATAAATTAATGTATTACACTATGGCACATGTTACGGGTCTATTGGGGGGTTATAAGTTATCGGTAGCACGAAAATGGGATGTTACTAACAAACTAACGGGTCGTGAAATTCACGCCACAGGTGGTGGTTTTTTTTACAATGGTAAAGATTACGGGGTGTTTCGTGGAAAGACTGTTCGACATTATTATACCCTAAAACGATATTTATTATTTGAACGATTTGAACAAGTGTCTAATAACCGTATAATAATTCCTGTATCAAATTCAACGGTAAAAGCACCGCTTCCAAATTGTTTATTGACCGTACGAAATGTTGCTGATTTAGACGAGAATGTGAAATTTATTTTTGAACGAACACCGGGGTATGAAGCGGATAGTTTTGCATTGGCTGCCGATGTAAAAAACCGGTCAAAATTATCCATTGTTTTGAATATATACGATGAAATATAATCAAATAATCATTCACAATGCAGCAATCAGACTACGTAAAGCTGTTAAAAGGTGGTGGTACATGTTATAAGGGGTCACGTTTGTATGTGTTACCCGGTAAAGCATCAACCGTTGAAGAACGCGCTGCCGGTAAAATTTGTCCACCACCCCAGTTAAATCCGGGTTACGCAACAAATCCTAAAATACAAAGGGTTGGTAAAATACAACCAAGAGTTCCTAAACAGCAAACGTTGCAAACCGGTTCACGTGCCGGCACAAGTGTAGCTCCGGAAATTTTAAAATTAATCTATGGGTAGTAAACGAAGAATAGCGTATAAAAAGAGGAAATCGCGAAAAGTAAAAAAACAAATAGGTGGTTTTGGTCCCGCTGCAGGAATAGCGTTGGGGATGGCATTACCGATGTTATTAAATACTGGTTCAAGTGTTGTAGGTAGTATTTTTGGTAAAAAATCTACTGGAAAACCCGTACAAAGTGTAAATCAAGGGGGGTAATAGACCACCACCTTCATGGATGGACGGGCCAGCACCCAGACGTCGTCGTAGACGACCACAAAGATACTATGACGATGATTATTATTAATATGTATATAAAATATTATTTTTACTTTAATAAAAAATTATAAAAACCAAAAAAATCAGTGTGTGTGTATTTTTTTAAAAAGGAACTGTTTTTTTAAAATAGTTTCATTAGTTCATTGAACATCGTCAAGATGAAACGTAAAAGACAAGAGGAGGCCGAACCTATTGAAGAACATGATAGTGGTTTTGTGGGACCCATGACATTATTTGATACATTTCCCCATAATGATACATTTGCGGAAACACGTACTCTTGAATTACTACCCAATCCTACTACCCAAACTGCTGAAATTTATACCTTTATGCATAATTGACAAGATTATGGTGTAATAGATATGGAGGATGCTAAATTATCGGCAAAATTACGACTTGTTACATCAGCTACGGGGAACGCACCGGCTGCCACTATAAATGCATGTGTTAACATAGCACCGTTACGTTACGGATGGAAAACCAAAGCTGTGTATTTAAATAATCAATTAATTACTCCCCAATCCAGTAAAGAAAATGAACTTGAGTATACTCATGATTTTCTAACAACCGTTCCTTCGGAATATCTGGATGATGCGGCAATTAATTTAATGATTCGCGACACACCGGGTTTTATGGATGTGGTCACAAATTTACATCATGATACGGATAATACAAATCTTGGTGCTAGGGCGCGATATGTTGCAATAAACCAGGCCATAGTTCATAATTGTATTGATAAATTGGATTTGTTGGGTCGTGTTAAACGGTATGTACCCACATCGTTTGATATCAAAGTGGTTTTAACAAGATTAGAAAAATCAAAAGTCATCTATGGTACGGCTGCCGAATGTGCCTTGCTAGATTTAAGAATGGCTGATTTAAAATTAACCATGCCAATTTTAAAACCCAATGCGCAATTATCAGCAGCAATTAATGATTTGATGATTCAAAAAGGTGAAGAATGTCGGTATTATAAAATCACACATCGGTATGTTGCAATACCCGTACCCCAAAATAGCCGACATATTCAACATAAAGATATTTTCAATGGTGCACGACCTACACGTCTTATATCAAAAATTGTATCACAAGCCCGTTACAACGGCTCGCATATATTGTCACCTTATCATGTAGCTTTTCCCGATATCTCACGTTTTGCTGTCAGCATCAATGAAGCCGAAATACCCCCTGTAATCACAAATTCAGCAGAGGCCTACGTTAATTTACGTCAATCATTGGATCGTCGCCATAGTGAGATGCCGTGTACATATCCTGAATATGTATCCGATTTCGGCATGATCGTTACAGATTTATCACCAAATCGTGATGGTTTCTCACAAGTTTTACCCAATTCAACAAGCGGAAATTTGAGTATAAAAATTGATTTTAACAACGACACAGCCGCAGCACAACAGCTAATTTGTATCGGGGAATTTAGAAATCAAATGAGTGTTGGTTTTGGAACACAAGCACGTTTAAAATACGAAGTATAAATTGTTGTTAATAACGTGAATTTGAACTAGTCTGCCTCAAGTATGAAGAAGCGACGTTGTTGTGTGCGTAAAAAAAAACAAAAAGGTGGCGAATCATGGATTGGTAATTTTACAAAATTTACCCGTCAAAAGGGTGGAAAATTTAAAATTGCCAAACAAAAAGGTGGAAAGGGCAACTTACATTATTTTCGAAAAGCTTTCGTGCCAAAAAGATTTTTGAAAAATCAAAAAGGTGGCTGGAATCTGTTTCCTCATACATTTTGATCTAATAAAAATTAAATGTAAACAATAAACGTGTGTATTGTTGATTAAGTAATGGGCAAGACAATAGCGTCATTTTTTGCACGTAAAAAAATCGTAAAAAGAAAAAAAAAACTCAGAAAATCAAGACGAAAAAATCAAAAAGGTGGAATATACTGGGCAAAGACGTGGTTTGGTACAAAAAAATAAATAAATAAATGTGTAGACACACACTTTTGTCCATTTACAATATGCCACGACACGTGACCAGTAACACAGGGTTAAAACTCGGCCCCCGTAAAAAACCCGAATCTTTTGTATGTCGACCGCGACCACCACACACTGTAGTTATCAGTGATAAAGGGGTAAATATTCAAACTGTTCATATACATAGTGTAATTTCAAAATATGGCTGAAAATACCGATTTTAACGAAGATATATTAAACACAAACCTAACGGGTTATTCGGACACAGATGATGATGATGTTGATGATGTTACCGTAGAAAATGTTGAAAATACCGATCAGACCGACGATAATAACACTGTACAACTAGATGAAGAAAGCACAAATATTCAACCCTGTGAAGATGAAAATATTTCAGATTTTCATATTGACAGCAATTTAGAAAATTGTGAATCGGAAGAAGAAGCGGAAGCGGGGTTAGATGACCAAGTAATACAAGGTTTTTTTAAACAGCTACTACAATTACAAGAACAAGTTGAAAAGAAGAAGAAAGAAAATCGTCTCATACCTTGTGTTTCTAATTTTATGAAATTAGATTTTGATCAAAGAAGCCGGCAAATTTCTCCAACTATCACACCACATCTGTTACATGTGTGTGATTTAATTGTCCGCGACAAACTTGATATTAAAATAGATCATGGTGACCGCGGTGTTTTAGAACATATTACCAGTAAAGATTGTCCAAAGAAAGATATAAAATTTACACTTGTAGAAGATATGCGCATTCACGGTTATATTCGGAAAGCTGTCAGACAACTGGAGCTGATCAAGAAAACGCATACAAAAGAAAATGGGCGAAGAAGTCAAGCGGTTAGCGTTGATCGACGCAAATAAATTTAACAGTTTGATGGACATGCTTACTAAAAATAACGCCAGAGACGAGATATTGAACAACGCAAAACGAAGCAGCGAAGAGGCGGGTCTTATTGAAAGTCGTCAGGAAGCTAAAAAATCTGTTAAAAATAAATCTTCCACGGCCGGCAACGACATCATTAATTATCTAAGAAAAACGGATAGTTATCGAAAATCGGTTGGTCTTGATCAAGTTGTAGATGATGATGATGCGGTTGTGGCCCCGGAAAATAATCCCGCCCCAGTGACAGCCGGCGCGTCGGGTGCGGGTCATAAACCCGGTACAGTTGCTGCATCGGCAGCAAAAATAGAGGAACATTTACGAAAACACAATGTAAAACCGGTACCCCACGGTATTAAATACGGCGACAATGATTTGAATATATCCTATCAAGATATGTTGGAAGATTTAACGCGAAACTACGTGCAAACTCAACCCAATTTAAACGACAATAACCGTCGTCGAGTGTTACTATTATTAAAAAGAACAAATATGCCGATTTCATATATTCGAAATAGAGCAATTAAAGAACAGTACAAACAAATGTTGAATCAAAGCAAACAGCCTAGCAAACCGCAACCTACATCCATTCCTACTCCCAAAACAGGTTCTGGTAAAACAAGAAAAAAAAGACAGTATCTTTCAGATTAAATGACGTCATTAATCTGTTTTACAAGTAAATTCTTAAACACAGACGACATTGATAAATTGGCTCGTGAAAATACTGTTATCAATACATATTATTTGGGATGTTACCCCGCAAATATATATCCAAAAAATATCAAAAATCGATGTTGTTGGGTGTGGAATACCGACGAGGACGATAAACCCGGTACACATTGGGTGTGTGTTGTAAAAGACAGTCAAGATATTATATTTTTTGATAGTTTTGGCAAGACTCCTCGTTTTTTTGGTCGTAAATACTGGCTTGATTATTTCCGTAGTTTACATTGTAACTTTTCTGTATATATGCAATTACAACGTCAATCGTATATTAGCAAGACCTGTGGTGCATGGTGTTTATTATTTTTACATAGTTTCTATAACAACGTGGATATTATCGACAAATTTTCTGTTAAACAAGAGGAACTTTTAGAAAATGAAACCAAATTAAAACAGTTAGTATATGTCAAATATCCCAACATGATTAATATATATAAGGGTAAATGTAATAAGGCTAAGGGTCAAATTTGTAAAACATATTTAGAAGCATTTCAACAATACATGTAACTTTTATTAATAAATTTATACAAATTGTTTTTCTGTATTGTAAATTATTGTACATTCATTGGGCAATATACCCGTTCGAACACGTGCATTGGCGGGCGCATGAGGACATCCGTCGAACAGCACATACCCGTATTGTTTTTTACCCACATCCGCCAATATTTTGCGTATTGTCTGTAGACGGATGCCTTTATTTCGCGCTATCAATTCAATATCTCGAGTATCAGTGTGATTATTAAAAAGAAGATGATACATGCTATTCATACGCATACTTCGTAATTTTCCATTACCATAATTTAAAGTTTGACACACAAAAAATATAGAGAGATTTAAATGATGGCTATCACGTACCGCTAAATTGTTCAAATTTTCAGTACCCTCCCTAGTTGACATTGCTAAGATCATTAGATCATCGAGAACAAGTAGGGTGCGTTCACCCAACAACGGTCTTATATCCTCTATCGTGGGTATACCCAATCGTGCACAGTCGTAGAACTCACAATGTTTAAGTGCAGATGTTTCATGGTTTGCAGCCACATGATCCGTAATCTCCCCATATATTGGTTGTTCAGCCGTGTATAAGTAAAGTAGTTTGTCTGGTGTTGGTACAATCAGTTCGTCAATGTTTTTTATTATGTCAACCATTACGTGTGTTTTACCCGATTGTGTGGGCCCGCATATTGTCATCACGAAGGGATGTTGAAGGGGTATTGTTACATTGTGCATACAATGCTGATTTGTTTTGTTTTTCTAAAAAAAGTATAAAAAATCATTACCGATAACCAAAAGGTGTCGTCGTACAATTTTCATGCACAACCCGCTTATCGAAGGTAAATTTAAATGTTTTTGTATTTTGTTGTACCGAAATACTCTGCGTATTTTCACGCATAAATTCCCGATAAGTAATTTCAATTTCTTTGGTAGGATCTTCTACACACTCCCGAATACTGTCGAATGTTAATAATTTTTTGACAGGTCCTTTTAACGAAAAGCCTTTAACATGTACAATTTCATCTTGTTGTTTGCTTTCGCTACCGTCGTCATTGTAACGTGTATAGGTATTCGTGCGATAGGAATAGGATTTTGGTCCAGCTGAACAAAATTGCTGAATCCATTTTGCGCTGGTTTTTTTTTCAATTAATTCATCGGTCATTTGACCCAAATATTCGCCGGTTTCAAGAAATTTACCGTTTGCACGATCCTCTATAAAAATCACAGAATCTGTATCATAGTACAAAACATTTTCGCCTAATTTAAGTAAATACTCTAATAATTCTAAACGTGCATACGCTGTGACAAATGATGCAATAATCACATTACGATTAGGTAACGGTGTTAGGCTTGCCGTTTTTCGATGTGTTGTTCGTGCAATATTGTCGCTTATGAAATCTAAAGAGGTTACTTCTACCGTACGATCATTTACTAATTCTAACAAAGCGTCCATGTCTTCTAAGAACGATACGACCGTAACATCTTCGTTTTGGGCCAATTTACCCCACAAAGAATTCAATAAAGCTTTCATTACCGTTCTCTGACCCACATTGTACGACATTTTACTTGCGTCCAAAACAACGCCCTCATGTTCCATATAATCGTCAATATATTTCTGTAATTTTTCTTTCACCACCGAACCGTTTTGGTCTAGACATTTTTTTGGCACCCCGCTACTTTCTTGTTTAAGCTTTATAAACGTATTTACATATTGATCGAATATTTTTTCGCGTTTTTGATAATGATAAATTTCATAAACAATTAAAATGCGGTAATCTAATTGTAAAGTTTTTTGGATTTCCACACTAGTCCATGTACCGTATAATGCACGTTGCTCCTCATTGTGTTGACATGTCTCACTTTGTTGACGCTGTACGCATGTGCGGCACAAGGGAAATGTTAATTTCTCCGAACGAAACGGTAACACGGGAAACAGTAGGTGGGTGGGTGGTAAAATTTTACACTTAATTAAACCAAACACTTGGTTTATGTCGATATTTTGACATGCACGACCTTTAACAATGACCGGATGTTGTGTTGGATATTGAAATTTTTTCTGCACATACGGGTAAAGAGAGCATACATCGAAATACATGGCCGGTAAACCAGTATGCTTCATATCATAATATAATGTGGCGGGAGATGTACGACCGCCAAACAACGCATCACGCGGTTCCAAATGTATGAATTCAAAAAACGTTGTTAGACGTAATTGTTTTAAACGATAGTGGGTCATGTCAACATCGTTACGGTAATCGCATTCCCATTTCTCAACAACTGTATATCCTGCTTGTCGAAACATTCGCGATAAACGTTGCGTACTACCCAAAAGTATGTAAAATTTTGTGCATAAAACACTGTTGTAACATTCACCATCATAACAACGTTCGCAACCGTGATAAAAGCAACCGTGAAACTGATAAATCGTTTTGGTCTCTTCACAATACCCGTCAACATAATGATTCATTATACGACGCTCACCGCCGACACTAAGCTTACTACACAATTTTAGATCATTTTCATCTAACATAGTTTCAATATCTTTTAGCCAGCATAAGGCAATTGCGCTTTGGTTAATATTTACACCGCTGTAACCAGATGCGGGAACCTGTCCAATTTGTTCTTCTTTTAAAAAATTTTTGCGATATATTTTTAAAGCTAAACCCGCCACAGTATTACATGTGTGGTCATAAAAGGGTAATACACCCGTAATTCGATAGATAAGTCTGGAGAATATGATACAACCCTGTCTTAAAATATCCACATCCATACGGCAATAATAATAGATAGCCTCACGAAACACGTACGGTTTGCTTTGTTGTTGTCTATACCACTTATCAAAAGCTTCGCGCTCCTTACTTCCCTCTGTGGGAAGTTCAAAATATTCTAAGCCGACCATGTCGCCAACATAATTCAAATCTGTAAACAAATAGGGGTGATACCCTTTCGTTACGTTTTCAAGCCCCAAAGCCTCGGGAAATTTTGCCAATCTCATTGAAAGAAATAGATAGCTGTCAATTACTTTCAAATTACGTTCTTGCATTTCTAAAGACATAACCTTACTCCCGTTCATTACCACGGTGGGTACGAGTTTACGATGGACTAACAATTCACGCATTAAAAAAATACTATCAAACCGTCCACCGTTATGCGCCACCCACACACTATTCTTCGGTTGCGTCATCATGAAGTCGACCAGATCCGACACGATATCGTCATTGTTTTTTTCAAAAACATATTGCCTATAACCGCAGCAGGGTACCGGTTCAATTGAAATATCGGTAAACGACTCACTAGGATGTGGTAGAAAATGTTCATAATTTTTCACAAACGGTTTTTCGTCACAAACATCACATACTTTTTGTACGACGCAATAAAAAGGTATCATATAGATATCACCCTCATCTACACGCGTTTCAAAATCATAGAAATACAAAGTGGGCCGTGATTCATTTTTATGCTCCTTAACCGGTTTAATATAGCAGTGATGATCTTTCTTTTTCATTTTATTACAGTGTGTGCAAAACATCTCGTCACATTTGTGCTTTGTATACTTTTTGCCGGTTGTAATTGGTTTACGCATTACCGTTTTATAACACACGGCACAGAAAAAAAAACGTTGACATGTCGTCTCAGTTGTTAACGAACCGTTTACATATGTTTTAAACACTCTTTGTGTTAAATGTTTGGTAAAACAATCTGGATTGTAAAAAATAACATCGCATTCCGTACACTGTTGTACAAAACCGGATACGGGTTCACATTTGCGTGTGTTACTATAGCAACGATGACAGGTCATACTTAAGATACACACGTGTGTATTTTTTCGTTCATGTCGACGCAAATAGCGCATGCAGGAAAAACAAAACGTTGCCAAATTTAAACGTGCAAACGTGTACGGTGAAGTCACTAAATCATAATGGCCATCATTTAACCATAAAAAACTAACATCGTTTGTAACACGGTGTAGACATTGATCTGGACCTAATCGAGAATCGTATACAATACTGTCGGCTTGTTGTTTAGAAAAAACAACCAAATCTATCCCGTCGGATTTCAAATATTTTTCATACACGGCGGATAATTGATCAATACGTACGGCACCCACGGGTAATTGGCTGACCGTATACACATTTGTAATAGCGTCGTCTGTATATATACTACTTAGAGGTATGTTACTGTTGCGTTTCAGTTTGTATGCGTCAGAATCGTTGTGCAGATAAGATTTACCCACTAGAAGCGCTAGACCCAAACAACAATTTTTAACATTTGAAACACCGATTTGAAAAACACCATGACGCACTTCGCTACCATGTTTTAACGCCGGGTTATTTTTTTTACCGCTACCGGACTCTGTGGTGTTTTTACCAAAATATTTATATAATTTATTTTGTTTTGTTTTCTTTTTTACCCGTGACGTTTTCTTACGCGAAACATAATTATTTGGAAAATTGTACAAACTGATGGTCGTATTCCAGCCATTATTTATAATCTCTTCTGCATTACTTTGCATGTGTTTCTCGAAAATATTAAAAAACATATCGGTTGTAAAATCCGTTACGGTTAATACGCGTAAGGGGTACGTGGGGCATTCAAGATAAAAAATCTAGCCTTATCCGTATTCGTTTGAGCATGATACAACATAGTATTTATTAAATAATCAAACACACGTCGTAAATTTATCAAAAAATCTGGTAAACTCCCCATATGATTACTACCTACATTTACATCATATATATATTCGGTATAACCGAAACGTTGATGGGTGCGTATTTGACGCACCGAAAAAGCTTTTTTTGGAACGCTAACATTTTTGTGCGATTGTACAAGTGCGGCTAACTCTATAAGGTCACGATCCTCTATATTATAACTACGTTTTTCTTTATATAAAGTTTTTGTTTTCTTAACCATTTCAGCTAATCTATTTATTTGTGATTGTTTATCATTTCTAGCGACAACCATTTGTGCAATTGTCGCAATATTTTGTTCCCGTTTCTCTCTATCTTTTTCATTAAATAATTTCCTCACCAATGCTATGGTTCGTCTTTTTGCAACTTCCCCATCTTCTCCTTTTTGTCTTTTATTTGACGCGTTCCCTTCATCTCTCTGTCTTTTTTCACCACCCTTCGACGCCATTGAATACAACAACAATTACTAACTTTTATATCGTCGTCGTCTTCGTTGCCGCCATCTGTAAAATCCATCGCGATATTATTACTTTCACGAATTTGCACCATATTACAATTAAACGTCACCCAGGGTGTATCTTCACCCCCTTTAAAACACTTTTGACCCATTTCAATCACACGTGTTGAACAAGCAACATTCAAATCAAGAATGAGCGGTGAATTTGAAATACATATCTCGGTACATGTGCTAAATGAGACGCACAAGGGTGATTACGACCGATATAAAATAGGGTATGAGGTATGCGACAATGATAAATCTATTATTTTTACACCCACCATATTTAAAGAAGCGTTTGCATCTTTCGCCAAAGATCAAGATCTTATATATAAGGTGGATCCAGACACGTTACGTTACAGATTGTCACTGTTGCAATTTGAATCAGAAGTACCTCCGGATGTGGTGACTAAAATTGAAAATATAATAAAATATATCGAACGACATTACGACAGCGACTATATCGGTGTAACTATTGTATATGCGGAATAAAATGAGTGGTCGATTTGTAACCAATTTAAGAAAAAAACAATATCAGCAAAGTATTCGAAAATCAAAACAATGTATTAGCGACACATTATTACAAAAACGATGTCGTAAACGAACAGCACATACACCTAAATGTTGGATACATTTAGCAAAACAAGATAATCTACGAATTAAACCCTCCCAAATTTCAAATGCTGGAAAAGGGTTATTTAGCTGGAAAAAAACCATACCGTCAGGACGTGTAATTTCAAAATACACAGGGCGTCGACGTACTCGTGAACAAATTGATAAAAAATATGGAAATAATACAGCAAAATATACCATATGTAATCGGAAAGGATTATGTATTGATGCAAATCATACAACTGATGCTGCGGGTCGATTTGTAAACGATGCTAGAAATTCCAAATTTCGTTATAATAGCAGCATGCGTGGAAATCAAATGTTTCGCTTAAAATCCTCACAAAGCATCCCAGCACATTCAGAAATTTTTGTTAACTACGGTAAAGACTATTGGTTATAAAAACATTTGTAACTATTAAAAAACATTTCATATTTCTTAAAACCCGCTACAGATAACAATGGCTCAAACACCTAGCGTTCTTTGGGGTCGAAGAATAAATCGTGGTATTAATCCCAATGCGGGCAGACCAAATGCATACCGCATTCGCAGAAATAATCAAAGGGGTGCAGGATTGCCGACTGTGCCTAACATGGCCAACCCTGGCGATCTATTACAACGCGCCGTTACAGACGCTGTAGTAAATGGGAAAAGATATGCGGCAAGACAGTTAAAAAGAGCAAAACGCTCAAAAACAAGGACAAGACGTGCAAATGCAAGAACAATAATGCAAAAAAAAAGAGCGCACAGAAAACAAGAAGGGGGCGGTGTACGAAAACCAGTTAATCATATGCCTGTAGTCTATCAATATCATCAATAAAAATTTTACATACCTTTTATTTGTCTTATTATGTCTTTTCTCTTGTCTTGTATTATCACCGATGCATATAACGACATGTTTTTTTTATTCCGCCGATGCGTTATACGACGTGCTCTACAAGCGAAGTTTTTTTCTCGGGTTCTCTTTAGTCTTCAACCTCGTTCGCGACTTGCTTTTTTACCCAATCGCTTACCACTACTAAACATTGATCCCATCACACCCAACTATTTATAATTTATTAAAAAAACGCAAATAACCAGCATTGTGGTTTTTTTAAACTTTACACGTTTATACGTGAATAAATGCAAACTGCAAATATTCATAATTGGTTGATTGATTGATAGGTGTTTCAAATAATCATTTTATTTTTTTTTAATTTTACACTATGCCATAATAGATGTTGTATGGACAACATCATCACAACTAAAAAATAAAACTACACCGATAGATATATATAATGTCAACGTCCTTATATGGACATGTTCGTTTTTTGCAGTTTCTTTTCTAACATAAGTTTATATTTACATATTTGTCTTGCACCGTTTAAATTATTGTAACAAAAATCATCTCTATCTGACTCTCTATAATGTATTAATGCTTTAATGTAAGGTTTCATATAATGTACTTCATTTTCCGTTTTTCGTCCGCCAAAACCGATGGGTGCATTAGAGCATTTTGTTTCGCCGTAATGTAGACTGTAACATTCGCAAAGCACCCACAACCGCATCAATATTACTACAATTGGTCTTCTCACGGTAACCAATGCTGACAAATAAATGCGTTCACTGGCGAACATCTGACGTGCCGTTCTAGGGCTGACCCTTTCCTTAAATTGTATAACACCGCACAGTTTCATACTCCGTGTCACCGTTTTCTTTCTTATACCATATTCCTGTCTTTCACCATACCACAAGCTATTGGTTATGCCAATGTAACGATAATAGGTCAGCTCTCCATTTTCTAACATTTTTTTCAAAAATTCATCGACTCTAATTTCATTAGCAAACGTTTCAAAATAATGTGTTTTAGTTGACGATGCCATTATGTAACAATGGCCAAAACAATATCCTCGTTTTGCTGTATGGTTATTATTGAAAATTTTAAACAGTGAATAAAATCCGCACAATCACGCTCTTTTAAATGACACACATTAAAAAATTGTGCAAATTGAAGCAAATTATATGATGACCTTATAAGGGCATACCCTATTATTACACCCTCATATTTTAATACGTACAAACTTTTTAATTGTAGCAGCTGATAAAATATTTGTTTAAAATCAAACATGTTTTACAACATACGTATGCATAAAAGCATCCACATACATACAAGGTGTGTCTAGGTCTCCATCTATAACACCATAATACGCTTTCGCTGCTAAACTATCAAAATCAGCATCTAATATGTATCGTAGGACAGGTAACCCCAGATGGTTATACCCATCACAATCCACCTCGTCATATGCGGAAAATGGATGATTTTCCACACTCTGATCTAATAGGGTTAAAAAATCTTGAAGATATCTAATACACTTTTTACATACTACGATATGTGCAAGATATTTACGAATATACGTACCCTTTTTTTCTACAGGGGTATATATTACAATTATTGACGATTCTTCATAACGTACTTCTTTATGATAAAATTTCAAATTTTCATCATTACAATCAAGTACCATCAGCATTTCCCCCATATTCACATACAGGCCAGTGTTAAAATAGCGCATAATACTTTTTAACCCCACATACAAGTGTGTAGCGGCGAACACTTCAATCTGAGAATTATCTTCATTACAGTCACCGCAACCAACATGAAAATAATGTTTATCTACATAGTATTTGTCCGATACTGTTAAAGACTGACAACGTACCAACTGTGTCTTTGAGCGTGCCAAGATTTCACGACAACAAAACTCGAACGGTTTTAATACAAACAGACCGTCCTCACAAACCGCCACTCGTGGAATCCATTCCACAGGTATACTATAGAATTCTTTACCCGCTTCACTATCGACAGCGATGACACCCATACGTGGATGTTTGGGTCGCGTTAAATCTGGCGTGTTAGGGTTGTCGCTTTTCACCGTTTCACCCTCATCCGTTTGATCGTCTACAGCGATGAAATCACGTATAGTCTCAAAACCCCCTTTCATCCAAAAGTCTTTAACTTTTACATAATTGTTTATTTTTTTGTCTGCAACGTCGAGTGGTGGTTTATAAACTCGTAAATATGTACAAGTCGAATACAAATTCCATAAAACCGGATTATGGGGTTGTTTCATTAAAAGATACGATAATGCTTCTAGTGTCGTCGACATCGTTACAATAGCGAATACACAAATTTTGCAAACATTTTTACCTCGTGTTTTGAACAATGGTAATGGTTACCCTGGTGATAAGGACAACATTCTTGCGATTGACCAAATATGGTCAACAGATCTATGTATTTTGGACATGTCAATATTTCAAGATTAATACAACGAACGCCCATATTATTTAACAAAACACGTTCAATATCACCACCTTTATAAGCCACTAAATCTGCATTACACATAAATTCACCTGTTAAAAATGCTGTTGATTCTTTCAATGTATAAAAATCATCAGTTAAACGTTCACGTGCAATCGGTAAGCCGTGAATTTTCTTTATTTGATAGTCGATTGTATAGTCACATTCATTAAACGGTATAAACGGCATAAACACTTGAAACGACGAACACTCGCCGGTCTTTACCCGATAGACCGATATTTCGCGAAGAAATGTTTTTTTCTTACTTGTATATGCTTCACAATCGATCACGTGTGTAATACGAGACGCTATTTCTTTTTTGTTTTTTTCAACCATAACCGCTTCTTCATACGACAATTGATTATGCTTTCTTTGAAATAACCCCTCCATACCCTCATAATATGAATAGACAACTAACACACACCTTTCAGATACACACTGTTTTTTTATATTTTTTTCTTTATTAAAAATCTAACATTATATGTTTACAATATAAGCTTACAAAATGCAAATTTGTCTTTTTACATATACAACAATTATTTATAGTATTACACAAACACGCTCGACTATCTAACCAATACATATTCGTTAACATATCCTTTACTTTATCATGAATTCCGCGTATAAAATCCGGAGACACTACAGTCTTATATATCCTGGCTATATCCGTACGTATTTTATGAATATATTCTTCATAATCTACAGTCAATGAAAACGTAATATGTTCTCTAATATATTTCATAATGTTTTTTAAAATCCTCTCATAATTAGTATTTAAAAAATTGTTAACAATCACCGATTCTAGACATTGTTGAATGCCCAAACTTTGAACACCCATCGTCTCATACATAACATGTCCACTACTATTTATAGTCGGAAGATATTTTAAATCAAACGACATATGAATATGTGCAAAACCGTTTAATGTTCGAAATGTCATTCGATACATGTAACCATGATAGGATTTATGAATTTCTGTTATATATGCCCAATACAGGACATTTGAATATATTTGATCATAGGCAAATAACGATATTTCACGCATTTCACCGTATTTATTAAAGTTACATGCTTCCAAATGACGGTATAATATCCAACCATATTTATCTCGAGGTGGTAAAATACACCTCATCGCTGACCAATAGTCCCGCGTCTTGAAAGTACAACTTTCTACACTTCACTATATCGCGTTTGGTATACAATCCACAATGACAGACTTGGTCGTTTCGTGTACAGCCGCAACTCTTTATTATCCAATCCTGTACGCGGTGAACCAATTTTTGATGGTATATCATAATCTGTATCAAACGTTTTGATACACCCATCCCATGCTCCTTTTCAAACTCGGCGACCACCGTCTCAAAATCTCTCTCATAATTTTCATTTAAAAATGTAATCAACGTATCTACCACACCGGCGACGAAATCTTTCGCTTCGCTAGCTGTTAACTGCTGTTGCTCAGTATAATCAATATTAAAATCAATACTGTCAAACGTCACAGACGGTAAATAGATCGGCGTATCTTTCCACTCGGGTTGAGGTCTGAACAATTCAGGATAGATGCGGTAATCAATCAGCAATTCACCATAAATCCCAAACAACCAGTGTACAATCCCAATAGTTATATATCGATCACCATTATCACATTTATTCACAGCTATAAGATAAATATAAAAACTGGGTATTGGTTTCAGAACACCGTCTGTAATTACAGTCGGCCATAAACGTCCGCCACTTGTTGTTTTATTAAAGTTTCGCTAACCATTGTACCATCGCAACGTCGAAAAATATTTATGCAAATATTTTCCAAACTACACTTGCTAGCATCCTTATAAAATTGACGTACAGCGCTATAACATTCTTCATGAAAAACACCACATAAACTATCGTAATAACCCGGAAAACAAAACTGTATATCATAGCAACCATTTCTGTCTTGACAATTATATTTTATTTCCATCGCAGACTCTCTTAGAAGACACCGCTGATTTTGTAATACAATTCTCATATAACAATGTCTACGATCGATAGACGGGGTAACATACGCATGGACATGTCGAAAAACATAACCTCTATGATAAATAACAATACTCTCGGGTTTATTCCAATTTTTCAATTGGTGAAATAACGTATGGCAAAAGTGATCATACCTCGACATATTCATCTGTACAGCTATATGTTTCACTCAATACCGCTTCTATATCTTTTATAGATACATCCGAGTAATAAATTAAAAATAAATACGTGAAAAAGGATAATAACACCAATGATAGTAAAAGCTTACACCCAAAACTCATTTCACTATCAAATATATAGTGTAAACTATTTAAAATCGCTCTTATAAGAACCCTCATCATAGCACATACCAGCTATTAACTAACATGTACATATACGGGTATACCGTATATAACGAAAATATATTTTCTACCTCATTATCCGTTGCTAGACGCTAAAATAAACACCGTATATCCGTATATAAACACCGTATATCCACACACCCATATATAGTCATAGCCTTTTCTTTCACCATTTACCCTGTTGCTAGGTGCTAATAAACACATATCAACATATTTTAGTTCTGGCAAATTCTACCCACCAAATATGGTCACAAGATTAGAAACACCCTGACCATATTTAGACACATCGTTTACACTTGAAACCTAGCGAATATAATTTTAACACATTTCACTACAACTACTCGTACACGAAACAGCAAAAACCCTACATCTGCGAAAAAATGGATCCAGCTTTTTACAAATTTCTAGAATTGTCAGGAATAACCATCACCGAGGACACAAATTTAACACCGCTACTTGCCGACTATTGGAATTTCACAGCCTACGCCGCCGAATTTCCTAATAACATTTATGAGTTAAATTTCATAAAATGGCAGCTAAACGGAAAAACCAAAACGACAAATCAAGCTTCGCCACAGCAAATAAACACAACACCCCAGTATCAAACTCCACCACGGCAGCAAGTGAATACAACGCCGTCTCAATCTCAAACTCCTCCGCAACAAATAAATCCCTACCCATATCAAGCATCACCACAACAGATTTCAATACCTTCGCCTACATCAGTATTCAGCCCGAGTAAAGTTTTAACCGCAGACTTCCCACAGCTACCCGTTAAATTAGCAAAGTTGAAAAAACATGTTAACATCGTTGAAGGTCAGTTTTTAATGCATTCACGCTGGAGATGCCGCAAACCCCTAAACAGAACGAAACCATTATCATTGACGAAAAATCGACAAAAACCGAACCCGAAATAACCGAACCCATATTTCCCGCCCTTACAACATATCTTGACGGTTTCATGTCTAGCAACGAGGAAACACAGAATATACCCCAAGTATACACCAGCACGGTAAAAGTAAATCGTGGTAAAGATATTTCTGCAGCAAGAAAATCATTTGAAGAAGAGAAAAAAGAGAAGAAAACGCCGGCAAGAAAGCGAAAACGCGAATGTGGACGACCCACAAACGACCAGCAACTTATCAGAATGGACGACGAATTCAACGATATGATCGCTTTGCAATTGACACGTCGGCAACTTACGCTACCCGATACGCGAGGCAAATGCAAAAAGTCTAGGAAGATTTTGACAAAAATACCCGAAGATATCGTGGTGAATACAACTCGCGAATATCAAACATACGAGCTGTTCGCCGACGTACGTACGGAAGCGTTGAAAATTATCCAGGAAAAACCCGAACTTTTGGAAAAAATCAACGCTGCCGAATATGTATTACATACATTATCTAAAAAACAAAATAGTGACTCTAGTTCATAATAACGTTTTTTTATCACAACATTTCAATAACTATATATTTTTTAATAACTTTTTTTCTGTAAATATTATTAATAAAAATTGATTTTATATAAAACATCGATTAACCACTGTTGTTATGTTGAAAAACGTTACTAGCATTTTTTAAATATTAAAAAACGCTATTACATATTGATATTTTTATTAAAAAAATACAATATTTATTAATAATTGTTTGAAAAACAATATTTTCAAAAGGGAAACACTGAAATACGTAAATAACGTGTGGTAGCACGAAGGAAAATCCGTGACGTCACGCTTACGCACTTTGAAAAACGGCGGCAAATTCGAACGAACGCCACTTCGGTCGACCAGGGCTTTGGGTTCGTAGCTCCGCCACGCATGCGCGCAACCACGCGTCACACACAGCTGTCAATCAAACACTCGCCGCAGACGGTAAGCGTCGGTCCAAAATCGGGAACGCCCCCTTTAAATTATCCCCCCCGTCCGTACAGTCAGCGGATACGATCATTGACGCCCGCGATACTTTCACTTTCCATTCAAAGCTCCAGTTAAATCAAATAGGTTCACACACCCCCTCTTTTTTTTTGTCTTCATTCTATCATTACTACTGAGCTCCATCTTTTAATTTACTATACGAGTAAATTGTTAAACACGTCCGAAATTATCAATACAATAAATTCGCGACACATCATGTTGAGCCCCATTCCTAACCCTGACATAATTTTAATCTAACCCTAATATAATCTTTATCTGACACTAATCTAAACTTGATGATCTTTTTTTTATTTTTTTAATAATCTCTCTTTTAAAAATATATGTCAATTTTAGCAATGGTGTGCCTGGTCGATCAGTTAAGAAGACTCTCTTGAAAAATGCTTGCAATTTGCTTTTTTCTCTTCATATTTTAGAGTGATGAGATTGTGTATAGATTTATACTGTAAAAACCCACATGTGTTAGATCCACTTCGAAATTTCATTATTCTTCCAAGCAATAAAACAATAAGGTAAAAAATATGGTATATTATATACTGACAAATTTCGTATACAATTAAATTGGAACGTTACTATATTGCTAAGTATATGACTTATGTTGCAGTATGTCCAAATAATCAGCCAGTTTAAGTATACTGTTTAATAAACTCGCAGGTCGAGTTTATTAAACGGCTTCAAACACGACTACAAATTCAATAGATATACTGCCTTATTACTGTTATTAGCATTCTATATATAAAGAATACTAATGAGGACACGACTACAATAGATACTGCCTTATTAGTATTTTTTATATAAAGAATACTAATTAGGAGTGTTTTATCAGGTTTAAAGCCACTGCACGTGACATATTATGGTTGACATGATTTGCAAATAAGCTTATGAATTATTAATTAGTGTTTGAAGGCAATATAATCGATGATCCAGTGAATAACGTTTGGCTTTCTAATTATAAACTCTGAGATGTGTAAGTTTCAGAAAGACCGAAATCGCACATGATATAGGAGTGATTTTACATGATAAAAAGTTAAAGTTGCGTTTTATTTATTTTTTTATTTTTATTTTTATTAGACTGCATAAAAACAGAATACAAGAATCTGTAGGATGGAATGAAAAGGTACTTCAGTGGTGCCTGGATGAAGCAATTGCAAAAGGACTGAGTGAATCTGATTTTTGGGGAGGATTTGCATTAGATGAGATGAAAATTCAGGTAAATAATTAAAACATATTAAATTTTTAATGACATTTATTCAATATTATATATAAATGTGTATGCGATTTAATGTAAATTTTGCTAAAAAAAAGGAAAACATAGAGATGTCCGTTAAAGATGGCAAATACAAGATCGTTGGTTTGCTGGACCTGGGCGAAGCACACGATGTAATGCGAACCTTAACAGGTATGGCCAGCTAAACAATATAAGTATAGTCTACTATAGATAGTCAAGTGCGAATTCTTTGGCACATTATGTGGCAAATCTAATTTTAAATGATTATATTAATTATTTACAGGCGATTCAGACGAACCTGATTTGGCAACCCAAGTTTTGCAGTTTATATTCCTAAGTGATTGCGGCTTGCGTTTTCCCATTGCACAGTATCCTTCTGGGAATTGCACACCTAGTGATCTTTACTTTCTTTTCTGGGAGGGAGTTCTAAGGATGCAAGAATATGGTTTTATGTAAGCGAATACAACTATAGTGATTAAATTGAGATATAGCTAATATAAAATATGACTATAACAATTAAAATATAATTCAGTCGCTCATCAATCGGGTTTTCATTCCTTTTCCCATCCACATCATAATGTCATGCATTGACGACATGACCGAACATTGTAATAGAAATTTTCCTTTTCATGTTTTTTTGCTGGCAAGATAAATACATTTAATATATGCATGTGTTCATTCATTTTTTAAACTGTAGTATATACTGGTGTGTCTTGGATGGTGCTGAATGCAATCGCCAATTTGTTAAAATGCATTTCAAGGGAAAAGATTATGTGGAACAGAATTTCATGACATGTAATGTCTACACTGGACGTCCTATGATATTTATAATGGATCCTAAGGTACTGACTATGCATACATATTATGATTGTGATATACCGTCCGTTTTCGTAAACTTGTTCCAAGTCTGTCTGTTTTAATACCGTTTTCATACCGTTCTCATATTGTTATCCGTTCACAATGGAATAGAGAAAAATATTATAATTCCCTCAAACAATACGAAAATTTGCGCGCTTAATAAACGGGTAATAGTGTTTTATTAAGTTTAAATAACAAGTGCACAGCCCGAGCGCATGGTATTATAGACCCAATTAAAACGTCCTATATGATCGAATTAGAGATTATTTTATAAAGAATACTAATAAAAATAGAGTACTCATATATAGAGTACTAATGAATATGAGTTTTATCAGGTATAAAGACATGCACTTTAATTTATGTTACATATATAATGGTTAACATGATTTGCCATAAATCATATGAATTAATAAATAATTATTTTTGAAAGTATAAATTGTAATTTGTGCTGAGTAAATTCTTTACCACCTCGTTTAAACAATAAAATATGTATCACATTAAGGTGGTGAACCAAACATTTTATACTTGTGATATGATGTATAAGCACCGAGCCGTAATTTTCATTGTTGGAACAACGATACATGATACATGACATATATATATATATATATATATATATATATATATATATAAACGGCTGTCTTTCTTGTAGCATAACACTAAGAAGTTGAGGAACAACATCTTAAAAAGTAACGCGAGTGGGAAGCCAAGGTATCTTTTAATGAATGGTAATGCTATCACTTGGTATCAACTCAAAGCTGCGTTTCAATGGGATCAAAGCAGTTTTTCTTTGCCCTTACATGAAAAACTAACATTGCAGCATTTTGAACTGGATTCCGCCAGTAAGATGAGAAATCATCTCGCAGAAGATGTGCTTGATAGAAAAATGCTTTTCCTTATGCAGGTTGGTATATACTAGTGCACAATATTCACAAACTTTGTCCATGGTCATGGTCAAAGACAAAATTAAAGATGTCAGAAGAGTAAAAAGTAGAAAAGTATGCCTACAACAAATCATGTATAAAATATTTGTCTATTTCTTATAGAGGTATCAGCAGCATTTGGATGAAACAGGAAGTGATGGAGCAACCATTGCTGCCACTATCGCATTGCTTGAGCACACCAGTTCCATGATCAGTCTGTTTAATGACAAGCTTTACATCAATAGTGTATACGACGAGAGGTTAACGAAACTGCAGCAATTATATAACATGATGGCTGATTGGTATATACAATGTAAGGAATCAAAGAATCTGTTTGTTTCGGATAAACTTTGGTTTGACTTACAGTCTATGTGCATCGGTTTCAAATCACTGGTGGCTTTCAAACTTAGTAAGTTTCCAAATTCTGTAATCAAACCTGCAATAGTTAACCAAGATTGCGTGGAAAACCACTTCTGCCAGGTTCGAGCTTGTAACGGTCAGAATAACAATCCAACGTACCTTCAGCAACAATCGATTCAGAATTCGATACGGTTTGGTCAGACTTTAATCAGCAAAAAGAGCAATGCCGGTAAACCGAAACGTATTTAGATATGACATATTTTGAAAATTAACAGACGTATAAATTTTGAATAAACAAAATATAATATTATAACTATATATATAAAAAGTTCAGTAAGACCCCGTTTACACGGTACCGGATGAATTTGGGACCGGTCTGAAATTCGCGTCCCAATTAGGCCGTGTAAATACACGAGAACCACGGAACCGGACGAATTTGAGACCCCCTAACAAGACTAATTCTCGTGTAAACAGGCGAAAAAGGACGAATTACAGACCGCGGTCCAAAATTCGTCCGGTACCGTGTAAACGGGGTATATATATATATATATATATATATATATATATATATATATATATATATTGACTGTTCAGATCGGATGGTTTTTGAAATGTTCATGTTATATTGAATCATTTCATATATCAAAATATATTGAATGAATGAACAATCATGTCCATTAAGAATGTGAATAATCTAATGAATGTAAATATAATGTAGATAAAATTAATGTAAATAACGCAAATGTTATTTTTCTGTCTCTATAGAAAATGTATATATTAGTGTTCTATGACTAGTGTATGATATTTACTTTACTCTTTAGTTTAAATCATAACACAGTGCTTTTCAATGTGAATGAGGCATTATACAGACTAGGCACAAAATAAAAGCTAACAGAAGGAACATTTAGAGGCACAACGTGCTCTCGTATTTACAAAAATCATGCAGATTACGGGCTGGGACCAGCAACTTCAGGGTTTTTATTGGCCAAGACATGCAGTTTAATTGGTATAGGTTAGCAACATGCATATACGTAAATGGGACATGTGAGAGGACAGAAACTTAAGACAAAGGCTACGACGTACCCTTAGGCCTATATTACGTTTTCGTAGCGCTTTGCATTGCGGTTATATAGTTCACTGATATTCAAAATGGCTTATTTTTTGTCCTGACCAGTTCAATAACTTTTAAAACTGCTAGGATCAGATGCGCGATAGCCAACGTCAAAATATTCGCGAAAACATTCGATGCATGCCGCTATCTTTATCAGTGATACCACTATAACCACAATGCAAAGCGCTACGAAAACGTAATAAGGGGAATATATATAGTATTATAAGTGCATATATATATATATATACTTGCACAACTATCTTATAATTTAATTCAGTCTTTATAGTCGACTGCCAAGTTGCGAAACCCGTGCATTTAAATTAAGAACTACCTGTTAACCGAATACGAATTCGAATGTGTCCATCTACGTCAGTATTTTCTGTCACTCTGTATTGTCGATCATCGACATGAGAAACAGAAAGGATATGTGAGTGTGTCGTAATTGCTTCTATCAGTTTATTTGATAAGCTCTTCTTATTCATTCTGGACGCAACAGAAACATCATATGCCTGACATAGCAATAGCAGTTCTGGTTTACGATAAACACGACACAATCCAGCATCTCTGTATTTGTTAATGAAAGCAACAAGTTTACCGTGAGAAACGTGTTTCCTCTCACTTCTGTCATTGACAATATCCTGAATAAAATAAAATTAATCAAATGTGCATAATTTAATAAATAATGTCAGTAATGTATAATGAATTCTCATGCAATTAAGATAAAGCTTTGTGAATAAATTCAGTGCATAGGTTAGTAAAATATAATATCTCACGTTAAATGGGACACTATCATTCTTTTCCTGCATCTTTTCCTTCCGTTCAAGGACCTTTTTTCTGATTTCTGCACCTTTCTTTACTTTATATTCCAGTCGGAAATCTCGCAGAAATTGTGACGTTCCCATATTCAAATAATGGAATAATATGTTCTCTAACATCATTTCAATATGCTCCTTAATAAAGAGATAACATATAATGTAAAGAAGTTAACTTAAAAATAGAAAGAATATTGTATTCATGTGCTGATATATTTTGCCGTGACTCAGGCAGGTAGATACCGTAGACTGGAATAGTTGATGTATAAATAATAAGTAACTGCTTATGATAGGATGCGAAGCATTTATTGCTGCGGACTTTTAAGAAAATTATAGAATATACGTCATACACTCAGAATGAAGTCATACAGTGTAGTCAAAATAGAACGAGCATACGACATGCATGACACTTACCGTGTATTTGGTAATATCGGTTAATCCAAAACATCGTTTCCACTTGTATTTCAGCGATTCGTCTTGTGTTAAAGCCTCCATAGCATCTTTCACCATTTCACATTTTGTTTCTTTTAGTCTGTGCAGATTTAAAAGTTTCACTCTTTTTTCTTCTAATGCCATGAAGAATATATATGCCTCATCAGAAATATGAAGCAGGCCCCTTTCTCTATACTGTCTTGCTTCAGTAATATCAAGGGTTTCCGGATATTTAGAAGTTTCCTCTAACTTTGCAAAGGGAACTATTATGTTCTCCTCTAATATATTACAAAGCTTTTGCCTCTTATGAACGTTTGCCACAGTAGAGTTGTTGTTAGAGAACATGTTTGCCTTTACATATTTTATGTATCTGGTGAGGATCTTATGCACAGCCCATCCACCAACATGACGAACTTTTGATCTACCTACCGGGCTCATAGCCTGAACGTCAAAATCCACAACAGATGAATCTTCGTGATGTGTCATCAAACTTGCCAAATGACGTAGAAATATAAAATATATTTCTTTGCCAAGTTGTACAGCCACTGATCTTTGAGGCATCGTCGGTTCGCTACATGTAAATATGGCACACAAATACCTGCAAACTGGATATCAGTGAAGAAGGCATGCATCCTAGCTGTAGCTTCTGTGAAATGTTGCCGTTGTAAATTAAAAACAATTAGACTATCGTCATCGGCATTTTCGACAATATGATCGCGAATAGAAGTATAAGCCTGATACCAGATAATTGAAATGAACGCATCTAGTTTCCAAGAATTGTTCGTGTTTAAAAGATTTTTGGCAGCAGTGCTTTCTTGCTCCACATAATTGGAAAATGATTCTCTTGACGTGAGAGAGACCAGATAGTCTTTAGCTTTTTCGATACATTCGTCAGAGGGCAAAGCAAGTTGGTCTTGACATTCAATTAGCTGTTCGCACACTTCAGTCAGTTCTACAGACGCAATGACACAGTCTTCTTCAAACATTTCACATACCGACCCATCAAGCATGGTTGTTGGAAAGTGGAACTTATCATCAGCTTCTTCTTCAATCGTTGAGAATCGATCATGAACATTAAACGAATGGTCATCACTCAATCTCTGTTGACTACAACAAGACAAATTTTCAGCCAGATCACATGTATTGTGTGACGCAGAAAATTCAATCGCATGTGGACACGGTTTCAGTAATTGGCTTACATCAAAATCAAGAATCTGAATTGAATCTGGCGAACGCACTCTGGAAACCGCTACGTAAATCAGTCCTGGTACATATTCTCTTGTGCAGTGTACTACAGCTGCGGGTAGTGTAAGTCCCTGGGACTTATGACATGTTACTGCGTAAGCAGGGATTACCGGAAATTGCGTAACGCTTCCGACATTCTCACCATTCCGATTTCGTTTAATCCACGTTACGCAACCGATCTCGACGATGCCTATTTTGTCAAAAGAAACTAATAGGACGTTGTCTTTGGCTGCAACAAACGTTCCAATACTACCATTCATAAGGTTGGTAGACATATTCCAGACTAACATCACTTTACAATTTGGCTTTAATTGTAAACATCTATGGCCAGGCCATGTCATGGATTGAGAATGGTCATTTACGAATACTGCCTCAAAAGACAACAATTCTCCTGGAAGTTCATCAATCTTTTGCCGGTTAAATAAATAGGCATTCATTTTGCGGAAAAAAATATGGGTGGCAACTTTATCGACTTCAGAAGGAAGATTTCTTTCCAAACTTGAGATGAACTCTTGAGATGATGGCGAACATTTCCCCATTCTCAACTCGGATATGGCAAGCAAGAAAATTTCATCCGATTGGCGCATGACCTGCGTGAGCTCGACACGGTGAGGTATAATGGATGTGAATATGGGGGAATGAAACATAAAACTACCATCGTCAAACGCATTAGGGACTGGCTTCAGTTGCAAGAATTCCCCAACCAAAACAATCTGCTTACCTGCAAATGGCTGTAATTTTGTCACTTCATCATCAGCTAGTTTATGGTGCAAAGCGTTTACAATTTCGAACGTACGTTGACTTGACATACCAGCTTCGTCCCATATAATGACATTCACTGACCGAACATTATTGATAACTAAAGAATTTTGTGCTGCTCTATTAACAACTTGTTTCCATGGAAGATCGCCGGTTTGCAATCCATAACGTGAATTTACAGTAGACGCAACACCTGGCTCGTACACATCACACGCGATTCCAGTAGAACAAACAACTGCTATTTTCTTACCAACTGCAGTCGCATTTCGGATGATATGCCGAACTACTTCAGTTTTGCCGACTCCAGCCTGACCCGTGATTAAAACATTGTGCCCATCTTTCACTAACTTCACCACATAAGACTGCTCAGAATTAAGTTCAAACATGCCGATAAAATATAATGAAGGACATGCGGAATATTATATCCAACCCGGTGTTGTCCCCTAGTCAGATAAATACATTAATAGTATTAATTACATGTAATTCCCGCTACGTAAAAAGTGATGTAGATATATTTTAAATTGTGATTCAATGGCAATTGCGACTTTTAAAACTTGTAAACTATCCAGTTAATAGAAATGATTTATTAATTTATCATCTGTAATGACAACAAACACGTTCTGAGTCAAGTCCTATTTTTAGAAGCGCAAGAAAACCAGACACAGACACATTGCTAAAATGCGGTACAAATAAAACTTACGGAATTTCCGCCTACAAGAAAGATTATATTTTAGTACACTACATTGGCAATTGTTCAGGGTCTGTACGCGAGGATTAAAAATGCGCTTAAGACATTCAAAATAAAATCTTTTGGGCTCAAAATGAAGAAAAAAGTAAGGTAAATCCATTTGTATCGCCTATATAAAAGGATCAAACGTACTGCATCTTTAATTACTAAATTAGTTTAATAATTTTGAGAGATTTGTCAACAATACAATTTCACTTTAATTTCAAAGGCCATAAATCGCTAGAATAGAAATAAATTTTCCATCCATAAATACAACTTTTTATACTGATTAGAACAGTTGTATTTTTGTTCTTCTTTGGCGCATGAAACTATAGATAAAACGATTAAAACCAAGCAAACAGTCGGTATTAATTAATTTTCCCACAAAAATGAATAAATTCATATCACGTGCGAGGAATTTTAATAGGCAAGTATGTCTTATTTCTATTTATATCGTGCTTTTGTCGTGTTGCTTTGAAAGCCCCTAATTCCAGTGCAGATTCTCCCCCCCCCTGGCGGAGTGTTTCGAACGAGGAGGCCAGGTTGCTGAGCAGCTCTCGTGGCGACGATCATGGGGTTAGCGTGTCTGTCGAAAATGGAAATTTGTACTTTTGACAAACAAAGTTCGTCGTGTGTCGCGGGAATTACCGGAATGGTGAAGAAATCAAGTTCTTTCGAAAGAGGAACGTTCGTGCTATTAGACGATGTGAAATTTATTGCTCTGCGACGATTCTGAGGCGAGATATTGGACTCGATGTCGGAGGGTGTATCAGATAAGTGGCTAGCCTTGTAGTTATTTATGTCCTAGTATGGCCATGTCGTTCAGTGCCAGTGCTGACGACCGTTCAAGTACGACGAAAACGTAAAGCAATCGCATCAACTAGACTCAGAAACCCAACAAATGGATTCTATTAACAAGTGAGATATATTTTTTACATATATTGTTAATATTTTTTGAATTATTTTGTTATTTTAAAATATTATAACGGTTAAATATTCAAAATATATAGGACGTTCAGAGATTGGGCCGCCTGTGATCAGATAAAGATCGGATGCAAATATTTTATTGTGCTTATAAAACAACCCATCTTATGAGTTCATTGGTGAAGTAATTTTAAAAATAAACATTGTCTAAGCTGAGAAAATCAAAGCTGAAGTTTATGTAAATCAGGACAAATCTTTATGCAATTTACAAACATTTATTAAACATTCATTTCTCTTGAATTTTCTTCATGAATTATTAATGAGTTTTATCAGTATATATACTATTATGTTATATCGTTTTAGTTGCGGGAGCCACTGAGTATTTTCATAAAATACAACACAACGATAACTCCGAATTATACTACATGTGCATGCATTATATATACTCTACATAATTTGATATATAATTAAAAGAACACCAATAGTTCTCTTGATGCTTTCGTGTCATGATACAGGTCCGGTTTTTGTCGATGAATGGTGAGTGCTTCTTTGAACAGTAGATTTGAGCAGTGGTTAGCCCTATCTATGATGTTGCAGTTGTTTGGTAGGAAAGCTGTTAGGTCAAATTGGTCAGTGTTGGATTTGCTAATGTGTTTATATATCTCTGAGTTTTTGTCTGTGATTGCATGTTTGTTCAGTCTTGTGTAGAGGCATAACTATCTGACGAATCTATTACAACTTAACATAGACAAACCCAACACTGACCAATTTGACCTGACAGCCTTCCTACTGAACAACTGCAACAACATAGATAGGGCTAAGCACTGGTCAAATCTGCTGTTCAAAGAAGCACTTGCCATTCATCAACAAAAACCAGAACTGAATCATGGCACTAAAGCATCCAGAGAACTATTGGTGTTCTTTTAATTATGTAGAGTATATATAACACATGCATATGTAATATAATCATTCCCGGGGATGACTAAATAAAGTTGAAACATTGAATCAAAATGCTTACTTTATTCAGAGTTACCATTGTATTGTATACTGTATTACCAGAAGCGCAACATATTTTATGTGGTGAGCCTAAATACAAAATTAACGAGCACACGAGAAGACATGATGAACAAATATAGTTGTGTCTTAGAGATGCACCATTAGAATGTGGGGGGGGGGGGGTAGAACATCTTGGTGATCGTGCTCATTATTTTTTCTTTGCAATCACTATGTGCATTTATTTTTCATTTTTTGACATTCATAAATATAATGGTGCATCCAGTTCACCTAGAGTATCTGAAAGCCTTAGTCAGTGAAAGTTTGCATCCAGTTCACCTAGAGTATCTGAAAGCCTTAGCCAGTGAAAGTTGTTGAGATATGTTGAGAAAAAAATTTTTCATGTCCACATATTTACAATTAGACCAGGTCTGGATTGACCTGGTTCTTTGGAGATTTATATCTTTGGTTCAGTGCATGTTATGTAGATGAAAATAACACTGTTCGTTTCAGTATAAAATTTCCTATGATAGAGTTAGTAAAATGTCAACATATTGTAATTTTATATTTCATTTTGTTATATAGTTAGTGTGAAAGTTCAATTTTTCTGTTTGCCGATTGGTCAAAACTGTGTCACATGCCAGTCCACAAAACGTCATGTTCGGCAACCAGTCCGCAATCAATTATATGGGTGCAATTCGCATGCGTGTCAACCGCAAAGTTCCAAAGTTCAATAGTTTTGCTGTTTTTAAATTTAAAACAAAATGTCATCTGCTTGGTTCGCTAGTTGTTCCGAGCAGGATACTGCTCAGCTGTTGCAAGACAAAGATAGTAAATCAAACAGAAACAAGTACCAAAGTTGGCAATCGATTTACTAAAACAGTTTTGTGTGGCAAAAGGACTTGCTTTCGAAGAACAATGGCTTGAAAGCAAGGTCCAACTGTCCAAGTTAGATACTGAACGAGACTGTTTCAAGTTAGCCTGGAGCATTTAAGAACTGTAATGTCACTACAAATATTAACTATAAGTAACTTGCGTTACACTAAATTATTTAATTATTTACTCTAAATGACAGTGTTCAAGTGTATGTTTTCACTTTTCAGTTCAGAATGTTGTAATAAATATATAACTGTTGAGTGTTGTCTAGTTTTTGTTTCAAAGTTCACTCCAGTAATCGGCTTCGCCTCGGGCAACAACGGCGGTCTCGGGTCCACAAAACACACTGTTTCCCTCGGTCTCAGTAAATAAGTGATAAAAATTACACAATAATCCCGAAATATGTAAACAATGTTTACTAAGGCATACCTTTCGACAAACATAACTTTGGCCCCTTTCAAGATATCTTTTTCGTAATAGTCTTGTTCGATTCACAATCAAAAACACTATTTAGAGTGTTATTTTCAAGCTTATATCGACAGATTTGCATCTTTTATTTCGGTATTTCAAAATATCCAAATTTTTACATGAGAGCTTCAATCGGAAATACATTTTAGATTTGCCAAAACATTGCGTGCTTACATCCCATCACTTCTAAAGGTGAAATTACCCCTACAGCATGATTTGCAAATGCATGGGGCTTACAGGAGCTTCTTATTGGACAATTTTATGTGCAAGTAAAAACCAGATATATTGAAAAATTCAAAATATTTCAAGTGAGCCTATTCAAACGAAATTTTCTACATGAAAGCACTTGAATACAAGGAGTATTTTACTTATATTGACATGAGGCGAATTCTGAAGAGTTCAAGACACATTCAAGATTCTCTTAATATCAAATTCAAAATGTGCCAAGCGGTGAGTAAAATATACAATTGTTTTGGTTTGCGTAATGTTATAGTCATTTGACCCTCCATTCGAAAGGTTATTATATGAGGATTCCAATGGTGGTTTCAGTTTTAAAGGGGGGTGAATACTCGTCGAGATATTTTCATCAGAAGTAATTCAATGAAAAATATCAAATTTATCGCCAGACGATAAAGAGTTAATTAAACAATGTCTACTTAACTGCAGTAATTATATGTACACTGTAGCTAATTTTGTTTTCTGCACCTTTACATGTAGGCTTGTTCCAGATGAAAAGGATGTGGTGCCAAACATCACTCCATTAAAGTTGGGCAAGTGAAGCTCCACTATCATTACCTGCAGGTGTTTCTCACAATAAAAAATTGATAGTAGATCTCAACACCATCAAAAATGATTGGCAAGATGATCACTGCTGGAATAAAACAAGAGCTCCCAAGAAGAAAAATTATCACGTTCTAAGAAGTCTGCTTCATGCTCATAAAGTGTAGAGCTTCACAGATACACCCATGTCAACTCCACTGATTTCTATTATCTAGTGGTCAAGCTCAGTCACCTGATGGAGAGTACATACCATTTGCTTTGGTCCAATATCGATTTGATGCAGAAGGACACTTTGTGAAGAACAGGCCTGATGGAAATTCTAAACACAAGCATCGTTTTATTCCAACAAAGAAAAGCACCCTCGAAAAGCTAACTGTTGCGGTTAAATCTCAAAGTGTAAAGAGGGCTGTTCACAAGGTCAAAAGGGAAGTAGGAGTTCTGCTGTCAGCAGAACCCCTACTTGCCCAGAAACAACAAGTACGCAAGTTACCTAAAGTCAAAGAGCAAGGGATCATACAAAGCTGACCCTATATCTGCTTTGCTGGATATGCAACTGGAGGAGGAAGCACCATTTATTTGTCCAGTTTCAGTGGATAAGAATTCTCTCATCATTATCCTATTTTCTAATGAACAGTTAAAGGACATACAGAAATTCTGCTGTAACTAAGAAGGCCCGAATACTACGTTTTTGTGGACATGACACTTAACCTCGGAAAGTTCTATGTAGTTGTAACTACATATCGCCATTTCCAGCTGGTAACCAAGTGAAGTGGTAAAGAACCAGTTATAATGGGACAGTAATGCTGTGCATGAACAAAGATAGGGCAACGTACCAGTCCGTGTTTCAGAAAATCGTTTCCCATTGTCCTGACATCAAACAGTCGATGAAAGCGCATGGTACAGATCTGAGCAACAGGCCCTTGAGCTTGACTTCCCATTTGCTATTGGATTTATTTGCAGGACACATATTGTAAGAAATCTTGAGCACAAGTTGAAGTCAGCTGTTTCTATCAGACAGGTTTTTCAGAATGGTGGTTGCCGACGTGTTTGGAAACAAGATGCAAGAAGGGCTGGTGCACTGCAAGAATTGGCAAGAAAACGATCTTCTCTTGGCAAAGTTACGAGTTAAAGCAGCAATGTTACCCACTGCGCATCTGAGCTGCACATAACAAACCGATTTTCGGAATATGTCGGAAACTATTGGAATCACAACATTTCACTATGGAGGCGCCAAAAGAGTGGTAAGTTTGATTAATTAAAAATGTGCATATATTTACTATGATTTACATTATTCAGCGGCAGAAAAGACCAAACAATTGCTTCATTTTATACAGGTTTACAACTGTAGTTGTAAAAGTTCATGTGCCACAAAAAGAAAAGAAAACAGTAATCGAGGTTGCCCGGGCAAGGAACGTTGTGTGTTCTGCCAGCTGCAAGTGTGGAACTCTCAAAACTCCTTGCAAGAATAAGGTATGTATGGGAATCAAATGTACTTGATGGTATCTTTTATTTGTGTTTGCATAATATATCACATTATATTTAACTGTTTATCCTACTTTATTGTAGGAAGACGTTGGCGAAAGTAGCGCAGGCTGTGATAGATCACCACATAGACTTGTTTGCCGACAGCAAATTGTTGCTGACCTGATTTTTCCCATTTCAGAAGCCTGAATATTAGCCAAATGACACATAATTCTATATTTTTAATAGTTGCTGGGAGTGAAATATGCTAACATTTTATATAACAGCCATAGTTGTAGAGTATGGGGGCCTGAGGGGGCTTGAGAAATCTTCCTGGGGCTCAGCCCCTCTAGAAATTTTGCATAACTTCTATAGTCTAATGCTGTAACCTGCAACTATACATAATACATTAATATTACGGTCTGTACTAACCCTGTATTGCACAAATTATGTATATCTGTTTGGTTAATACTTGTCACAGTGGTCAGGTCTCCAAGTAATATATAATTTTGAATGCTTGCTAAGTTTCATTTTTTCCAATTTTCTTCTAAAATAATGTTTCGTTCACTTCAAACTTTGTCAACAAGGCATATGGGGCTGGGCATGGGCACAGTGGGCAGTTGCCTCCACCCCCCAGTCAAAATGAAGTCGGGCAAATTATAAACGTAAGTCAGGCAAAAATTTGGGGAAATAACTTTAAAAGGAAGAGATATGCAATGTAGTAGTTTTTAAAAATACAAAGAATTATGTAAAAGTAACAAGTAATTTTAACAGATTTGGAAAATTTTTTCGTCAACAACAGTTAGACTAAAACATTAATAGGTCAGCCCCTTTAGACAAAACTGTACACCAATGATCTGCCTGGTGGGAATGGGAATTAATCTCACCACACGTACGGGTCAGGGTCTGTGGAAGAGTCAGCACCAATGATAACAGCTATTTAGTACATAAAAATAACCAACTCCTTAGCATTAATGCACATGGCGCATGTGCATGTGAACCATGTATCAGGCCCATTCATTATTCTCACTAAAAGCTTCGCTTTGATACCATAGCAAGGCTTGGTGATGGAAACAATAGCATGACTTTATAAGACCAACAAGACGCCTGCTCAGGCGTTCACACTGGCCTTAGCGGTTGGTAAAACAGTAAAATACCATCGCAATATTCTAAAAAATAGGTACGTAGTGCGTACATGTTGCATGCCATCAAAACCATGAAACCTCACGACTCAGAATACTATACAGAAATCATGGCCATCTCCATTGTTTTCTGTGTACGTGCTATTTGTCATGATTTGTCGGTCGGCAAGTACAGTAAACAGAAGCAGTTACCCCCTGGCACTGAACAAAGATACACAGAAGGTCGATTAGAGCATAGTCCAAAACATGGTCTGGAAACTCAGTAAACTTCAAAGCGGTTATAATCAGCTGGGATTTTACGTTGAGCCGTACCTTAAACCATGTACATCCTTTGTTTTAGGTTTATTAATATTTAACTAACATGGTTGAATGACTGAATTGAAACGTCGCTGTTGGATGATTCGTTCATTATACTGAAATACAATGTGTTCATAATTGACTGTGCACCGTGCACAAAACTGCATAAACGCAAAACAAAAAGATAGAACAAAGACTTTAGCGGTGTTTCCAAACCATGTTTTGAAAGACTGTAATTAGAGTAAACGCTGCCACGTCCCAACCAGTGCGCACCAAAGAGGCACGCCCCCCCCCCCTCCCGCTGGACGTCTATCATTTTGAATATTATCAGGGGGGTAAATGCCTCCCAAAAGCGCACCAGCCAGGACCATGACGTCAGCATTTTGATGATGAATTACGGTCATGCCAAAATCCATTGGAAAACCATAAGAAAAACCAATAAATTGGGCTTCTGTATGACCGACCCTGTGCCCTGGTAATGATGCGCGACCACTTACAACTTTTGGTACAACTGATCTGAAACTTAAAATATTGATTCAATAAGTTTAAGATCAATATATTGTTTGAAAAATAGCTATTATGTCAAAATTAGAAAACTTAAGATTCTCACGCGAATAAGCAATGTTTTTATGAGCGACTGTTCATCATTAGTTGCCAACGACGGTAATATAAACAAGGTCAAGGCAGGTCAAGTTTGTATCGAAAGCGATTGACTGTTAGATTTTCTTTTATACTATTTTATAACTAAAAAATGTTATTTCCTACAAATTTAGCTTTATTGTAGCTTTAGTAAAGGTATAAAAAACCCTGGAAACGGTGAATTACTATAGATCGAAAATAATTATTAAACTATGATTGAAATTATCGACGTAGAATGCTATATTTCGTTGTATTAAATTTCAATAGTATATAAATAGTAATACATTTGACATCCGTAAGTACAATTTCTTATGCTGAATCGAACGGTGGTATTTTTATCCTCATTGCGCCATTAGACATTACAAATACAAAGACAAACGTAGTGCGAGTGATTTGTTATAAATAACAATACATACTGCGAGTCTACGAGCGATTTGTCAATACAATTTCGCTTGATTTTCAAAGGCCATAAATCGCTAGAATACTGGTGTTCAGTAATACACTTGACATCCGTAATACAATTTCTTTATACGCTGAATCATACGGTGTCGCTTTCTTCTCAAAATATAGGAATTGGTTTATAAATCATAGTGAGCATGTGTAATGTGATAGCTAAATTCACTGAGCTATAATATTACAGTAATATTATTATAGCTCAGGGGCTAAATTGTGCAATCCTGAGCCCACGATGCCGCAATGGAAAGTCACACTTGCGACAACAAAAAAAAAAACGAAGAAATTCCTCGAGGGCAAATTATGACACTGGCTGCGGCCAGTGTAATTATCTTGCTTTGATGCTAGAAATTGTTAAAGTTGTTGGACAATCATTTCATTATTTTATTATAAAATACATTATTAAATTCACAGGCATTTATTCATACACTGGATGAAGAAGACACAGTTAGAAAACTAGCAATTAGAAGCCTAAGAAGAGGAATAGGGAGTATGGATTACGTTCACACACTCCTTATTGTAGAAGATGACTTGGATGAGAATACCGGTCATCTGGAGGATGGAAAATGATGACATGGCAGGCGAAGCAAGAAAGAGAGCAGTCACAGGAGGGTGTCTCTGAAAGAGGTGAAAGAAGTCAGTCTGGTCAGCAACAAGGCTGAACCATAGATGGTGAGGCTGTTCCTCCATGGTGTGAATGCTCACATTGCAGGCCCATGCCCCAAGAAATTGAGAATAAGTGTTGCAAACTAAAAAATTGTATAACATTATCTTCACGTTTTTCCAAGATATGCCTGGATCCGGATGTGCTAGAACTGTGCATAAGAAACACAAGCAACATAAGAAATGATAGAGAAGATAATAGTACTAGGTTATTTCGCAAAGCTGGGTACAGACAATTCATATTGGCTCAGCATGGGTATTTGGGCAAAGAAAATCGCCATGTTTGCCTCTCTTGTGTAGTCCTCAAAATAAGACAACGATATCCAGCTGTGACTGGAGTATATATGGGTTATAGGGAATGATAATTGCTATGAACCTTCGATAAACTTTCACAAAAGCAAAGGGAATTTGATTTTAATTATTTATATTCTAATTTATGTTTGTATATAGTAAGTAATAAGGACATTTTTTTATAGAATATACATTAGAAGAAATTACATAATTTTGTACAAAATTGGAATGTGCCACTATTATATTAGTTATTGTGAAAATCGGCTTTTTCTTTTTGGTATGTCCTTTGTTGCTGGTGGTGGTATATGTGCAACGGTGGGAGCAATGTGGCCTGGGTCGCTTGCATTTAATGAAACATGGCGGGTTATATTACTCATCATCATGCAGTCTCCGTTGGATAACCTTTGCAATAAGAACAGGAATGTACTCAAATCCTTTTTCAACTTTGACATTTTTCACATCCCACTGCCTGGTCCTTCTGTTGTATCTTCTTGTCAACATTTCCACACCAGACTTACTTTTTGCATTTTGAATATTGATGTGGTAGTTCCAATCGATTGCAGTCAATTGCTTACAGGCTTTATACACTCTATAACTAAGGAAATAATATATTCAGTACAATACAGCTAGGAGTTTTTACAATATATATACATATATCTACAGTATATGTACAATCATGCAATTTGCCATAATATACTACACCAAATTATAAAGCAATTTTTGGATCCTCACCTCAATGGCACTCTCTTGGGTGTATAAACAAGGCTGAGACTATTGGCACGCTCAATTCCTCCAGTATGTCTAAAATAGAAGAGCTTCTATATTTATATATAGACTCACATTGGATGGGGGGAGGGGGGGTATGGAATGGAAGGACCACCCCATTTCTTCAAGACCAATTTTTTAATACTTACATTATATTAATACAATCATGTGGATTTTCTACAAATTAACCGTCTTCTAATATATTCTTCATCTGGTGCATTTGAATATTCCATCACCCCCTGCTTAGAGCAGGCAATGCCCATGTATATGTACAAATGTACCACCTGTATTTTATGTAATATATACATGTAATATTATAAAGACTGTTTACCTAAATCTTGTGTAATATCTGAAGCTGTCCAGCAGTTCTGGGTTAAGGATAACCTTCTGGAGCTCAAGGAAGTCTTTATCTCGCCTGTCAAACCAAGGAACCCAGCTAACACAATTACGTTTTTAAAACGTCGTGGAAACGTTGGACTTACGTTATATGAACGTTCTGGGTTAACGTTGTGACAACGAAAATTTGTAGACAGCAGAAAACGTAACCGCAACGTTGTAGCTAACGTAGCGAGAACGTAACTTGAACGTTGTCAAAACCTTTCTAACACGTTATAAGCACGTCGAATTTTAACTTTGTGAAAATGTGGTAATAACGTCGTGGGAACGTTACGACTTAACGCAAGCCTCAAGGTACGTTTACACACATGATTTGCCGGCCGATTCAGCTTTAACTATATGATATTTGAAAAAATTGCAGCATTCGTTATAATTAAAACCTGTAATTGGCCAGATTATAATCCCTGTGTGTACACGTACAGTAGCTTAACACAGGCTAATTGCACCAGAAGCATTGCGTACTTTAATTTTCTTTCGCGAATTTTCTGACTACGTCGGCAAATTCGAGAAAGGGAATTAAAACGGGAAATGATTGTTGTGTAATAAACGCGGTTGTTAAGAATATTAAAATAACGTAAACATAAATTTTCCTAAATATTTATTGACACAAAATGTTAAATGACTTCACATTAACTATTTACATAAACTTTAAGAACTATTAATAAATAAATTAGTATATAAGGAAATAATATGCACAACATTAAAAATTACTTGATCTATCAAATATCATCCTTTTATACAATCCCGGCAACGTTCTATAACATTCGGAAAAAAAAATCGATTAATTATGAAATGAGGGGGGTTTAGCCAATAACGATTAGTTAAAAGCCTAGTCGACCACAAATGCAAATACTGCATTCTGATTCGTTAGCTATACTGGCTATATATATCGACATCTAGCTGGTTTCAACTAAAACAATCAGATTATTCGCTCCCCATTTCTACACGGTGATCGTTTATCAGGCTGTCCCTCTCATCAACTGCCACCACCTCTTTAGAAATCTTGTGCTCGTAATCGATTGTTACATCTACAAAAACACATTTGTCATTGTGCACTTTTATAGTCTAAGAGCGAATCATCCAAGCAACATTTTAATTCCATAACCTCAAAACAAAGGATGTGCACTGCGCTCGTTACAGTAGGTATACAGTAAGCTCATTACCATGGGTTTCTTATACAAGGTTTAAATGTCTCGGATTAGGACCTTAAAATTTAGATATATTTATTAGGGGTCTTCAATTTGCGATTGGCAAGACAAAATTACTGCATACACTTGTACCGCAAAAAATGCTGAAAAGATTTACCTGATATCTCGAACCTCCCGGTTTATTTGGTGCGTGCTTTAAAGTCTCGGATATCTGCTCTTCGATATTCGGTTCTGTTGCCTTTTCATGACATTTAACACACGATTCTAAAACAAAATGTAAGAAGAGTGTATTATGAGACTATATACACACTGAAAACAACCTTATATGATTCCTACCTTTCAAGTTAAATACAACATTTTGTGCTTTTTTCGTTTTCTGGAGACGATTTTTTAAATATTTCATCGATTTTAAAACCAAATATGCCGAAACATTGTTTTTAAAAAGCATTATTTACTAGTCTGGTGGCACGTCTGGTCAGAACGCGCAAAAGCTCATTTGATATGCAAAAGTTATACTAAACAGTATTAATTTCTGTTATATGATAACCGAAAAAAAACAATATTATTATTGTATGATTATACTATCATACACTAGTGGGAATTTGTGTGAACTAAAAAAGGAAACTACAAAATTGAAGATGTTTCCATGATACATCTACTGTTTTAATTATCATCGTTTTCTATTGAAAAAATAAAATTATAAGAGAGCAACATTCATTGACAAACACAAACGTTTCATATCAAATTTGAAAATAGCGTTACTCACTTATTATCACGTTACAAAGATTCAAGCCTTTGAAAGCGAGCTTTCCTTTCCGTCCTTTGAAGCTATACAGCGACCATAATTTATTTGTCCCTAATTTTGCCATGATTCTCCTCACTGTATCACCGAGACTGTGTCCACATTGAGCAGCAAGATATGAAACCTAGAAAACATTAAAAACGTGTTTGGAAAACAGCTTCACACGAACTCTGCAAATATTAAAATTATTTTCTAAACCAAGACTTCATTGAAGCGTCCATGGACGTCAACCTACCAGGGTATTTTTAAACTTTGATTGCTCCAACTTCAAACAAAGCTTTTGAATTTCTCCAAGAGTGTCCATTGGTCTGGGAAGGACATCTTCCAGGACCACATCATAGGCGGCTTGTGTTTTGGAGCTTTGTTGCCTCAAATATACCAGAATTTCGTTTTGATTTTCTATTATTGTGTCAAGTTTTACAATGACATTTGTACGATAGTCTACATGAAAGAAATATTTGCATTTTAAAAAAAGTGATATAGGCTAATCGCGAGTCGTCATCGATCCGTGTCGTTGAACAATGAAAAAATTTGTTCTGAAATTAGCGAAGATAAAATAGCAGTTTGTGAGAAAATTGCGGGTCTACGGCGCGGGAAGGTTCGGATTTGAACTCAGCGTGCTTATCCAAGACATGTATAATGAAAGTGAACAATATTGGGACGCGTCAAACGGCCTAGTAACGACGTAACTGGTTATAGAGCATTAATTCATGGCTATTTGGTAACAAATAAAATTAGCCATTCACCAGCGACTTTACATATAATCAGTACTAAGCAGCTACAGGTAGTAGTAACACTTAATAATCTTACTTTGGGTTGATTCACTGTTCTTTGAGGTTGCTTGACCTATAAAAGGAAAATATATAATTTATATACAGCTCATTCAAAAAAAGGTTGTCCTTTGAAAAACCTTCAACTCAAAACCTTAAAACGTAAACTCTAAGCGTGCAAAGCATAATGGTAGCATTATTCAATCAGTTTAGAAATCATATATTGGGCGCATTTGTTAGAGACATGGTAAATATCTCCTTACGAGAACAATTTATTGACTAATCTGTAGCTGCAATATTCAACTACTAAGCTTGAGACTTGTGCTCCCAAGCTTTCAGTAATGTTTAAAGTTTAGAGTTTAAAGTTTAGAGTTTAAGGTTTTTCAAAGGACAACCTTTTTTGAATTGGCTGTATATTATACATATACATATAATACACAACATACTGTACCAAAGCACTGCCTAATCTCAAGGCTCGCAGCACTGCACAGTAAACACCAGCGATACAAATGACATCTGGATGTGTCTTACCAAATGGCAATAAAATTTACTTACCATCATTGGCCATCTCCTGCAATTCACTTGAGATGGACTGGAATATTTCTTTGATGCAATCATCGTCACCAGGTGGTGAAAATTGAAGTTCGTCTGACAATAAAAGTAAACAAGATAACGAAACTTACATACATGACCACAAAAATCAAGAAAAATAAAAAACCCTCTTTCTAACTGGTATTATAGTTTATTTACTACAACCTTTTCCTAGTTCTTAAACAGTCTTTAGAACTGTAGAAACACCAAAAATGAATTTATTTTTAATCTGTAAACCGTTGGTCACACTGAATAAATACCTAGACTGTATACTCACAAGAACGACCTTGGTTTAGGTTAATCTGGCCGTCTTGTTCGGACTGTTGGTGATTGCACAATAAAATACTTTTAACAACTCACCAATTACTTCTGCACTCCGGGTCGTAGATGGTGTTGAATGTAGGTGTAAACCCGAAACTAAAAGCAATGGAAGCAAACATTTAATAAATATTGTAATTAATATGTATATATTCCAAAATTTGCTTCAACAAAGAAGCATACTCACCTTGACCAACAGAATTGGTCTTTCCATGGCTCAGTGATGTTCTGGGTGAAATGGCTGGTGGATTGGGCATTAGTAAGCTACTGTCATTTCGTTGCATGTTTTCACTCTGGGTGCGAGGACGAGGTATATCTTCACAAGGTTTAGGATGTTGAGCCTTCTTTGCTTGAACTTGTTCAGTATTTCTGTTTTCTTCATTTAAATAAAGTAAAAATAGAATTGATCTTACAAAAACTGATCTAGTGAGATGATCAATAAAATTTTGTATATAACATCACCATTGTCAATCAAAATCACGGTGATTCCCACAAAGCAAAACATATATTTTTATTCCAGTTCGATATACTTATGTTCATGCCGGAATTAACTGATTATAGCATATATATTCTACTTTAAAATAAATGGACTTTGTCCAAAAGCCCAAATAACACCAAAGCTTGCAAACATTACCAAACAATCGCAAAGAATAAAAAAGTAATTTGTGAATGGTATTAAACTTTTAAAATTAACCACAACCTTTCCCCAGTTGTTTAACCGCAAAAACAATATTTAGAACTGCAGGAACACCAAAATGAATTTAGTTTTAATCCGTAAACTTTGGTCATACTGAACACACAACATTACCTATGCTATATGCTCACAAGAACAACGTTGGTTTAGGCTGATCTAGTTTAGGTTAATTTGGCTGTCTCCTTGGTGATTGTACAATAAATTACTTTTAACAACTCACCAATTACTTCTGCACTCCGGTTCATAGATGGTGTTGAATAAAGATGTAAACCCGAAACTAAAAACAATGGAAGCAAACATAATATAAATATTGTAAAATTGTATTCCAAAAGTTATTTCCACAAAAGAAGCATACTCACCTTGACCAACAGAATTGGTCTTTCTATGGCTCAGTGGTGTTCTGGGCAAAAAGGCCGGTGGATTGGGCACCAGTAAGCTCTTGCCTATTTGATTCATGTTTCCATGCCTATTTGATTCATGTGCATTTTCACAAGGTTTAGGATGTCGAGCTTTTTTCGTTTGAATTGGTTTGGTTTTTCTGTTTTCTTCATCTAAATATAGTAAAAACAGAATTGATCTTGCAAACACTGACCTAGTAAGATGATCAATAAAAATGCTGTGTTTTTGTATAAAACATATTGTTCATAATTCGAGGTCTTTTCCTCAAAGCAAAACAAGTATAAATGCTCAAACAGGAATTAACTGATTCTAGAGTATTCTACTTTAAAATAAATTGGAGTACTGTCCAAAAGGCACAAATAAAATGTTGTTACACTACGCAAATTGTCTCATGACAACACTGCAAGACAAGTTGCATAGTCTAACAGCATCTTACGAACACAAAGCTCAATTCGAAAGATATAAATATTAGCATTAATTCCAATAATTGACTTTATTGCCAAAATTGTTTACTGTGCACAAAATTTTAATTGGAAATTACCATGTTCGTATTCCTCGTAGTTAACTTCCTGCCGACGTCGTTTTCTGGTTTGTCCAATTTCTTGTTCGGAATCCGATGTCTCAATTTGCGATGTTTCCTCTGCCTTTTTGGCTCGTTTTACAGCCTTGTCGTATTTATCTAAAACAACATTCGTATATACTATGTATGTTTAACATTGAATATTATACAAATAAGAATGTTTATGAGTACAATGATAAGAATATTTGAAAAGACGGAATAGTCCATGCAACAGAATATTCCATTGCAATTGAACATTTCGTTGTACGGTCAGGAAAATATTAATTTTATTAAAATTCTTATTTAGTATCACATGATCAATTCACCATGAACATTATCAGGTGCTGTATAACATACAGTACACTATTAAAACACAAAGAGAATTATAAAATATCACAATGATATTAAACCAAACATTACCATGTAGAGAAGAAGACAGAGTTAATATACCTGTGTATGACAAAATCCTTATTCTATAAGAACTCCAAAGCTTTTTGTCAGGCAGTTCCATCCTACGAACCCGCGTCTGAATATTTGATCGAGGATAGTAACAATAAAATACCTAAAATGAAAACAACCGAATATAAAATCTCATCCAAACTGAAGTCAAACGAATCATATCGAATTCCAGAATTACCTCATCTTGTTTTTCGATCCACGACTCAGGAACAACATCAACAGCATTCTCCTCAGTGAATTCTACGATTGCGAATCGATCCATCTATGAACTGGAACGATGAAGTATTTTTTTACCATTTTACAGTAGTTTACGGTGTCTTATTTCATGGGTGAATAATACAATTTGCAAGAATTTGCCAACTGTCTCAATACCGAAAAGAGTTTTACATTAAACCAATCTAATAACCAAATAAGGAATAAGAAAGAACTTAACAACCAGATGCCGTCAACCATCCATTTTATTGAGAGGTTACATAATAGACACATTAATCAAAGCTCGTGTAAGATGGCTAAAAAAACAAGTACATCATTTTGAAGTTCAACAGCAATTGCTTGATTAGTTAAACTACTTGCAGGTAATATTTTCATGCTTGCAAATTGTGCTCGAGCTTTATGCACACCAATTATTCTAGAGTCACAAGGTTTGTTAAACAATGCATCGGAGTTGTCGTAAACTCTGCATGAGAAACACTTTTCTCTAGCATGACTTTGGTGTGTTTCCTCGATTACCACACAACAAGTGGTATCACTAAGAATATAAGCATTGTTCGGAGCCTTTAGAGAAATGGCACTACTTTTGGGCGCTTGATCAAAATCGCTTCCATCCAATTCGTGAAGTCGCTTCACTATTTGGGCAAGGGGATTTTTTCCTGAGCGCACCAAACGTTTTAGCTTTTGGAGGTAATTTTCAAAAGGAAAACCGCTACACCTATCCAATGAGCCAAAATTTCTCACCTCGTCAGCCAAGTGAATTAGACAATGCACATTGTAAACAATGAATTCGGCACCATAAAGAAAAGAAGCCTTTTCAACAAAATACTTCAAAAGATCAGCAGCATAACCTAAATGAGCTTGAGAAAGTTGAGGACAAGCAAGAATAGAACTAGCAACACTAAGCATCATGAAATGGTCATAAAGGGGTTGAGGCAATATTCCTTTCAAAACAAGCTTTCCACTATACAGCAAGAATTGCCTTAATTCTGTGGCTTTCCACCTATCGATTTCCGCTAGACTTCGTGGTTTGCGGGCAAAGCATTGGGGTATATAGCTTCTCAATGCTACAAGTTTAGTGCTTATTTCTTCCACCTGACGAGCTGATATTCTTATTTCCTTCTTTCCTCGCATCCAAGCAAGGATCATCTTTTTTACCACACCCAGGCATAACTGATGCATATAGTCAAGAGGAAACGACTTGATCATATCAATATCCAAGTCACAGAAAGGAGAATCAGAATTGTGATGCTCTTCATTTGATTGCATTCGGAAAGAATGATCTGTACGGAGCAACAAATTCTCCACCTCTGGATACGTCAATCTACCAATCCAAACACCACGCTGACAGCATTTGTCACAGCCATAATAGCCAGAATACAACTTGGTACCTTTAACAAACGCTTTTGCAGGTGCATCACAGACAACACACCTGAGAGAAACTTTAAGAACCTTTGAACCGCAACTTAAGCCCTGCTTTAACACCATATTCAGATCTCTCACAGTGTCATGAAGAAAATCTAAATTCTTAGGTTTTGACTTCCCATATGTTAAAGCAATTGGGAATATTCTAACTGGGGTAAGGTTCATAATACCACATAGAACTGGCCATAAACTATTTTGTGAACTTTTGAACAAAGGAATGCCATCAATGTTCAAACTTATCTCTAAAGTATCAACAGAGTCTTTAACACTGTCTGGATAAGACTGGAAATTCTCCAAGAGTGCCTTTTCCAATGAGAAGTAAACATACTCCATCTCAGACTTATGGCCAATAGAAACAAGCCTTGGTGTGGCCAATAATGACCTGGCAGTGCTTGGTAATTCAGAATGGCCAGACTGTTTAAGTAATTTAAGGAGCCCATCAACTGCATTGTGTTTTACTTGAAAGTTATTCACCCAAGTTACTAACTCATCTTTTAAACTGCAATTTTCTAACTGATCAGAATCGTCAGACAAACAAGAATTATCACTGATGCTGTCAGTGCCTGAAACACGGTGGTGAGCAGGTGCGTTTGTGCAAATTTCATCTATGTCAATTGTTTCTTCAATTAAACTCTGATCAACAGTAAAGTTATCATTATCATCATCATCATCATCATCAACGCGCACTGTTATAGGACTGAATGCAATCGGAGGTGACTGTTTTTGAAAATCAATGCAGTGCCTCTTAGAATTGTTATTGTATTTTGTTACAGAACGGCAAGCTGAAATCCATTTTCTCTTGTAACTCTTTCTATGATTATTTGTTGTCATCTTTTTTTTCTATAATTTAGAAATCTAAATTACTCTAATTTACATTTCTGTAATTAAAGCTGTGGTAGAATTTTTTTTCACTGAAAAAACATGTGTTCAGGGTATATCAAATGTAAGCAAACCATTTTCTTACATTTTAAACATGATCGATCATGTCATGATCAGTTCCAAAATACCACACTCGAACAGATTTGGCCTCGTAGCTCAGTTGGCAGAGCACTGGACTAGTATCCCAAAGGTTGCGGGTCACCACCCACGCGGCGTGGATATACACTTAGAGTAACATCAAAAACATTATATTCACCGGAGTGCATAATATCAAAGCACACACAAAAATATCATAATCATAGAACACATTGGAATCAAAATTATCGAATTTAAAGAGACCATTTTAAACATGCGAAATTTAGAAAATTTGATTGAAAATTTAGAAAATTGTACATTTTGCTAGTCCAATTTGTATTAATTTAAAAATAGTATGTCAGACGTTAAAGATCTACATTAGTGTATATGACAACTTAAACCATAAACACTTTAAACTTTCCCCCATTAACACACAACCAGAAATCATGCACTAAACAAAACTAACAAATTTATATATGGCATCAACTGTAAACAGTAAATCATATAATAACATATATTGTGTATTGCTAAATGTGAGACTGATATTTTAGAACTTAGTGATTTTGTTGCCTTGTTGGTTGTAAAAAATATCTATCAAAGATTTTGAACAGTGTAATTCAATTGTAGTGCCAATTACCTCTGTTTTTAAAAATTATAACCCATATCCCTTTTCTGTATTTGTACAGAGGTTAGTATATCACTACATGTATTAGTATATTTGTCTAAAAGTAAACTTAGAATTATGTAGAGAAATGCATCACTCAGTTTTAACAACCTAAACACAGTTAACTCTGCAAAGTACAATAACAATATAACTCATTATCTATGTTATTGCCCAGGTTTATGCAAGAATGTGATTTTATAGCACCATGTGTTAAACCAATAGAAACTTTTGCAAGGGGAGGTGCAAAAATTCCCAGGGAAGGTGAAAAACAATCTCAGGGGAGGTGTGCACCTCCCCGCAAAATCCGACCTTGGTTTGTCTCACATTATGACGTCACACTGTGTATCTATATCTGAACAGACATTATGGCAAAATCTTAATCTATTTGTTAATTAAACATATATAATCATTTAGAGAAATGCAATCTAACCCAACAGTCCCAACTTACACTAAGGGAGTGGTCATTATTTATGGGGAGGGGGGGTTGGGAAATGGGGAAAATAAGGATTGAAAACTTTTTTGACCCCCCCCTCCAGACTGAAGGCAAACTTTTTGTGCCTCCCCCCTCATAAAAGTAGAAACTTTTCTGACCCCCCCCCCACCCCAGTGTGGATTGAAAAATTAACAGCAATGAAACAGGTGTGCGTTGCAGGTAAAGTTAGATATTAGGACAATCTGTTTAATCTAGCTCATGATGTTTTACCCTGGTGAATATGATTCAACCATATATGATTAAAAAATATATATTATGTGTTACTACTTTGCAATGCAACATTTGTCCTACCATAACCCTAACCCATGACCCGTCTTCATACAGCGAAATGATTTGAACACAGGTTTTTTTTAAGAACTTGTCTGGGGGGTGGGCATCTACAAAAAGGGACTATACTATATTGAGTGTGGAGAGATGACAGATGGTTGTTGGTGACAAAAAGTTTGGTGTGGTATCGTATGTACTAGTAGGGGGGTCTGGGGGTATTCTCCCCCAGAAAATTTTTTTTATTTTCCCACCCTAGAATTGAAATGTGAGCATTTTCCTCTGAGCATTTTCTGAAACAGATTTTTGGATATACAGCGTTACATTGTGCGTTGATAGACCGAATCTGATCAGTTAAGTGTACTTGCATGGTATGTTTATGTAAATACCACAACTGGGTCACTCAGGAGGTAGAAAGCTTGTTAAACTTAGTGGGCTCAACGAACGGTCGCTCGGCGCCACCATGGTTGGCGCCGAGCAGGGAAATTTCGAACATTTTGAGTCTCTAGATCGTTGGAAATAGCATTTTCAGAGTCTTCTTTTTTGCTATTTGTGATTATAGAAATCAAAAACTTTTATGACCCCCCCCTTTCTCTGTGTTAAAACTTTTTTGACCCCCCTATTTATAAGGGGAAAACTTCGTTTGCCCCCCCCCCTCCCATTTCCCAACCCCCCCTCCCCATAAATAATGACCACTCCCTAAACTCTTTAATAAGCATTACAAGTTGCAGACCTACAATTTACCATTTACAATCGAGGCCATATTTCAACTTAATAAGTGGAGAATTTGAAATAAAGTAGAATAAATTACATTTGCATATTTAAGCAGCAGTGCACCTTCCTTTGTTATTTTACTCTAGGCAATTTGTTATCTGAGTGTATGTCTGAGTGTATATCCACACCGGGCAAGCTTGAAAAATATGCCTGGCCATGGTGGGAATCGAACCTACAACCTTTGGAATACTAGCCCAATTGAGCTATGTGATATTTCGGAACAGAATCTAGTTCCTTTGGTGTCAATGTAATCTAGTAATCATAATTTTTTCTGTGTTGGTGTAATGTACTCAGGTGAATAGGATGCTTGAAAACACATGAAATTGCTTGATGCTTTGTAAACACATAAAATTAAACCTTAATTTTACTCGGCCCCATGCAATCACATATACAAATTTGAATAATAATCCCAGTATGTATACAAATAAAGTATTCAAAGACTGCGGATTCAGGTTGAGTGTTTAATGACGTCAAGATCATGTGAACGTTGAAACAGAAAAACACAGGTGAAGACAAGTGGCAAATTACTTGTTGCTATGAAAGAATGTCTGTAAACAAACAGTTTTTAAAATGTGGCACACAAACAATTATGGTTGATTACTTATGCCCGGAAACCCTTTATCTGAAGACTAAGGTCGTTAACAAAAGGAAATATTATTAGCAATGGATGTGATCCTGAAACAGGAGTTTTTCCTGGAAAATTCATAAAAGTAGACATCCCATTGGGATATTGTCAGCCATTGTATCAAAAATTTGGAAACGTTTATACTGCAGAGATAAAATAGTTTCTCCTAAGCCAAACATAGATAACAAATTAACAATGGTCTTCTTGCCTGTGTTTAATAATCTCATTATTTGAAATTTAAAATACTTCAATGATAAGTCAATTTCTACACACGAGAAGAAAATCGATTGTTACAATAATAATTGTATACAACCTAAATTTCAGGAAGATTATCCATATTTTTGCATTACAGTGTAAATTCTAGACATATATATTCAATTCAAAATGTCACCGCTGGTCTGCACCCTCATAGCAACAAGTAATTTGCCACAAGTTTGACAATGCCCCCATTTTTCTGTTGCAATGCTCACATGATCATGACGTCATTAAACACTCAACCTGAATCCGCAGTAAACTGACCATAATGTATACAGGTCATAATAAATTAGTATTTTTAAATTTTAAACAAATATCAATATTTTTGGTTGTTACGATGTTGGCTCAATATTTATAACAATATGTAATAAATGAAAGCAGGCTGCCATGTGCAGTGCAGTCAAACCTTAAATAGCAAATAGACTTGAATAATACAGTAAGAGACATAGAGAATATAATTTGAGCTTTGATAAGCAGGAAAGCTCAGATACTGCACCAAATGAAAAGTTAGTAGTCATATTAACTGCCTGAAAATGTAGCAACAAAGTAAGTTTCAAGATATAACAATAGTAAAATCCTTGCAGTTATAGTGCGTCTATAGATGAAATTTTATAGGTGCATGCGCCTACAAAAACACCAGTTTGTTACAGATTAACTGTGGTTAAAGCTAGGCTTTATGTGGTAAATAGGGCAAACACGACTGAAACTTCCAAGGTTAGCGATACCATCTTGTTAAGTGGGGCAAACACAATACTAAAACAATATATTCAAGATGGCGTCCATATTTTATACAACCAACGGTGTGTATAAAATTCTAGCTAGTCGAGATCTGATAACAAAGAATAGTAAACCAAAAAGTTCAATGCCTTCAAGGCAACTTTATGTAAAAATACACTACACAGTCCGCAAATGTCGAATGATTCGTGTAAATAAATGCAAAATATATTTGGGATTGCCTGGCGATCGAACCACATGTATTAAAATAATTCACGTCAAATATCTTTATAATCTGAAATAGATGTTATATCAATATATATATGACTACACTACAAATACAAAATATCATAAGTATCACTTACATTTACGTAGAGGAAATACAGGAGAGCCAAGGAAAGTCCAAGTATTAAAATCTTCAGTCTTGTGCTAGTTTTATCTTGCCGCCGGTGCGAAATGCTGTTGCCGAGTTGTGTCACGAGATGCCGACGCGCAGCTTAAATTACGCGCATATATGCAATGAAGGATCAAATTATATATTCATATCAAATTTCGCAGACGTCCGACTTTTTTTAGCCAATTAAAATAGAGTATTTTTGATCTGCGAAAACCGCGAAACTCATGTGTCTATAATATTAGTGACTTCGCACATAGTCCACATATAATAGTTGGATTTTGCCTTTTTGGTCACATATGGTAACTTAATGGAACATATAGGTATAGTCAATGACAATGCAACTGAAACAAATAACTGATGTAACATATTATAGTCAATGACAATGCAACTGAAACAAATAACTGATGTAACATATTCAATGAGTTTTAACTTTAAAACCATATAAAATTTAAAGGTTATCACCGATGCCTGATGGGCGATGGCTGATAAACCGTTCAATTAATACCAATTCAAACTTCAATTTAACATCAACAAAACGTTCTCACAAGACACGACATTTTGTCATTGACATTGTCCATACATTGTCATTGAATTCAATATGAACGTTAATTTAGTACGATGAACCTTTACAGAACGTCACGACGACGTTTTCTTCTAATTAAAATTTCACGTTATTACGGAACAATATCACAACGTCATTACAACGTTGGTAGATCAAGCGTTCTTGTCACGTTGCATTGATGTGTAAGTAAAACGTTTTTACAACGTTAGTATTCAAACTTTCTAGTCACGTTGTATTCATACGTAATTAAAACGTTTTCACAACGTTAGTATTCAAACGACAAGAAGACAAAGTTGTCAAAAGGTTGTCACAATGTTAGGTCCGACCTAACCAAATTTCAACCTTCCAAAAACGTTTTTACAACGTTATGTGTTAGCTGGGAAGGTCCTCATTGTGGTCTCCTTCAAGATGCTAAAACCAAAATATGCCAGACAACAAGAAGCCCAGAACAAAATGTCATTGTAAACTGCAGCGATAGATTGTGATAAGAATGTCTGGTGTAATTGAAAGGCGATTATCTTGAGAGCCACTTTTGCAACTTTGATGCCCTTTACCACATGCTCTAAATGCAGACAGCCCACTGAGGGATCAAGCCCGGAACCCAGGGAAACAAGAGATGGCTATCCCGAACATGGGATGTCTAGAACAGTACAAGATTTTGTGGCATTGTTCATGTTGCAAACTCATGGTTTATTGTGGTAAGGACTCCCAGAAAGCACACTGGGCAGAACAAAATATTATGCAATGCCCCTCACCTACCCTTCTATTCACCACCCGTATATGGAATACCTATTGACACCTTTCACCCATTTTCTCATCAGCCCCCTTTGTATGGATCATGGGCCTTTCCCTATCGAGCCAGCATGAATTATTAAGTATTAAACTGAGAAAAGTATATATATAAAGACTCCAGAACTTTATATTACATTAGGATGAACTGCATCTGAACACTGTCACAAAGAAAGACTCCCAGTAGTCCCAGTACTGTTTAGAGCGAGTTCAGAGGAGAGTGACATCAATAATTTTTCCAGGTTTTACTTAAGACGAATGATTGCAGAAAAGAAAAGCGGCCTTACCTCCCTTAGAGATCATCATCAGGACGCTTGTTGAAAGTTGTTCCACCGAGCCACCAATGATCCTCAGCGCAAGCTTTCACCTCTTCTGCCAGAGAGATGTTCCACAGAATATAATCTTAGAAATCGCCGCGTTTTCCAACTTCCAAAGGTTAAGACGAATAGATTTTTAAATACGTTTATCCCAGCTTGTATTCAAAATTTTAGCTACATTTTTGACAATTATTTCTATGCATATGTATATATATTTTTAGCCAATTTTTATAATTTTAGCAACATGCAATTCAGTTCTGTAAACTGCAAAGTGTTTTTTAATATAAAGACTATCTATCATCAGCGTATTATTATGTGAGATAGTATTGAAATTAGGATCCAGTTAGAGACTTGTTGAGTATTGTGATAGCAGTATAGGCAACATTCCTCTGATGTACCGTGACATAGCATGGAATCTCCTGTAACAATAGACATTAGAGTAAGTGTCATGGGATGACACTTGTTTCAAGAGGATGAATATGTTAGTATGTTAGGACTTAAAATAGAAATTAGCTTTTACCAGACATTGATCATGAATGACATTTACGTGTTGATTGATAAAAAACATATGTATGTAGCGCAATAGAAAAGGGTTTATAGTCAGCGAGGATTAGAAGATATAACAAAGTCAGGTATATAATTTGTGTACAAAGAGTTTTATACACCATTAAATAATAACCCATCACCAGATATGCACATATTGAGGAAGATGAGGTGGACCATCTCTAATGTAGTCATTGAAGTAGTGCATAAAGTCTGGGTTGTGTAGTTATTCTATCGCATCTGCAATGGAATTGAAAATTAAAAAAGACCTTGCCCTTCTGTTCAGTTTTCCCCACCATTTTATGCTAAGCAAATGATGTTGAGACAGCAGTACAACTATGTTACATGTGCTTTGAACATCAAACTTTACCATGAGTGCACCCCAGCCCAATTTGGTGACCATGGCAACAACTTCATCGAATTTTATATACTGCAGAGGGAATTGGTTGGGGTCAATACCATCATTAACACTATGCCCATGTGGCAACAACAAATCCAAAATCAAACCCCACTTTCCTGGTTGACTAGCCTTGATGATCACACCAATAATAATAATAATAATAATAAACATTTATATAGCGCACAAACCAAGACTGTTCTAGGCGCTTTACAGTAATACAAAATCCAATCTTAAAACTAGTGTTAAGAATGTTAAAACTATAGAATACATCATACACTATTTAAAAACAAGTTAAAAAGATATGTTTTAAGAAACTTCTTAAAAATGGTTAATGATTCACACATCCGAAGATGAACAGGTAATTCATTCCACAATCTTGGTCCAGCAACACAGAACGATCTGTCTCCGTATGTCTTTAGTCTAGAATAAGGAATCTGGAGCAATTCATTTCCATTTGATCGAAGAGTACGCTGCGAAGTCCGACACAGCATAAGTTCCTTCAGATACGATGGAGCAAGATCATTAACAGCTTTGTAGACAAGAAGTATAATCTTGAATTTAATACGGTATTGGACAGGTAACCAATGCAATTCGATAAGAACTGGGGTGATATGCGCCGATTTCTTAGTATCAGTTAGTAAACGAGCTGCAGTATTTTGGACTCTCTGAAGCTTCTGAAGCAAATATTTGGGTACACCATACAACAGGGAGTTACAATAATCCAATCTTGAAGTTATAAATGCATGAATAATTATTTCTAAGCAATTTCGAGATAGATACTTCTTAATTCTTGAAATATTCCTAATATGGTAGTAAGCCGACTTGCAGATACCATTAATATGTTCGCCCAATCTGATCCACTCATCAAAAATCACCCCCAGATTTCTTGCTGAAACAGTTGGCACAATTTTTTCCTTTCCCACCATGATATAATTTAAGGGAGGCATCAGATGATAGCGTGAATGGACTAATATAAGCTCCGTTTTGCCACTATTTAGTTTCAATTTATTCAACATCAACCAGTTTCCCAATTCAAGTATAAATTTCTCCATACGGATCTTAGATGATATTAAATCATCACGATCATTTGTTTTGAATGCAATGTAAAGTTGCCCATCATCAGAAAAAAAGTGAAAGCGCAGATTGTGGCGCCTAGCCACATCCGCGAGAGGGGCAGTATAGAGTGAATACAACAGAGGGCCCAACACAGATCCCTGAGGTACACCACAATCAAGATCACTCAATAACGAATCAGTTCCCTCAACACGAATAAACAGTTTCCTGGATGTAAGGTATGAGGTAAGCCAATCCAACACACGACCCCTTATGCCAAAGCGTTTCGATAGTCTTGTTAATAACATTAAATGATCCACGGTGTCAAAAGCCGCCAACAGATCCAGTAGGACAAGAATAACAGAATCACCGTTATCTAGAGCTTGAAGGATATCATTTTGAACCCTCAATAGCGCTGTTTCAGTACTATGACAAGGTTTATAAGCAGACTGGAATTTCTCATGTAGATGATTTTCAGTAAGATAATCAGTTAATTGTACAGCAACTGCTTTCTCAATAGATTTCGAGACAAATTTCAGATTTGATATTGGACGAAAACTGCAGAATTCTTCATAGGAAAGATTGTACTTTTTTAATAGCGGTTGAACAACAGCAATCTTCAAAGAGTCAGGCATTGTACCACTTTCCAAGGAGAGGTTGATTATTCTAGCTACAACGGGTAAGATGTCTTTAAAACAGTGATTTAGCATGACCACCGGGAGTGGATCCAGAGAACAGGATTTAGTTGCGATACATTGGATTAAATGGAGCACTTCGTCTTTTCCAACCTCCCTGAAGGTGTGAAATTCATAAGGACATGAATCAGCATCAGGTATAGGATTTTCTATGTTTTTACTCAAGAGTTCATCTTCGATATCACCTCGTATTTTAACAATTTTCTGAGTGAAGAAATCACTAAATGAGTTGGCAAGTGACATTGGGTCAGGAGAAGATGGATAGCGAATAATCGTATTTGTATGCAGCAAATTGCTTACAGTCTTCAAAAGGGTTTTTTGATCAGATGATCCATTATTAATTAAGTCGGTATAGTAAGCCGATTTTGAGGAGTCGCTAAGTTTATTTACAGCATAACATTGTTGTTTATAGCGATTCCAATCAGCATTCGTCCTTGTTTTATGCCATTTTCTCTCAAGTTGTCTCCGAATTCGTTTCTTATCATTGATTTCGTTAGTATACCAGGGTGCCTTAGGGCGCAATGTCATTTCCCGGGATTTAATCGGTGCATGGTTATCTAAGATAGTATGAAGACAATCATACTCATTCACCAATGATACCAGATCCATAGTCGTAAAATTCTTAAGAAGAAAAGAATTTAGTACATCCGTTTTGAATTTATGAATATTAACCGCCCGCAAATTACGAAGAAGCAAATGTTTCTTCACAAACTTCGGTTTCCTAATCAATAGTTGTAAATGCACAACTGAATGATCAGAAATCAGAGGATCGAAGATGTTGTAATGGTTAACAATGTTTTCTTCAGATCGCGTTATAATTAAATCCAGTGTGTGACCACTTGCATGTGTTGATCCAGAAATGTACTGCTTCAAATCAAAGGAAGCGAGAAGATCCACGAACCGTTTGGTAAGAGGGTCATTAGGATTGTCCAGATGAAAATTGAAATCTCCAGCTATCAAGAGTTGCCCGGGTGATACAATAATTCCTTCCAAAAAGGATGAGAACTCTTCAAAGAATAGAGTAGATGTCAATGAGTTAGCCGATGAAGGAGGCGGCCGATATACAACAATAATTCTAATATGTAGAAAGTTCAAAAAAGAACTGTCAAGGTATTCAAATGACCTAAATACCTCCTGTACATTACGCTTAATATTAAGACTTTCCTTGAATAAGAGACCAACGCCCCCACTGATTGATCCATGTCTCGGTGTATGCAGAAAACTATAACATGTTGGGCATAGATCCCCAATAATCAAATCGTTCCCACTTGGAGGGAGCCAAGTTTCCGTCAAAGCAAGAATATCAGTATCTTTATCCACAACAAAATCTTTAATAATCATAGTCTTGTTTCTAACCGATCTGGCATTAAGAAGGGAAAAATCAAATAAGTTTGTAAGTTCACATTTAGAAGTAGAAGGGACCGTAGGCACAACAGTTAGGTTAGAATAGAAACAGTTTATGACCGAATTACTTTGCGGACCAGCTCCAGATGCCTGAGCCAGTCCGTCTGATGTCGATGTCGAAAAACCTGACTCCGGTACGCACGTCTATGTTTATTTACTTTCTCTGGGTTCACTGGCAGTGGGCGGTGAGTGATACGTACTGGAATGCTTCGAAATTGTTGACCACGATCATGTAAATAACTAGAGCAAGATTGCCTACCAGGAACATTATAATGACACCAAAACTGCTAACGTAAAAATTAGATAGCGCACCTCCTAGCGATCCTCAATAGGCAGCCACTTGAGCTCATGCGACACATTTCTTTCATTAGCATGTTAGAACAAAACTTCATGCAGCATTTTGAATCCGCTGAATATTTTGCATATACTGTGGGAGTGGATAACATACTACATCGTTATAGTCAAGATTAGAAAGAACTAAGCTTTCCACAAGTTCCTTCCTTACGTTAAGTGGAGCTAAGTTCTTCAGGACAAAACATCATAATACAATGAAGATAAGTTTTTAATGTAGTCCGACCATTTAAGATGTTTGTTTAACCATGTAGCGAGCATTTTACATGATGATGTTCTTTGGAGTACTTCTCCATTGACGGTGATTGGAACTACAGTACCATCCAACAGAAACTATACATCGAGTATTGAGTATGTGACAATATAAACTACATAAAACTAAAATATGATGCATGCTATTTTGATCAGGTGTGAAATAGCATGCATCATATTTTAGTTTTATCTAGTTGATATTGTCATACTTCAGTTATTAATTAATGGATCATTAAGGTTGTTACAGGCTTTTTGTCTGTTTTGTTATGGAGTAATTAAAATTATTTCACTTCCTAAAAGCATTCATTTGTGAAGTGTGTTTTGTGATTACACAAAAGCAGTAAACAAATTATTCAAGCAGGCATTACCCATAACGAGTGAGAGGTTGCAATACCATTGCAAAACGTTGTGATACCAATGCGAAACCTTGCATTCCTTGCTCGAACATTCTCAAAGATCACTCAGCAAAAATGTATAGTTTCAGTTGGACAGCACTGCAATGTGAACAATTGTTGCAATTTACATCTGCTTGGTCTTAGATCCATTAAGCATAAGCATATGGTTAGCCCAATCCTCCAAGTTGGAGATGTTGTCATTCAATCATTCATCTTGTGTACAGTGTCAGTGAATTCTTGTAGTAGGCAATGATCATAGATTGTAGTGTCATACGCATCTTGAAGATGGACAGCCAAGGATACTTTGTAAGTTGTTTACATGGAGGTTAAACAACACTGGTCCCAAAATGGAGCCCTGCAGTACACCAAAATGAACTTCATGAGTATCTGATTGTTTATCATCAATTTGTACAAATCGATTTCTGCCACTAAAGATTGTCAAGGATCCAGTTTAAAGCACCATGTGAGAATCCAATTCCATGAAGGTGTTATGATTGTGCAGTAATTGACAGTATCGATCAGTAAAAATCAGCAAAGGCAATCAAAGTTATCTTGCCTTTTGTCATTGCCTTGATGATATTATCATCTCTAATTTGTAACAAAATCACACCTGTGGAGTGTCTGTTCTGATAGCCAGAAACTGTGTCTTGTAATATATGTTGTTGTATATATTCTAATAGTTATGTAAGTACAAGCCATTCATATATCTTCAAAAGCATGAGATAGGTCGATAATGGTCTGCATCGGTTGGTGAATCATTCTTTGGTATTGGAGATATGATGTCTGCAACTAATATTTGGATATTTGGTCCGGTCCTGTTAAACTGTCATATCTTATTGATTTCAATAGTTGCAATACCTTTCTATGGGTAACTTTACGCAGGGAAAATATATCAGACCTGCAATATGGTAGAGAAGCAATCATTTCCTCAATGCTATTGTGAAATGTTGCAGTTGTACCAAGGAGGCATGGTGTAGTGGAACTAAAATGATTGTTCAATATCTTTTGGATTCATGTTTAATGGCTTTGGATTCAGGTGAAGAATGTGGTGAATAATTTTGCAAACATGGTTTTAACAATGGTTTTAATTCTATTCCATATATCACGGAAGGCTTGCCCTATGACATCCAGAGTTTTGTGAGCTAGATATCTCAATTTATTTCTTTCAGTCTGGAGTTGACGCATGTCTTCGGAATTGAGCCATGGTACTGGAGGTCTTGTTAGTTTCATTTTCTGCAATGGAGAATGTCGATCCAAACAAGATTTATGATCAGGATCACCTGTGCTGTAGATCATATTAAATGGTAATGTGGAAAAATAGTTGATAAACGGTTTGTTATCAAAACGTTTCTCATCACGGATCATTCTAAATCGTGGCTGAAATTGAGTAAATTATATTACTCATATATTCACACAAGCATACAGGACATCATGGTCATACTCTGAGTATTAAGATGTAAAATGTTTAATTGATTTGATCTGCTACTTAGCTGCTGTTTGTGGTGTTCATTTGCACTCCCAATTGATTATGGATTTCTGGCAATCTCATCAACTAATGGCCGAGAGTCAAAAGAGATATCCTGTTCATCACAATGATTAAACAGTAATTCAGTATGTGAACATTGAATACATATCCAATCTTTGGGCGTATCAGCTTTGATTTTCTTTAACTGAACAACAGAAATGTTAGTGCATTGTGCATGGTACAAGTTGAAACATTCAGTTGGTTTGAACACATTTATTGCACTCGGGACATGGTGGAGAATTGTAGTCTTTTTTTAGCTCTCAAGCTTTGATCTGGTCCAGGATTAGTTGAAATGTAACCTCCTTGCAGAAGCAGTTGACATGAAGCACACAAATGTGCATAATATAAACATGTGAAGTGGACTTGAAGTGGGTTTTCTGTGAGCAAAGGTTTTATGACATGGAAAGGTCCCTTCTGACAGTTTTGTAATGAGAGCAGAAAAACATAATTTGCTTGGCTGGTTCGATAACCATAGCCATTCATAGCTTCATAACTGTCACAAGGCAGTTGTAAATGAAAGCACAATTGTCCTTTGATCCTATGGTTTTTGTACAACTTCCTTGTTTCCTTCGAACCTGGGTGTAAACCAGGAGTGGTTATATCTGATTTTGCATGTAATATCGTATATATAGTCATCTTGCCAATGTTTTCAAGCCATAAACAAATGCGAAGTGAATAATTCACTAGACTGGTTTCATGGCCATGACCAAGGCAGGATGTTTTCGCCAACTCCACATTATATTCTGTCAAATCGCTTAATCCGGTAACATAGAATTGTTTACTGAATGATACCTACATTGTGGTTTGAAATGTTCAGCCAAAAGGTTAAGTTGATTCAGAAAGTAAAATAACAAAATGGTGTGAAGGGAGTCAGTTGATGTACCTAGCAAGAGGAGGCACATTTTGTAACTCTGCTAACTTTATAAAATTTGACAATCTCATTCAATTTTGTTGTTCTATCACAATTTACTGACTATATACAAATTAAGAATGTCTGTTTTAAACAAAGATCTATTTACAATGATACACATCGATTTGGGAGAAATGACAGCCGAATTAACCACAGCCAAATTACATCCTGGCCAAATATTCAACAACAACAAACTGGAAAATGGTAATTCTAGTACAGTATTAAATAATGAAGACTCAAGTAGATTGTTCGAAGGAAATATTTGGCTGCAAATAAGTCTGGGAAATTTAAGATGCCAAGGTGACTACAATGAACTCTGCCAATTTGTTGATGATCTACAACTACAGCCAGGCATTTGGTCAACACCAGGAGATAACTGTGAACTTTTTGAAATGGTGAAGTAGTGATACGATGGTACTCGAATATGAGAACCATAACTCTAAAAGGGGAGAGAGCAGCAAAGTTAAAGATAAATTAATAAAACTCAACTAGGATTTGGGCAGCAAAGTGATACTACAAAGCACAAATTATGCAAAATATGGCATTCAGACTTGGAATGAACAAACAGTCATTTGCATACCGGGTCACAATAGGGAGCTTAAGCATGTAGGACAGCAACACAACGTGAATAAATGCAAAGATCAATGCAAAGTGAATAAATAATTAAAGTCCCAGTGGTCGTTGCTCTGTTTACAACGGCAAATCACAGATTTTCACATGTTTTATACAACGCCTGCATTTCAAGGTGTAACAAGTGCAACTTAGCATTCGGTCGGTAGAACTCTAACCAAACATAAAGCCAATGTTTTCAGCTTCTTATACTATAGTACTGTACAGTTTTTAGGGGAGGTTGCGGGCGTGGAAAATTAGGGCGGGAAAAGTTAGGGCGGGAAAAGTTAGGAAGGAGGGCGAGAAAAACCGTCTGCCAGGTTTTTGTATGATTTCGTTTGCCAGTCCAACGGCTGTTAATAAGTTTATTATTATATCAACTTAATTAGACAAACATGGGGTCTGCTTTGGAGCACAGTGTCGAGTTTGACTTTCATATTGAGAATGCGCTTAGTATACTCAATTCGTATAGAAATTCTTCATGTAAGTTTGTGTTGAAGACGGAGCAAGAGACAGCCATAAAGGAACTATTAAAAGGAAATGATGTTTTGCCGACAGGATTCGGTAAAAGTATAATTTTTATCGTGTATTTGTTGGCACATAGTAGTTTCGTTGAACAGACTAGAGGCTCTTCTCAAAGCAGTGTGCTTGTGGTTTCTCCTCTGAAAAGTATTATATGTGATCAAGTGTTAGAGGTATCTTTGTTCAATTGCTCTGCAATGGAGCTTTCGAAGGAAACTATCCATCAAATCACAACATCTCCGCCGCAATTTATATATTGTAGCGCGGAAAATTGTATAAACAAAGATTTTCTTGATATGCTCAAGGATGATGGCTCACAATTACACAAGTCTGTGGAAGCAATAGTTGTGGATGAGTCTCATACAATTGAGACATGGACTGGAAAATGGTAAGACCGGTTTTCTGAAACCGCTTCTTCTAAAAGTTTTGTTATGTAGTCTGACATTGACGCCAATCTGGTACTGTATTTCTAAGTATTCATATAGCATATCGGTACATTGGGACGTTTTTTGTCTTTTTTGTGTAGAGATATAAAGGGCAAATCATCGAACTCGAAGGACAAGAAAGGTTTCAGAGAAGCTTATGGAAAGCTTGCAATTCTTAGGTCAATGTGCAAAAAAGGCAAGCAATTTATATTTTGTTTCTACAATTTATCTAATATACTCCTAGTCTTAAATGTTAATGTTTATTGACAAGCAAAATAAAGTTTTGTTATTTGTATAAGCATTGTCATGTTAAATTATATTCAATGGACAAAAGCAAGTGGTCTATTCATTTAAATTAATCAGAAGTCCTTTGTAGCTATTGTACTGTAGTTAGAATTTTGTAGTGAATAAGCTGTTCGATGTTCATTGCGACGATCATTTTTTTCATTATTTTCGTCGGCATCACCTTCGGTTGTTTTTTATCCGAATCCCTAATATTGTCCTTTGAAAACAATGATTTTTTGGCGCTTGTCTTTCTTTTGATTGAAAGTTTCGGTTGTTTTTTTTTTCTTGCGGACTGCGTTCAGGGCTATCTACTAGAGACCTTATGATTTTAGGATGGCAATGCGACGGCGACAGCCAAAACAAACGAGTCCGCTCGTCAAAATTAGGCACGTTGACCAAAGAAATTATCCACGCCAAAAAGGCCGTTTGCATTGCGTATTTTCCGACCACAAGACTTGCAAACCCATTCAGATAACTCTGCTTTCCTTTCAATGGATATATTTAACTCCGTCAGCAGTTCACAAAGTCTTCTCACTACAATCGTTCCTAAATGGTGGCTTGAAAAGCTGTTCGGAAGATACGTATGAGTTTTCTCAAAATTTCCGAATTTCAATTTCAAAGGACATTTACACAACCTGCAAAAATCATTCACAGACAAAGGTTTTTGCCTTCTTCCTTTGTTAGCGGCCTTCTTTGGAGTATCTCGCTAACTCATACTCAATACATCTCATTTTTTAAACCTGTGGCACTTGTTTACAGTTTACGTAGCTGTCTGACTTCACTAGTGAAATATTTGCAACTTTTGCAACATGTCAATTTTATAGCATAATGTATATATTGCAAATGTTGAACTCTGATTGGCTGTTGAATAAACTTTTAATATGGGCGTGAAAAGGGCGGCAAACGAAATCATATAGAAACCTGGCAGATGGTTTTTCTCGCCCTCCCACCTAACTTTGCCTGCCCTAATTTTCCCTGCCCGCAACCTCCCCTAAAAACCGTCTGCTATGCAGGCTAGTAGGAGAAAGGAAATCTTTTTCAGCACAATAGAGCTCCTAGTCCATCCAGCTTCACTAGCCTTAAAAATCCAATTGGAAACGACAATCCAGTTGCGATAATTATTGGAGATTCTATGATTAAAAAACTTCATCCAACAAGATTTCCAATTCGGTTATATACAAACCTCAGGTTAAATCCTTTCCTGGTTCAACAGTTTAGGATCTAACTGATTACATAAAACCTTCCCTAAAGAGGAAACCTAAAAGCATTGTAGCACACATAGGTACTAACAATTTGAAAAGAAAAAGTGCTAAAGATGTTGCAAAGAGCATTGATAAGCTATGTAAATCTATCAAGTTGGACCAACACTCAAACATCAACTAGTGTTCCCGAAATTATACATAGAGAAGATAACCAAGAATTTAAGGAGAAACATTGACAGTTAATAAAGGAACTGGCCAGGTATAGTGAACAGAAAAAGTTTTATCTAAGCATGAAAATATTGACAAAAATAAGCTAAATTTATATGGTCTGCACCTTAACAATCATATAAACTGTCTGAAGTATCTTTGATGATACTGAGCAGTTGGCAAAAAAAAACAATATAACAACTTCAAAGGTTCACTAGTCAAGTTGTGAATAAACAAGATTTGAAAGGCTTCTCGATAATACATTTAAATATTGCAAGTTTGATCAAACTTGTTAATCAACTAAAAATTAACTTGATAGATAAGCCTTGCTACATTCTAAGTATTAATGAAACTACTCTAAGTGATGATATAGACAATGGCTAAAATAGATGGGTATGAAATATTCAGGGCCGAAACAGCTATAAATGCAAATTTGCGACAAGATTTAATTCCAGATGGTCTAGAAGCAATATGCTTGGAAATTAAAATAACAAAAAGCAATCCTTTTTTCGTTATTAGTTCATATACCGGGTGGCGCTACGTGCATTGTATCCACTATTGTCTAACTTAAATTTTGATATCTGCATTAAATTTTGAGATATTGCATTTTCATGCAATATTGACTGAGAGAGCTGTGTTTAAACTTGAATAAACATTTTGGGAAGTGTCAAGAATTAGCCAAAGGAGCAAAAGTTGAATATTTTCTGTTTAAATGCTTCTACAGGGTTAAGTTTTACTTATAATTGTAATACATAGTAAGATGTGTCACAAACAAGAAGAATTCACGTTTCCATGATAACTATAACGAATAATGGTAACACTAAATAGCCGAAAATATCGCAGTTTTTTTTTTCAAAAATGAGTTAGGTGACCCCCATTTTTTTAAAATAAATCAGTTACGTTAGTGTCGAGAAACATTTCTGGGAAGTTTAAAAAAAATCTGTTGACTCAATTCTTAAGAATTAAATTTAGACTTTTTTGAATTCCACAGTTTGCATGCAACTGCTGGTTCCATGGCTTTGGATGAACCAACATGATTCTTTCTGCAGTCATGTCTCCTTGGCTGCTTGCCTTTTTTCTTTGCATGGTTGCACACTCCACAAGATTTGCACTTTGTTGCATATGCCAAAACATTACCTGTTCCTAATGCTGGAATTCAATCGATAGCACATCAATATGGAATATCAAGAAAAATCCTGCAGCTTTATTTTGGAAGTATACATCAGCCTAGTCTGATAAAAACACAAACCTTTAGAACAATAACTGCAAGTCAAAAGACCCTTTTGCAATACTTGTACATCAACAATATGGCAACCAAGAGGAATGTGCGAGACATTTTCAACTTGGCTCTACAATTTTTAGAAAAATAATTGATATTAATTTATTTGCTTTAACTAAAATGCTTGCCTTGCCCTTAGTTCAAAGTCTGTAGTGTAAAATGTGTATGTAAATTTTTCTCCTCGCCCAGGCTTTTTTTATTTCCTGAAACCAACTTAAGAACTGTGTCAAGCTTAGAACGATGTCATCTACAGTTACTGTGTCGGATGACTTGCACTTGGGATTAAGAATGAACGGCATGGTAGAAAATGCGGGTACCGGATAGTCTTAAATATTTATTTTTAAGAATTAAAATTGTTGCTTATTGTATTTTTAGTCATTTTCTTTCTCATTTCTAAGATTTTTGATTTTATTTTTGACAACTCAACCACGGTGGTCGGTTGCTATGCAAATTCCTCCCGCATCAACTGGTCACGTGACACGTAAACAATGGCGCAAGCAATTTATATGAGTGGCGAAGTAGCTATGTATTATTTTGAGCTTTTCAAGCTTTTTTTGCAGTGAAATTGTTTTTTAAATATTTTAATAGAACAAACTACACTCTCGAAAGTGATATACGATGTCAATTTTCCCAGTATGTTGCGAAATAAGTTTAAAATACCCATCGAACCGACCCTACCTTAAGACAAATTTTGTGTTTCTATGGCGACTGCTTTGCGATAACTTTGTTAAATCTCATTCTCGGAAGAAAAACTAAAATCAAAGTTGGAAATCATCTTATTTTGTTTCATTTAAACTGGGATCAAGCTCAGGAAATAGGTAAGAAACTTCGTTCGAAATCGTGTTTCATTTGCATATTTATAGCAAATATGCGTTCGCCATATTGGATTCCTTCGTCTCGAAGTATATCGTTAATTTTCATTTATTTATAATGTGTATTGATATTTACAGCCCATTATCTACATGCAGAAAAAGAAAAAGGTGTAATAAGAGTTCAAATCATAGAGGAAAATGTAATTCTGAAAAGCAGTTTCACAAATTCTGGTTGAATTCTCCTGTATACAACCTCAAGGCAAGTCGAGCTGAAGTGATCAGTCAGAGGAAGGAAATTCAATGTTGGGAAGCAAATTTAAACCAGGCCGACTATCAAATTTCGTCCAAAAGGCAGGAACTAGAAGAGCTTGCAAAATATACAAAGGAACAGGCATCTACAGCCAGTTACAGCCAGTTAGTGAAATTATTTTCAGTTAATATGAGGTTTAATTGTAGGCTATGTATTATTGTAATACTTGCATATGACTGTAATAATATTAGATAGTGACGATAGTCTATTCAAGGTCTTATTAAGGTCGTGCCAGATGGTGTTTGCAGGGAACCAGACGGTTCAGGACTTCAGACAATTGGAAGAAGAAATTGTACTATTCCCTATTATGATTGTATTATTATTGAACCAGACAGGTCGTCATATATTAAACAATACCAAGGACGGGAAACGACAAAACGGGGACCCCAGGTCCATGGACTACCTTCGTGGACCTGGTCCATGGACTACACTCGTGGACCACGGACCACTCCCGTGGACCACTCCCGTGGACCACTCTCGTGGACCACTTGTGAAATTTCGCCTACCGAACAATAGACCAAGCACTATTATTCCGAATTTAGGGAGCCGAGATTGGCGGGAACTATTTCATTATTCATTTCCATTATTTATTTCACAATCAATTCAGTTTTTGTTGATGAACAGTGAATACTAAGTCTGTAAAAATGCTGAAAAAATGTAGTCAGGGTTCCATTAAAAAATATAGGAATACTGTGGAGAATCTGGAGGGGAGGGGGTGAGGGTGGTCAAAGGATTTTACTGAATTATTCGAATTTTACTGTTAAAAAATCACTTGAACTGTAGAAGTCGTAAGTTGCAATGACCTTTCAATGCCTGAAGGTCCTCTTCCAAAAATATTAATTTTTGAAGCTCGATTACTGCTTTTCTTGCAT